TGTCTTTGATGAAGTCCACGTGAGGGCTGACCGCAGTGGGGACACAGAGCTGGTGCTGGAGTTGAGTAGAAGTGTATGGGTGCCTCTTGTGAGCTCTGCTTCAGAAGGAACACAGTAGCTCGCACAGCTTCCATTTTGACCTGCCTTGCAATGTGACGGTGGGGACGAGGACCAAAAGCGAAAAGAAATGAAAAAGATCCACAGATCTGAACACCAGTCATGGGAGCTACACAAAGACGTTGATGATTTCCACGTATCAGCATTAGACGTTATTATTGACCAGGCGCTAGAATAAGAACTATTGTCTTCTGGGGGATTTAATTTACTTTCCAGAGATTGACTACATTGTCATCCCCTCTTTTCAGCATCCTTCTTACTTTTCATTAATCCTTAGGGACAGGACCATCTCTTGGCAAAAATGTGAATTAGGAGAACCTGAGGCCTGGGGCCTTTTTAAGGTTCTCTCCTGCCTTAAGTACCTCATCTCCTGTAGGCTAGACACAGGGAAGGGGTGCCTCAGAGAGGCTGCAAAGGCCTGAAAATCCACACGTGCACTGAGTCTTTGAAGGCATATGGATACTGTTGTGACTGATGAAATATAAATTTATTTCAATGTTCTGCTGAATTCAATGCAACTTTTGGTCATTATGCATTTTCTTAATCAATAGATCTTAAAAGTATAACCTCCTATGATGTAGGGGTTTCTGTGGACTTTTTTTAAAGGCATCATTATACTTAAGAACTGTTAGTCTGGGGGAAAGGATCTCGCATAGTAGGCTGATGTGTTACTCATTCAGTAAATAGTGATTGCATGCCTACTGTGTGCAAGGCACCATTCTAAGCCCTTGATATACTCATGGATGACATAGGCATAGTCTCTATCCTCAAAAAACATAGTGTGCTGGGGGATAGACACCAGTAAACAGGCACAGTGAGTGGTTGGGACACTGGAGAAAAGCTGACTTTAGGAAGAAGGTAAGCAGTTCAATGGGAGACAGGTTGAGTTTTAGGACTTAGGAACATAAAGCTGCTCCTTGCTCAGGGATACATGTTTTGAAAGAGGAGCCTCAAGAGGGTCAACATTAACGCAAAGGACTGAATTCATGCTGGTGGGCTTTCAGAAACTATTTTGGCAGACTGCAGAAAGCCATTGTTTTAGACAGCTTGATTGGAGGACAAACTATAACCTTTGCTAAAATAATAAAATACTATTCAAAGTATACATATGTCAAAGTATACATATTATCAATCTATTAACCACTTAATGTCTGATATTGGTTTATAGGCTGTGCCTGTGTAGAGGGCTCTGTTTTCATTTATTTAAAAATATGTCTGATAATTGCATCTGTAATACTATTAGAATGTCAAAATACAGCTTATTGGGTCTGGAAATATGCTACTGTTGGCTGGTTATTAGCCAATTGTTGGAATTCGAGCCTGACATGCACAGTGGGAAAGTCCAACGGTAATATTACCAATAACAGAAACAGAAGCCAAAATATTAAACAAATGAAAAAGAATTTGGGACCCAGTTGATTGGTAAAAGATGGCATGTGGAGATGAACCATCACCTGGAGCTGGTAGAGGACTACGTGGTTTGGGCAGAGCAGGCAGGTCAGCTGTCCAGAGGCATGAGGAGTTACTGGCTAAAGCAGCTGGAAAGGAAGGGAGGAGAGAAATGGAGTGAAGACCAGTATGGTTGGCACCAAAGAATCATCTCCTTTCTCTCTTAGACTATCAATATCCTTTGAAAAAAAATTGAGATCAACCTGGAGAACATTGTTCCTAATTAATCTGACTTAAAGTGTATGTATTGTTAATGATTGTCATGTTGGAAGGTACTCACAAAATTCCCATTGGGAACCCATCTCCTCAGGCAGATGTTCCTAAGGGAGGCTCATCTGGGTGCCACCATTTGGTTTCACTGGGAAATGAGAAAAGCTTCCAGAACATCCCTACACCCTCTGTGCCCATATTAATCATTTGGGTTGGTGTCATAGCAAACTTTATGGTGAAGAAGAATTCTTCAATCACTCATTATAAGCAGAAAGGTCAATTTCCATGAAACTTGTACAACCTTCCCATGAGGCATCCCAAATCAATGGAGATTGGCTCTGGATCATGGTGACTTTGCTTTGTGATGAGTTATCCTTCCTGCTTGGCCTCAGTTTTCTCACTGATAAAACTAAGAGGCTGGTCAACATAATCCCCTTGAAGCTCTGACATTAGGGTTTTCTGATTCAGTTACTCCATGGCAAGTATATTCTGTTTCCCATCCTCTGCTTCATAGCTTCCCTTTCTCCTCTTCTCCTCCCATGACTGTCAGTCACGTGGGGTGGCTGTACATTTCCAGCCAAGTTGAGCAGGGAGAATTTATCACAGAGAAGATCAAGATGCACCAGGATCCCTTAGCTGCTGACAGCCCATTCATTCCCTGCTGGGAAGACAGGTCATATCTCTGTCTGTCCCTCAGGAGAGGCCAATAGAAAAATGCAGGTGATGGGGAGGGAGGCAGTTTTAGCCCCTAACATTTCACACTGGTATCTGAGCCCCAAAGAAGTGTAGTGAACTTGAGGTGGAAGGTTGCCTGATGCTGAACAAGGATAGTGGCCAGTCAGAAAGCTAAAGAGGAGCCTGTTTTCTGCTGACCGGAAGACCAGAAGACAATGGTCAAAGGCCACAACTGGAAGCTCCAATTAATCACCTTGGCAGGGGATAATGAGGGAAAAGTGAAGGCAAAGATGAAGTCTTCCTCTCTGAGACTTCACGATCTTGGAGAAACCAGATCTCTGCCCAGAGAGCGACAACTAATTATCACCAGCCCCGCATGTGCTGTATGCCAGACAGTCAAGAGGCCACCTGTGCATGAAGATCAGCAAACTTGAGCAACTGCCTTTGAGCATTTGGGATTCTGTCACACGCTTGGATTTTACCTCCCCTTGACGAGAGGCAGAGAAGTCTTGGCACCAGCCTCAATGTTATTGTGGGTTATGGGGCATATCTGTGGGCCCCGCTCTTGGCAGGACTGAGAGTGGGCGGAGCTGGTCTCAGAGCTCCTCACATCCCTTGTGGCAGCCTGGGCAACATCCAGCGCCTTTAAGCTTCTCCCCAGCCCCTACCAGCCCCCACAGGACACCACACAGGGCCTAATTATCCCACGCTGGTGACCTTCTTGCCTCTTGCCCGTTGTAAAAAATTATTACCTTTACCTAGTGTTGGCAAGAGCGTGAAGAACAGGAAGCAACCTATTGCTGCTGAGAGTGTTGATCAGTACAAATTGCAAGGCAATTTGGTAACACCTATCAAAATTACAAATGCTCCTCTTGACACACAATTCCACTTTTAGGAATTTATCCTACAGATGTGTGCAAAACTGCAGTATTGCTTATATAGCAAAAGATTAAAAAACATACCAAATAATCTATTGGAAAGGCAGAGGTCAAATAACATAAGGTATATTCAGAGAGTGAAATATTCTGGGGCCAGTAAAATAATGTGAAATGCATGTGTGTGTGTTTAACACACGAATGAAAGAATCTTAAAGATCTACTGTTCTCTAAAAACTCTTAGAATACCCTCAAAGTTTTATGAAGTAAAGAAAGCAGGCTGCTCAGCAGCTCATATAACCTATTTCCATTTCAGTAAAAATGGGGAGGAAAATAACTATGTCCTTATTTGTCTGGAAGGACATCTGGGAAACTGCTTGTGGCGGTTGCCATGAGAAGGAGGATGGGTGCCTTGGGTTTTGGGAGTGGTAGAGACCCCTCAGCTAAGGCTTCATCCCCAAAGGCCCCTGATCAAATTCCAACATCTTAACTGAGTGTTTGCCCATTAATCCTCTAGCACTTCAATATGGACTAATTGGTCATAGTTGCGGCAGTGAAACAGAAATGCGAAAAGACCAGGCAGCAAATCTGGTAAGATTTCTTAAACTTATCTTTTGGAGCTGGTGTTATATTACTATGGTTCGAAATTGAAATTATAAAAGGGAATATACAATGTTAGTGAGAGGATAGATTGAGACAATGCACGTAAGTCGGGAAGGGCTTCCTATATATGTACGTGGCATCCAGTGGCACCAATAAACGTCAGCTTTTGATAATACTCTTATTAATCCCTTCAGGGCAAGAGACTAATGGAATGTGCGTGGGAGAAAGAATCACACTCAGAATTAGAAAAAAAATTGTCTGGTCCCCCTCTACCACACTGCCTGGCTGTGAGACATGACCAAGGCAGCTTTCTCACCCCACAAAGCAGGGCTCGTAACAGTCCCTCCTGTAGTGGCTGATGTTTAAATGAGACAGCATACGACCAAGTAATTTGGATGTGAGTATGAGAGCTAAATTTGTGTCCAAAGTTCTAGATGCAATCGTTTCTCCATCTCTCCATTTTTCCATTGGCTCTTGTTCCTTCTCCTCTGTTTTTAAGGATATGAAATCACTGGTACCTTTTATTGCAAGCTGCCTCTCATCCTCTTCAGAAGCTGGTCTTGCATGATGAGGAAATTTATTTTTATAAAAGTAGCATGTGATTCTCCTTTTGCCGGCACCAACGCCCACTTCTCGCTGGTACGCACCCACATGCTGGCCACAGTCATCTCCTCACGACTTTGCTCATGACTTACTTTTGCTAAGTGGACATAAAGGCACATGTAATTTGCCCTTCTCTCTCCCTTTCCAGCCTGGGGGTGGTCGTTACCTCTAATTGCGGACCTGGTGTGAACCATTCATAGAGGCCTCCAGGGAAAAGAGGGACCCCAGGCTCCATCCCCAAAGCAACCATTGTTATTAGTTTCTTGTACAGACTATGAACATAGACACACATACATATATTATAACCACCTTTTAAATACAGATTGGGTACTGGGGCTGAGCATGATGAAGTGTATTCAGGAATTGATAAACAATAATGTAGACTTGAAATTACACAATTTGATAAGCCATTATAATCCCAATAAAATTACTTGAAAATAAATACAAATTGGGGCCGTAATGTTTAGTGTTCTGAACTTTGCCTTTATTTCACGATATATCTTTGAGACCATTTTGTGTCGGTATACGGAAAGCCTCTTTACTCTTTTCTGGGCTAAGTGATAGAATGTTGTGTGGGACTTTTCCCATTGTTCTGGAATTCCAACCAATGGCCAAAGCTGTAAACTAAAGCTGCTAGGTGTCCGGGCATTCAAAGGAGAGTTTGACCAGCCTGCGGCACCTCCTCAGAGGAACCACCAACCCACCCCACCTGACCCTGTGTATGTGGGGTGAGCACTGGGCTGGGAGGAAATGAAGGGTCAGTTTGTGGGGTGCGCAGTGCTTCTGGTGAGACATTACTTCCCTTCCTCCTCAAATGCTTCCTGCCCACCTCCTACCCCAGGCCAAGAAGGTGGATGGGCAAAGGGATCCCCAAGTCACTTGTGAAGCCACACTGGAAAAGAAAAGTATCTTGTTTTCCAGCCCATTGCTTTCTGAGCCACAGAACTGAGGGCCCATGTGAGGACGTGCCATGGAAGTACGTGGTGAGAGAGTGCTGGAGACAGCTTGACATGCTCCCCGCAGCCGTGTGCACACAGAGGCTGGATACCCCTGGGAGCCTGTGCCAGCAGGTATAAGGGACCTGTGGGGGTGTAGGGTGTTAGGTCTGGGAAGAAAAGGAGGACAGACCTTACATCCCAATTCCCCAGGCCTCAGTGGGTGCCAAGAGGATCCCCCTGAGCTTTCCCTGAACTTCACTGTAAGGCACAGAAAAGATGAAAGAGGGCTGGGCCAAGGGATGCCTAGAGGCGGGCTTGCACCCTCCAGTCTGGACCACCAGGAGACACGGTAGCCTTCTCTGGCAGGTCTCCAGTGACAGAAGACTTAGGGTGAAACTGAACACCACTCCCATAAAGGCACACCCACCGCCTACTCAGAGACCACCAGGATCCTCACAGACCCCTTCCTCATTGGAGTGGAGACCAGGACCCCGTGCCACGGACCACCCCCCAGACAATGAGCGGACTCTGCCACATGGCTTCTCCCCGCCCCGCATATCAGAAGAGGGGGAAGAGGGGAGATCCTAGAACTAGGCCACACCACCCCTCCCAGCCAGTGGGGATGGGGTTGAATCATTAAAGAGGTTGGAGTTTTACAGAGAAGTGGACACATTTCAATACTGGAAAGTTGCAAACTCTGCCCAAGTTGGCAGTAAGGGACAGTAAAGGGAGATTATACAGAGGCCAGCTGAGAGCAGCGATTTGGGGGCAACAAAGAAATTTTGTGTTTACACTCTGTGGGTTGAGCCTTCTCAACTCCTTCTGGCTGCCCGCACGTCCGTTGTAAGAGCAGAGTATCGTTTGTTTAAACCGTTCCCAGTCCATTCAGTCTTTGGCGAGTTCAAACGATGCTGCCAGGCACCTCCCTGCAGCTCTCAGGCCACATGTCTGGTTTGAGTCCATCTGTGGGTAAATTCTTCAGAGCGCATTTCCAGAACTTTCGTAGTCTGAACACAGCCTCTGCCTCTTGAAGACTGCTGTCCTGTCTTGGAACTCAACCTCTTTCGGCACCAGAAGCGGCGTGCCCCAAAGCCAGACTGCTCCCCCCGGCCGGTGATCTGAACTCGGCTGTCTCAGTGGGGACGCAGGGGGACGTTCTCTTCACTCTGCCCAGGACACCTGGGGAAGCAGAGTCCTCCAGACAGGGCATTTCTTCCAACTGCCTCGCTCTTGTCCGGTTAGGGACTTCCTCCTCCCTCTGCATCTTGGGGGCAGAAATCCTCCTGCTGGTTCCCATTGAGTCAAGTGCTGGCTCCTCTGCCCCATGTCCCTTAGCGGGTCTTACTGCAGAGGGTGAGGGCCAGCCGTGGCCCAGCCTTGGTTTGGGAAATGGACCAGGGGAAGACACACTCTAGGTCTGATTTGTAGAATGAGGGGCTCTGAATTCACTCATCTGTCCCGGGTGACACCATCCGAGGAGCCACAGCACAAGCTGACTCACCTTAGGCACCTAGAAGAAAACCTGATGTCTATTTAAGAGAAGCAAAGAAAAGTCAGTTGCTTTCCAGAGTTTGGAATACAGCAGCAGCACCCGTGGCTCAGACAGCAGGGCGTCTGGCCACCCTCTGCTCAGTTGCCTCCCTGGGGCGGGCCGGGGGCAGCCTCCTCCACCAGGCACTTCTCCCTCTACCGTCACATACTTGAATCTTATGGCTGCTGCTAATAAATGAATGAAAGACTGGATTCTGAGGCCCACTGAGCCCATCTGAGCGTCCTCCGCACTTGAGTTCATTTTGAAGCCACAAATACCCAGCAGCAGAGGCAGATAATTCTCGGTAACCTTTAGAAAACCCAATTTCCATCCATGTGCGACAAAATGACTATTTAATAGATGCAAATGTCATGCTTGAATATTTTTAGTCTTCCTTGTCAGTGTGTGAGTCATTTGGAATGACAGACTGCATTCAGGGAGAGAGCAAGGATCTTACCAGAAGCCCACTCCTTCACTAATTTATTTCATACCTTTGACTGTCATGAATGTTTTCAGCGATTTTGCAGGAAGCTGGCCTGTGCTTTCTGACAGCACATCACACATTTCCCGGGTCAATTAAACAGAACGGCAGGGCCCATTGTGAGCTCTTGACTTGAGTCCCTTTAAGAGAAAAGCAGCTCCCCTGAGCTGGCCCTGCCATATCTGCTCCGTGCACGTTTTAAATTCCAGCTGCTTTTTCAGCTGTTTTGGTCTTTTCCTTTAGAGCTGCTTATGGCGGGAAGTCATTCTTTTCATTTTAGTGGCCTCAGGCCCCAGAGGTTTTGCTGGGCGGATGCACTGCCCTCCTTTTTGCGCAGGTGACAGGTGAGGGAGTCTGACAGTTGTGACGGTGCTCTGACACCCCTGCTGTCTTCCTCTGCAGCCAGGAGAGAGGCTCCAAGGAGCCAAATGAGGTAGAACCGGGGTCCCTGACTTCCCCAAAGCTGTGATCTCAAGTTGTGCTTCTAAACTTTGGCTACAGAATTCAGTTCGCTTGGGGAGATTTAAAAAATATCAACGTCGGGACCTCAGCCCCAGAAATTCTGCTTTAATTGGTTGCGGGTGACATCACACCCAATACCGTTTCTGAAAGGAGTAGGGAGGAAGGAGGGAGAAACCATGCAGAGTTCCATGGGAGCCCCTTGAAGGAAAGGACAGGTCTTGTCATCAGTTCATCCCCAGGGTCCAGCCCACATCACTTGGGTCATAGAAAATACTCCAGAGAGAATAAGTAACAGGCTGGATGGATGACTGAGAATACGAACTGGGAACAAATGATAAGAGGCCAAATATTGTGGTGGAAAAATCCAATCCACTGGGCTTGGGGTGAGGGGGCACTGGTTTACCCCGTTTGCTGCTAACTGGTACTTTGGTCAAGAAACCTTCCCTCTTGGAGCCTTAGTTTCCTCATCTGTAAAGCAAGGGGTTTGGAGCAAATAATGTCTAATGTTCCCTCTCTATTTTTAAAATTCTCTAAGTAGATGGTTGCTATGCCTGCCCCTGGCATTTGGCTATTTTTCTTGCTTCATGTGTGATTCCAGTCCTCTCTGAAGTGGCCTAAGCTAGAGAGCAGGTGCCCATGAGCACGAACTCTGGGGCCATCAAAGAGAGGTTTTGGTGATGGTTGGTGCGTCAATGACAGACACACAGTGTAAAGGGAGAAGGTAGAATGTTCTAGAAGATTCCCTGATGCCTGTGGTAATTCCATGGTGGGGTGGATGGGAATGGGGAGAGGGATACACACAAGCCTGGAGCATTTTCTTTTTGATGTGAGCTATAGGTGTGCTGCTAGAAACATGGAAACCAAAGCCGGCTTCAGAAATTTACAAGTCAAAGCCGATGTTTCCCCTGACTCAGCTTCCTTCAGCATTGCGCAACTCTCTCCAAACACTGCCGAACGGCTGTTTATGTGGAGATGAAGAAAAGCTCTCTGTTGACTTTATTTCCAAACCCTGCCTTTTGGAATTGACACAAGAAGAGGGCAAACGGCTCACCAGGCTTGACCATCCGGTCAGCTGACTCCAACCCCCTGTCCCAGCTTTCTGGCTCCATCTCGTCAAACAGAAGCTATTGAAACAGATATCAACAACACAGATAAAAAGTAGAGTGACATGGGCTTTGAACCCCAAGGCCAAAGGCTTATCGCAAACTGGTCAACTTCTCTCTGTGGCTTCCATCCCCCAGGGGTGAAAGAGCAAACTCCCCTCCTTGCCTGAGAACTGCTCTGTGCAGGGTCTGGTCCCTATGGGTGGGGGCACAGGGCACCATCTGCACCTTCAGGGCCACTTCCTCAGCACTCCGGGTGGCCCAAGCCCCGGTCTGCTGTGGCTGCAGATGGAGGGGGTCTCCAGCTTTGGATGCCTGAACCAGTGACAGGCAGCATTTGGTTAAAAGCACGAACTCTGAAACCAGACCACTGAGTCGGTCTCTTACAAATGAGAATGATAATGCACCTACCCAGTAAGGTTGCTAGGTGGGTCACGTTTGTGCAGAATTCTAAAGCAGCTTAAAACACTGTCTGGCGCACAGGGTGTTTCGATGAAATCAGTGGTTCTCAGACTCCAGCGTGAATAAGAATCTCCTGGAGAGCTTGCTCCAGCGGAGTTTGCAGGGCTTCATTCCCTGAGAGGCTGTCGGGGAGGGCCCAGGGTTTCTGGTTTTCATCACGTGTCCCCAGGTGAATTGGACACAGGTGGTCAGCACTGCCTGTGCCCGCTGCCCAGCAGCAGGATGCTGCTTCCCTCGGGACTGGCTGTAGTGGGCCCGTGGGCTGCTTGAGTCTTTGCACATGGCTCGTCTGGTCTGTGCTGGAAGGTTCTCCCTCTTCTTGATCTTTCGAGTTTCAGCTCAAGTGCTATCTCCTCCAGGAAACCTTCTCTCCCTGACTTTTGGCAGACCTGGACCTCTAGGCAGGGGCATGAGCCCTTATCTGCCATTCCAAAATCCATTTTTTATGAATGTGAAGCAATCTCATTTGGGGCAAACACCTCACCTAATGGCAAAAACCTGACCTGAACTGACTTGCTGTTTGTAGTCTTTATTCCACTTAGTGTGGGTATTCATATGCTTTGCTATAGAAACATTAATGGGTTTGCTGACAGCGTGCTGCCCCAGACTGCCGGCACTGTTACAGAATGTATGGGGTATATAACACAGTACTTTTCTAAAATGCAAAAAACGTTCTGCATTCTGAAATACAACTGCCCCCAAGAGTTTCGGATTGTGGATCTGTAGTACATTTTGCTCTGATTGTTGGCTTTTTCCTCTGCCTCACCACCAGATTAAAATCCTAAGGGCAAAGACCCTGATTTTCATTTTGTGTCCTCAGCATCTAGCACAATGCTTGGTGCCAATAACAGTCAATTAGTGTTTCTTGAATGAATGAATGCTTTCTTGTAGAGGAAACTGTACCTGTTTTTCTTGCTCTCTGAGACATTTCCTGACTCTCTATGACCTTCATGATAGGGTTTGTAAAATTAATTTCTGGGCCAGATGGATAATGAGTGAATGGGCCAGATAAGCCACAATAGGGAGTAGAGGGGAGTGTGGCAAACTGGAAGTTTTGTGCCTCATCTAAAGAGGGCAGCCTCTATTCAGCTCCCGTTGATTGATGCCAGGTCTTCTAATTTTTCAAGAGAAATTGGAAAACTTGATTTCTGGGTGAAATTTTCCTATTAAAATAACCCTGGGACAACCAAATAAATTTCACGGGCAATCAAGTTGTGGCCCACCAGTCGCCATTTTCCAACTTTCGTTTCCATACTTCCTGGGTGCTGTCTCTGCATGGGATCTTAGGGAAGCCAGTTTGTGAGTTCCTGAAATTGTCCTGTCATTCTGAGCTGTGACGATCCCATGTGGAGGCTGTAATTCTCATTTGCAGCTTCTCACCCCCACACCCAGAGGCAGAGCAGGCGTGCCTCCTCCGGGACCACCTCCTTTTCCAAACACAAAGGATTCTTACCCATGCCCTTGGTCAGCGCCTAAAGGAGATCGCTGAGCAGCCACTGGAAATCGTTTGCCAGATGCCTCTGCACAGACAGCCTAGTGTGGCAGATGCCTGAAGGCCTCCAGGGAAAATGCCATCTCCTGGGAACTAAAGAGTGGCTGATACTATGAGGCTTGAAAATTGTGTCTGAAAGGATGAGAAGCAGAGTGAAAAAGGCAATGTGTTCTTTTGCTATTTTTTAGGCAACAAGGAGAGTTGGCAAGAGCCAAAACATGCGGGCCTAGGTGGCATGACTCTTAGCACATCATTTTCTGTAGTTCAGCTGTCTTTTGTTGGCTATCTCCTTGTTTCCTCTCTTGTTCTCTTGCCAGAGACCCCAAATGAGTTTCTTACAGACAATCAACTAGGTCCCTCATCAGGGTCATGAGGTGGAAGATGCTCGTGAGGCCAGTCAACGTTTATTACTCAGGAGTGGACAGAGGCAGGAAACAGCGAGATCCTCAAAACTGAAATCCACAGACAACCTCCAAGCTCACTGTCACCAGCAGCTTCGAACCCCTGCCCCAGGCACCTATTCAGTTCCCTTTAATGTAGCTTTATGGAGCATCCAAGGTACACGGTACGGAGAACACTGATGTAACCCTGTGCTTCCAGGTTGTTTATGGTGGTGTATGGAAAGGAGACAATTATACCAATAACCCCAAGAGGCAGAAGTCCCGTAGGTTCAGAGGAGGGAAGGAACTTCATTTGGTGAGAGGAATCAGGAAAGTCTTCACGGATGAGGTGACATCCAAGATGGACTCTGAATTGTGGGAGACTTGGCCTCGTGGGTGGTCACTCCTAGTAGAGAGCACAGTGTGAGCCAAGGAACAAGGTAGGAACGCAAGGGTGTGTGTGGGCGGGGCATGGTCTGTTTGAGGGACTCTAGGGGAGTGGAGGGAAAGTGAGTCAGGAGTCTGATCGTGAGTGCCCTGGGATGCCTGGCTGAGGAGTTTAGATTTTCATCCGTCGACACTGGCAGCCTTTGAAGGATTTCTGCAGGGGAATGCGGTGATTAGAGTTGGCTATAGTTGAAGCTGTGTGCAAACTGGATTGGGAACTGGGAGAGGAAGAAAGTGGGATGTGCTGTCAGAGGTTATTGTCATAACTTTGGCTGAAGTTACTGAGACAAGTAAGATGGAGGGCCAGTGGGACTGGAGAGGAGAGTACCGACGCCTGAGCAGGTAGGGAGCTCCTGCTGTCCCCCGCCCCTCCCCTCCTCTCCCTGAGTCTGCTCTAGGCAGGCATTTGCCACCGCAATTCCACCAAAACCTCTCCTATTGAGGTCACCAGTGACATCCTCATGGATAGTTCCAGTGCTCACTTCTCAGGCCTCATCTTGCTGACCTGCCAGCAGTATTTGACACCCTTGGTGTCCCCGCTTTCATCACTAGACTCTCCTCTCCCAGCCTCTGGGACACCACTGGCTCCTGGGTTTCTTCCCACCTCTCTGGCCACTCCTCCTTTCCCGATCATCTCACCTTCCTGTCCTTGGGCCCCTCCTTTTCAGTCTCATAGCTTTAAATTCCATCGACATGCTGATGGCACTTCAGTTGGTATCCCCAACCCAGACTTCTCCCTGAATGTCTGTGTTCCACTTTCCACTTGGTCTCTCCACTGGATGTCCAACAGATGACTCAGTGTTAGTATATTCCAAAAGGGCCTTGATCTCATTTCCCAATCCTGCTTACGGCCTTTGTATTTGCTGTTCCTCTGTCCCCAAATGCTCTTCCCCAAGTAGCCACACGGCTCACTGTCTCACCCCTGTGAGGTCTTCACCCTGACCCACTCTAGAATTCCACCCTCCCACACCGCCGTATCCTTCCTCTGCGTCCCTTTATTTCACGGGTTTCATCAACATTTAACATAACACACATTTTACTTATTTATATGTTTATTGTTTGTTTGCCTCTACTGGAATTTATATTTCATGATGGAAAGGATCTTTGTCTGGTTTGCTTCACTTTGAATTGCTGTATTCCTACCCCCTACAGTGTGTGGCACACGGTAGCTGCTCAGTGCATGTTTGTGGAATGAATGAGTGAATGAATAAATAGCAAACTGAACTTTTTCCTCTTTGGACTTGGGGAGCAAAGCCATATGAAAGGTCAGAGATGAAGTTCCAGTCTGGATGCCTGGAAGATACGGGGGTACAAGTCCCAGAAATTTAGAAACAAGGAGAAGGAGAAGTTTGAAAGTAGTGTGTGTAGACGGGGCCATTCTGAGTGTGAGTGACTTGAGAATCATCCTGTGATGATGTCCAGCAGGATTTGGGATAGGAAGGAGGGGGCTCTGGGAGGGGTAGATTGGGTAATTGCCCACAAAGAGGTGAGGACTTTTAGCCACAAGAAGAGGAAAGAGAGAGAGAGGGAGGGAGGGAAGAAAAGAGAGAGAGGGAGAAAGGGAGCGAGAGAGAGAAAGAGAGAGAGAGAAAAAACCAAGAGCAAATTATTGGGAACATTTACATTTAGGGGAGGAGAAAAACTTGTTGGAGTATTTTGAGGAGAGAATAACCAGGAGGTGAAATGTCACAGAAACCAAAGACGAAGTTTCAAGAAAGAAGAAACAGTTGATGATATTGAGCACTGCACAATGCGGGGGAGGATGAAGACTGGGAGATGGTCATTTGCTGTGACCACCCGCAGATCTGCCATCCTACTGCCCAAATAGCCCAGATGGCCTCAATCACAAGGGCGGACGTGCAGTGGGAAGTCGCGGAAAGCTTTAAGCAGCAGAGCGATAGAGTCAGAGCTCTGCTGGAGGCAGGCTAACAAGTTGGGAAGGGGAGAGAAGTAAGATGGACATTTCCTTTAGGAGGATATTGCAGTTATCCAGACCAAGGGAGTTCTGGAAGCTAACTTAAGGGCTGGTGGCTTCAATGTCCAACATGCAGCAAGAAAATGACTTGCTCAACGTCCCCAGGATCCTTGGGGTTCCTGGACCCCCGAGGCGGGCTTGACCATTGCTCTTTCCATGTTAGCAGCAATGGGTATTTCCCAATGCTGTGGCTCTCCGGCCCCCATAGCTAATATTTGTTTCCTATTGATCCAGTCTCCAGCCTGTTACTTTTTAACTGGAGTCCGGGGTTCAAAGGCCTGACTTTTGTTTAAACACCCATTACATCGGGGAGAACACGTCCCCCTGATGACCTCAGCTGATGAGCGAGCAAGGCTCTTCTAAGTCAATATGGACTGCAGAGAAGGCAAGAGGGGTGAGGACAGAGAGGGACTTAGGGTGGGGCGAGAGGGTGCGACATGGAGTGAGAAGACCCTCCTGGCAGAAGAACTCTTAGAATTTATAAGAGAGTTAAATAACTAAAATTCAAAAGAAAAATCCCAAACCCAAACTTTCTGCCACAAATAATATTGACCATGTTATAAGTTAATATCTGAAATTGTTTATCAAACAGAAAGTCTAAAAAATAGAACAAACGTCCTGGAGCTCCATCCAATAGTTCCTGGAGGCAGAGAATTGGGCCCTCAGTCTCCGGTCCTTTATGGCCCTTCAACTCGACTGGACAAAGGGACGTTTGTGGTGCCCTGCAAGGTGTGTGGAAAACATGAGGCACCTGCTTGTGAGGGTGGACAGAGAGGCTGTGTGGCTTCCTGTGAGGGCCTGAGGCTGGAGCTGTCCCTGAGAACAGGCTGTCTTTTCAGGAGGGAGCCCCTTATGCACAATGGATTGTGTGGTCTGAAGCAGGGCCTCTGCCCTCAAAAATCCTCCCCCGGTCAGTTTGCTGATAGCTAAGCGCTATAATTTCCACATTTATTCCTTTTGGCTTAAGCCAAGCTACATCTTTGGAGTTTGTTAAAATAAAAACACTTCTGGAAGATCATCACGTGTTTATTCTCATCAGTCATTTACATCTTAGTGTAAACAAGTGTATTGGCTCTTCCCTCTAGGAGGTCGTATGGAGGCGATGGTGGATGGGCAGGAGAGTGCGGTGGTTGAATGGGGACTTTCAGCCAGACAACCTGGGTTCAGGTCACCACTCTGCAAGGCTCTTAACCTCCCAGTCTGATTCCTCATGTGTCAAATGGGTAGTAGTAGTATCTTAAGAGAGAAAACTGAAGATCCCAGAAGCTTGGCAAATGACAGTAAGGCCACTGTCACAAGGGGAAATTCACTCTGCAAAAGGATGCTGAAGGCCAAAGATAAACTATCACGGGGTTTGGCTACTTGTTCTCAAACTCCTTCCCTTTTCCTCTGGGCTCTGCTAGATATTTCTAGCCTTCTTTGCAGTTAGGTACGGCCATTGACTGACATGTGGCCAGGGGAAGGTGGGCAGAGGTGATGTTTACCCCCTCCAGACCTGGCCCTCCTGTACAGGCTTCCACAGGCTCTCTTCCCACCTCTGCCTGTAGGCTACAGAGGAGCCTGTCCCAGGGGCTGGCGGAGCCCAGGTGGGAGGGGACCCGAGTTCCTAGATGACTTCTGGATCAGAGCATCGCCTCTAACCTACACAGGACTGTGAGAAATAAACCTTTATCATATGAGCCCCTGCTTGGGGGTTGCACGTTACAGCATGAACCTGCCCTACTAGTAAACTCTTGCCTTCTTCCCTCCTCAGGATAAATTCCCAAAGAAGAGGAGCGAGGTAGGAAGAGATGACTGGGGGCCAGGGAACTGGAGAACATTCCAGATCATCCCCTCCTCAGGCTTGAGGCACTGGTGACCCACTGAGGCAAAACATACCTGAATTTCAACCTAGAAGTTCAAGGTGATCATTGTATGTAAACAACAGGCTCAAACATCCTCCAAGGTGATTGTGTCTATTTGGGACGTGGAGATTTTCATGTCACGTGTGAAATGAGGATACTGTTTGGGTATTAAACTGATGTCTTTTTCATTCATCATACCCTCTGACTTCCTGCCCACTATCTTATTGCTTCAGGGTAGGGTAGGGTAGCTACCAGCTAGAATTGAAAACATCATTGTAATGCATTGTATGGTTCCATTTATAAGAAATTCTAGAACAAATAAAACTAATCTATGGTGGAAAAAATTGAGGACACTTGCTGGGGAGCATGGGGGTGGGGTCTGACCAGGAGGAGACTTGAAAGAACTTTCTGGGGCAATGGGAATTTGGGTCACACAGGAGTATGTCCTTGTCCAAACTCAGTGAATGTTCACTTAAGATTTGTGCATTTCTTTGCCCGTGAATTTTATCTCAAAAGAAAAAAGCCTAAATAAATAATAAAATCTAGTTAATGATAGGCATGCTGAAGTATTTGGGGGAAGTATATGATGCCTGCAATTTACTTAGCGCTGCTTCAATAATTACGATGGATTAAAGGATGGATAGCGGGATGGATGTGTGATGAGGCCGGCAGAGTAAGACGTAACCGTAGAACTAGGTGGTGGGTCTGCACGTGTTCACTGTGTAATTCTTTCAACTTTACTGAATGTTTGCAAGTTTTCATAACAAAATGTTGGAGGAAAAAAAAGTGCTTTGAGACTCAAAGCTAATAGTCCTTAGTCCTGAGGAAAATGGCATTGAATGCAAGGTTCTGCTAAGAGGCAAGAGATTTTTGTCCATTCTAAAAGCTTCTCTTTATTTATCAAGAGCTAAATCTAGATGATTCATATTGTAGACTTTTGCCCAAAGCCGTGGTGTCCCCAGAGGTGTTGCCAGTAGAGAGAAACAGGAAGAGGATCCCTTGGGTTGGGGAGGAAACGGGGTACAAGGTTAGGGCCCCGTGTGCCCATCTGAACCGGTGGAGGATTCTCAACCCTGAAACTCATGGACACGCATGCTGGTCTCAGCTCTGGGACCAGTTCCTACCTCTCCAGGTTCTCTAGTTTACTATGCAGATGACTGAGCACTGAAGAGTGCCACGTGTCCTGGGCAGGGGAGCCCCCATTCCCATGAGCAGCTTCTTACCGCCAGCATTTTCGGGCCCTCCCTCTGGCTCCTGGGCTTCTCCTGAATTTTGAGGAAGACAAGGGGAAACCCAGAGGGAGGGGTGGGCTCTGGCCCCTACCGGGAAGAGACAAAATGTCCCACGTTTGTCAAAATTTAGTCCCAGCTGGGATGATGTGTTACTTGAGGTTGGTTTAAGCTCTTTAAATGGTCCTGGTGTGGAGTCTCCGCCCCCATCTTCAAGTCACCAGGCTGAGAGCCTGCCCGCTGCCCCACCCTGAGGCCGAGGGCCTGGCTGCTCCCTCCCCGAGCTGGTTTATGGAATAGGACCAGCCTGACGTGCTTGCAGGATTCCCTTGAAAACCCAGGTTTTCTGCCTCAAGTGGGAAGCTGAAGGGCCTGACCCTGTCCCTGGGCCTGGCTCTGCCAGGGGTGGCATCGAGGCCAAGGGAGGCTGTCCCCAGCTGGGCTGTTACTGCCCCTCCTGCCCTCATCTCTCTTCTGGGTTCAGTGACAAGCGGCCCCTCTGCCACAGACAAGCGACTGGCCAGACTGGACGGTCCCATAGGGGCAGAGCGAGAAGCTGATTGCCCCTCCCCGTGGGCCTCCAGTTCCCAGGAATGAGAGGCACCCAGGGTGGTCGCCATTCGGGATCTCTGCAGGGGTGAGCAGTGTCACCCTGGCAGTCCCTGAGGGTAACAGGTGAGGACAAATCCTGGTCCTCCAGGCCAGCACTGGGCACATAGGGAGTGATCAAGGGCAAGAACCAGGACTTACATGGCCAAGGCCTTTCGGGGTCACATTCCGCGATTGTGTGATAAAGCTGGAAGAGCCCAGGAATCTTCTACCTCTAGCTTGTCTTGTGATTCAGTCTGGACAAGGCCAAGCAGGACTGAAAACTGTTAACTTCCTAATTCTGGGAACTGTATGGAAAACTCCCACGGCAGCGTATTGCTCAGAAACTGCCCAGATGTGTACTCTCCCTTTAATCCCAGCGGGATGTGCCTCTCACAGGTCACTCTGGATCCCCCTCAGGGCCGTGTGTTCATTCCGATGGTGGGTATACTCTAGCACCCGAGCCCTAATCCAAGCTGAGCTGTCTGCTGGTTCACTCTTCTCTCAGGGAGAAACAGAAAGGCTCTCCTCAAGCCTTAGGGGGCGGTAAGGCGAGAAGAAACACTCTGGGAGAAAACCTGCACCCCAAACCCCTCTCGCTGTCACTCCGTACCCCGTTCCAAGAGGCAGCAACGCAGCAAGGCTGCAGAGCCGCACGCGGTGGGTGCCCCATCGACGTGTCGAAGGGCACACCTGAAATGGCAAGTTTGTCGGGCACCTGGCCAACAATGGGATTAAGTTAAAACAGCCAGCTCAGACTTCAAGATAAAGAAAAGTCCAGAAGGTGCACAGAGAGGAGCCACATCCCTTCTGGGGTTCTGCAAGCAAGTGGGCCTGGGCTGGGGTGAGACCCAAGGGCGGTCTGCGACCTTCTCCCAGAAGCACTGAGTGCTGAGGGGGCCTTGTCCCAAGAAGGCCCCAGCTGTGAGATGCCATTCTGCCGAAAGGCAGATTGGGGATGCTCTCCACCGCTGTTCTGTCCTTTATCTCTTGTCACCTGTGACGTGCAGCCCAGTTGGGAACTGGCCAGGAGCAACTTGGGATTTGTAGGGGAAAGGGAAGGAGGCACATCGGAGAAGGGGACACGGGGTGGGCGTGGGGCATTGCAAAGGGGCTGGGCAGGAAGGGACAGGCTACTGCGGCTACTTTACCTTTTTCTCAGTCTAGCTTGAGCCAGCCCTACAAAGGGAATCTCCATTCTTACCCACCTCAGTCCTCACCAGTGGGGTCCCCGAAGTCGTGACAGGGTCATGCAATCTACTTACGGAGGAGTTTGTATCGGGTCTTAAGTAAACTCACCAGCAATTTGTTTCCCTGCTCAACTCAAATCCTACAAATACTTGCTCAGAGATTCCACAGCCTGAGTTCTCTGGAAACTCCCTGTTTTGGGAAGTGTGCTCTCTCAAGCCGGGGAACCCCAGAGGATCAGAAAATGGCTTTTGCACTCTCACGTCCAGGGACCCCTTTCAATGTGGTTCCTCAGAGCCAACCACAGGAATCAGAATTCCTGGACACCCAAGCTCATACCAACACTTTATTAGGGGCTTTAAAATTTCGGAAGTGCCTGGATCGCTCCTAGACTTAGAGCAGGTCAACAGCTTATTAACCTAGGAGCTGTGTAACTGATGTATGACAATTTGTTCCTCTATGTTATTTGTTCCACCATCGGTGTTTTTCTCTAAGACAGAACATATAAAAGTTCAAAGCGGCTCCATGCACCAGCACCTCCCTTGCATGTTCGTGCGAGGCTGGAGGAGGCAGCAGGAACTGAGAATGCTGTTCACACCTCTACAGTAAGATACAATACCATCCACTGCTAACTGAAAAAGACAAGTCACAAGAGACCAAGGACTAAACCATGTCCTGCTTGATCTTACCTCTGGGTCGTCCCTGAGGGGACAGGTTAAGGCTATCAAGAGGCAGCTTAATACTGAAGAGAAAGAAAACATTTCTTAAGGTGCCTGCCAGTTTTAAAAGGGAATTGACGTGAGATCTGGAAGTTGATAGCATCTTTCTTCTGAGAACCATCTTGGGCGTCATTACTGAGTTTCATTAATTCACAAAAATTGAGGGTTGGGTGGATAAAAACTAGAGATGAAATATGCCTTTCCAGGGACAGACTCATGGCTTCTATGAGTGTTGCATAAAAGTCATTCTCAAATCTAATAAAAAGACAAATGGGTAAGAATAGAGGTGCATCCCATTAAGCTTAAGCCGTGTGCTTTGGGGAGACTTTAGTGATGTTTTTAACGGTTTAAACTTTAGGGAGACTAAGGAAATGAACATACTATACACCTGCAGGCGTTTAACCCTCTGAACCAACTAAGGTGATCCATTCACGAAGAAGTGTTAAATCAGACAATCCATAATACTTGATGTAGAAAATGTTCCAGCTTCCATAATTCTTTATTAAATATTTGACAAGTTGCATCACTTCTTTACAACGACTTCATTTTGTCACATTACTCTCTGCTGTCAGGAAAACAATCTACAATTTCTTTTTAGATCTCTCAAAAAGAAAACGAAAAGCAAAAAGGATTTGTTCTTAAACAAAACTTTTCCCGTGTGTATCAAATTCAACCATATTTTAAAGCTATTTTGATTGTGAAAATGAGCATTATCCATAAGTGGTCTTTAAAAAATTTCAAAGTAGTTTGGTTGTTGATCACTGTATCAAATAGTACGTGGCTTTATATCACTAGGTGGGTTTATAATAAAAAGTTATGAAACATTGAGAATTCATTTGGAATGCTTGAAACTCTTTTCACCTTAAAAGTCACTGTTTTTTTTTTTTCATGTTTCATTTGATAATAGATCCTGAATTAAGAAATGACAGCAAATTAACATCATCTTCCTGGGGTTCTCTCAGGCTCTGAGGGTGAGAATTCTCAGGATACAGCTTGGAGAAAACTGTAGAAGGGATTAAGCTCTCACTCCCTTTCGAAACCAGATTACACAAGGTGTAAAAATGCTATACAAATATATACATATATATTTGGACAGCATAGGTACGTATATATGTATATATATTACATACATATTAATAAAGGAAGAACGAAGTCACGCAAAATTAACATGAAGGAAACCGTGACAATCTAGGTGAAATTAGTCTGAGTAAGAGGGGCGAACTGGCTTATAGAGGGACACGATGTCTGTAGGCGCGGTCATGGTCATGAGAAAGGCTTTCGATGCACTGATACACGGTTGAGAATGCAGTACACAGAGGTCTGTAGCCAACGTGTTAGATTCCTGTCGTTACTCCTTACAAACATAAAACCAACCAACAAAAAGACAGGCATTTTAAACATGCGGTGCTTTGCGCGTGACATCGTTAACGAAGGACAGGTGTTTACTGAGAGGTCTTCTTGGAAAATTTCATACAACTGAAAACTATCCTTTTCTATACAACATTATATGAGCTCACATCTCTAATGCTACAGCCTTGTCTCTGACACATTGGAAACAGTCTGGGGTGGGCGTGGGGGGTGTGCGTATGCAAGTGTATATACATTGTTCATTAAGGCGTAGATAAATTGAAAAAAGTGGTCCAAAGTACATCACATTTTCTTCCCAGTTTTAAAATCTAAAGTACAAAGTGAAGTTTATAAGGATTTTTTAAAACACATCTGAGACCTGAAGGTGGCAGTTTTGATGTGACTTCTCAGGGTGTCCCCCAAAGCCTGAATGAGACAGAGGTAGTGCGTGACCTCCTGGGGGTCAGGAAGGGAGCAGGCCGGGCAGTTACCCTGCACAGCTGCACCCCCTACTGGCAAGGCAGAAAATGATACCAGACAGCCTGTCCCCTCTGCTCCCTGTCAGTACGGACCTGCAGAGTCCCGGTGAGGACAGAGGCAAAGAAAGAGGACAGCACAGCGAGGAGGGGCTCGAGAAGTGACTAACCCGGGCTCTCTTTCTAGAATTTAAAATTTCAGAGGTGAGATACAAAACTTAGGAAAATACCAGAGTCAAGCACTAAACATTCAGTAACTGTTAGAACAATCAGTAATTTGCTGCATACGAATTTGGCTTTCAAAACAGACAATCTGACAAGATCAAACAGCAATGGTACACGTTGTCCATTTAACAGTGTGAGATGTAGAAAAGAGGCTCAAATATTTTGCAAACTATTTCTCAGAATCTGTCACTGCATCCTTCTGTGGGAGGAATCATCCTGTCAGGTTGCTTTACAGTGTTTGTCATCTGACCTTAGGGACTATCTACATCAGCTACCAAAGGGCCTTGGGATCAAAAATCAAAGAAGCATCTTACATTCTTGTGATCTGGCAGAGGACTGGTTACAGGAAAGTAAATAATGGAAAATGTTTCAAAGGAAAAAGGAAAAGAGCAGTGAAGCTGCAAACAACTTTAAAACAGACTAATGCCGCCCTGTTTCCCGCTCCAGGGGCAGCAGGAGGATTCGCGGCACACGACCCGGAGCTGATCCCACTGGGGGACTCTCCACATTCATCCTCAGGCCAACAAAGGCAGGAACAGAAATGCCCGGGACCGACAGGTGCGTGTGATAACTGATGTCAAAAGGCCTTCAAGATGCAGTATGTCAGCTCTGGAACTTATTTCTTCATCTCATGACCAACTAGCCCACAATGTCTACAACTTCTTCAGGGAACTAAAGTAAGTGGATTCAGGTAATTTCTAAGAAAACAGAGGCTATAGAGACCCTGGACTTTGGAGTGGCACTGCTGCGAAAGACAACTAGAATAGGGGACATCGCCCTTCTCCCCCAGGCCTGCTGACCGGAGCGGGCGGAGGCCCAAGGAATGGCCCAGCAGTCTGCTCTCACGCAGAGCATTTTCTTTACTGTCATCCATAGTCACGTCAGAGTGGTCATTAGGATTTAGAGAAAACAAGATAGATGACTATTTTAGACAAAGAGTGAAATACCAAGAATTGCTGAGTACTAGGGAATCTTATTTGGATTTTAAAAACAAAACCAAAAACAACCGCCGAACCCAGCACTGTTTGGCTGTCACTGAAATCAGATATTAAGGGGGAGATGAACCGAACTGTCATTCACAGTTACTGCCTTCCAAGTATTCACAGGGGTATATTTCGAGAATTCTTATCTGTTCCTGGATTAGAAATTATCTTAGAATGGTTTTTCTTGCATATTTTTATACTTTGCCTAATTTGCATTTAGTGAACACTCCAATTTTTGGAATATACAGTTTACAAAATGTCAGAAGAATCTCAGCTCTTAGACAAGCATCGGCGGACTCCTCCCCTATAATTCCAGGATCCCTCTGAGAACCCACCCAAGCGTGCTGCTCGCTCAGGCTGTGCCACGAGTTCAGGAAGAAAGCCGACTCGGGACGAGAAGGGGCTACAAGAAAGGGGTTTTTTGCCACTGAGGCATCTGTTCTACTGACGGAAGGGAAAAAAATCCCACCAACAGATAAGAATAACGAGCAATGTAGTTTTTTCTAATTACTCACCATCTAACTTTTCCGATCACTATTCTATTTTTAAATCGACATGAAAAGGGACCCAATCCCCAGCCCTGCAGAAATCTACCCACTTTCAGACACCACCGACCTCTGTAGCCCTTTGGACAACTCGCTTATAACCACACACGTTCTGTGGCTTCTCACCAGCCACCCAGGGCTGGGTACGAATGAATTTCTTATACCAAAAGGTCCTTCTTACCTAACAGATGGAGGCCCTGAAACCACAATTTTTTGTCTTATCTACAACTGGCAAGAGATCAGATCTCGAGAGTCCTGGCCGGCCACAACACGGTCTAGGACGACACGTTAGAAAGGGCAGCGGGGGCTGAACTCCCACGCTGCCTCAGGTGCTCTCTCAAAACACGACAGAACTCTGCAACGGAGACTCACAAGAGGGAACGAATTGAACTGCACAGATACTCTCCATCCCCCGCCACTACCAGAGCAACAGCCTGACCACAGTGGCAGAGCATCTTCCCTCTGTAATCTAGCACACAACAGACACAACTCAGGCAGTACACAGTAGCGAAGCATGCAACATGTCATAGGTAACAAAACCCAGTTAGGTTAAGTGTATATTAAATTAATCTTTGTAGTTGAGTAGAAATCACAGAACAATTGGTGAGGACAGGTCTGTAGGCTCAGCTTTACATCCAGATTTTATACACCAGCAGCCAGATTCACAATTGATAGATATTGCACCGGAAAGATGTGTGCAGGAAGAAGAAATCATCATCACATTTAATGTCTATGATAAAAAAACAAAACATAAACAAAACCAGATATGACCTCCATGTAGTACATAAAGTGCCTTCAGAATTGGTGCAGTTAGAACAAAAATTGGTTATTTAGCTACCATTAGCAAACGCGTACGAAGAAGAGACTAAACAGATCTGGTTTCCACAGTTTCAAATCAAGCCGTGCCAAGTTTCATTCAAACGTCTCTACTACGAACAGCGAAGAGGAAAATAGAAGAAAAGAAGGACTGTACAGCATCAGGAAGGGCTAAGTATTTCTCTTACGAGAAATGACAGTCAACCCTGTCTCAAATGTGTTCTAGCACACGTAATCACGGCTAAGGAATAATGGCGGGATTCCTCCAAGTCAACACAAAATTTGTCATGCTATGTTACAATTCTCTCAGCCTGCAGCTATTATGCTAAATTTGTACAAAAAAATGTAACATCCAGTTTGTTTTCACTCTGAGTATGGAAAAAAATGATCATTATGCCTAATGTTATGTTTTAAATACTCTCAAAGTACTTGTCTGTAGAAGGTTTTTGGACAAAAATCGGTCTTCCAATTCTAATAAAGTTGAGGGCAGGGTGTCAAAGTACTTCAAAAATAAAAACGTCACTGACATTAAACCTGGTATGAAATTCAAATACAAAAAAAATATGCTCACTTTTCCAAGTACATGAGACATCTTTAATCGTAATGAAATAAAATCTGAAAATCGGTCTAAATCATTTTAAAAAGTAAACATGAGTTGTAATACTATACCTGTAGAGTGATTAATTCCATTCATTGTCATTATAAAGTATGTAAAATATTTATTAAGGGCTTTGCCTACAGAGGCACAACATAAATAGAAGAAGTCCTCCTGAAATGTAATTAGTGTACACATCAACCAGTTGATAATTTGCGGTGGAAAACGCAGGCACGCGACCCAGGACTGGGTTCCACGTGTGAACCTGGGCAAGTCACGGATGGAGGCTCTGCTCCAGGAGCCGCCCGTGCAACCGCTCTTCTGCCACTGTCTCTGCAAAGTCTGTCAGGCAAATGCAAAGGTGCAAGCGGGACTTGCTCGATGAACAACCACCGGAGGCCGGGGGCGCTTAATCCACCCCCTCGAATCCTTGAGCATTCTCCACGGCCATGAGAAGCTTCTCTCGTAAATCTTCAAAGGTTTCATATGGAGGTAAGTCAAGGCGATTAAAGCTGCAAAAGTAACACAAAGTTTGGGTAAAACGCCATCAGTATGACCCGTTAGTTACGACAGCATTTCCTAGATTTGGCTAAGGGGGCATTTGGTGTTTGAGCAAGAGGATGTAAAAGTCTGAACCACCTATTTGGATTATCATACAAGAAATTCCCGCCATGAGCCTGTCTACACCAAACAGGCCATATAACCTACAGAGGAGAGGAAAGAATTTCTAACAGTCCATAAAACCTATTACAGCCAGAGGTGGATCCTGGAAAAATGCTGCTGGGGAAGGAGACACGAAAGGCAAGTAACTGACACACATTCCAAGATTTCAAAACCCTGGAAACACACAGACCTCAGGCACGAGGAGCTATGGAGGAGGCGAGGCTGTGCTGCTCCTAAGGCCCTCACTTATTCTACGGCAGGCTCTGAGCCAGAGCTTTCCCAGGTAATAACTCACCTTGTTTTCACCACAGGCCTGTGAGCCAGGGGATGTCTTCTCCGTCCTGGAGATGCGAGTGGAGCACTGAGAGGGACCATGTGCCCGAGCTCACCCTGGGAGCACGGCACACTCATGACCGCACCCCGGGCTGCCTGTGGCTCCAGAACCCCAATGCTAAGCTCCCTCCCCTAACCAAAGTCAGGCAAGTAATCGACATTTGGAGGGAAAAGCTGCATTTATGAAAAGGCACTAAAAACCTGGAGGCTTTGGCTGGAGTGTTATCACCCTGGTCACAGAGAGGCCCTCAGACAAATGACGGCCTTCGTGAGCAACGGAGCCTACTTGTCTATGAGACCAAGTTCAAATTCTGGCTCTGCCACTTGCCAGCTGTGTGACCTTCACTCTCTGAATCTGTCTGCTCTTCTGTGAAATGGGGACACTGCTTCCAGGGTGCTGGGAAGATCTAATGAGAACAGATGTAGTGTGTGCCTAGAACTCAGCACGCGCCCAAAGATGGTGACAATGGTTATCATTCACTCGCCGTTCACTGAGCGCCCTCAGTGGGTGCGAGGAGTTCGAGCCCCTGTCACAGAATGAATGCATGTGGGGTGGAGTGCTGCGTGTACCTGTCATGAACATGGCTATCCACCCTTGCCACAGCTAAGGACGATTTAAAGAGCTGACGTCCATGGAGCCAGTCAGCATTGTGAAGTACTTTTCAGCCATTACCTCCGTCAATCCCAGCAATCACCCTGTATGGTAGGTAACGCTTCATCTCTACTTTAGAGGAGGAATTCGAGGCACAGAGAGGTTAGGTAACTTGCCCAAGGTCGCGGAGTAAGCAGCAGAGCCAGGATTCAGACCTAGGCTGGCTCCAAAGCCCGGCTCTAACCATTGCTTGTGCTATGTTGGCATTTAAAACCTCCCCCTCAGGGCCTTGCCCTATGGTTCCAAGTAGGAGCAGAACAACTTCCTGTGTTCTAAAAGCTAACGATTATCAGCAGCAGGACGACACAGACACATGTCCGTGGCGGGCCCTTTAACAAGTCTACCCTGTTTAATAAGACACACTGAGCTCTCAGATTTTTTAAGTCACTAAACATAAAACACATAACAGAGAGTACCACTGTGCTTCTCAAACTGGAGTTCTCAGAAACCCAGGAAGCCTAAAAGAAGTCTAAAAGTCATCTTCAACTTTTTGTTCTCCCTTTGATGTCGATTATTAATGATAATGACCTCAATTCTTATTTTCCCAGTGATAAGGACGGAACTCCACTTTTTCAGCCTGCACTTAGAAGAGCCTTTCACAGCAGGAGGCTTTATCCCACAGTCCAGGGCCTGCGGTCCCGTGGGGTCTGGAGACGTGTGCCCAAGGATCTGAGAGCATCTTTCCTTTGATGTGACCCACTTCTTACAACTGTTGTGCCAATTATATGAGTAAATGCACACCGAGTGCTTCGGATGGTGCCTGACCACGCTAAGTGCTTAATCACGTTGGTTACCTTTACTTCTGAGGGTGGGGGACAGGGTTTGGGGGTCAGGGGTCAGGCTCTGGCCACCACTAACTGGCTGTGTGACCTCATTATCCTCAGGGGGCTTCAGCTTCCTCACGTGAAAGATGCGTGGGCCGACTGAGATTATTTTCAGAGTGTACCTGAAACAGCAGGCAGGTCTGAGACTCTTAGCAAAGTATAATTTTAAATATCTAGGCAGTGGCCTTTGAGACAACAATGAAATGAAGCCCTTTAAATATCAGACACTCAAATAATTACACCTGAGAGGTTTATGAAAAATATCCTTCAGAAAGAACCAGATTTACCAAGTCTTGCTTCCCTGGTAAATCAGGTTTTTATTACAAAGCTTAATTGTGTATTTTACATTTTTATAAAACATAGAAGAAATTAGACATATATATAGCTAAATGTGATTGCAGAGCAGTTGCTGTGAGGCAGCCAGCAAGGTTCCCATTTCCTACATTGCAGTGCAATCGGGGCCGGGAGGGAGGAAAGACGGGCAGCAGAGACAACAGAGGGAGCCCCAGCCCTCCGGGCCAGTGCTGCTGGCAGCCAGCACTCCTCCTCGGCAGGCGCAGAGCTAGTCTGGAAGAGCATCCTTAGGAAACCCTTTGGTTGCTTTATTTCTATGACACACAGAGAAGGAAAGAGGCTTAGGTAAGAGCCAGCTGGGTTGCTTTCCTCCGGTAGGCGACCACTGTCCTTCTTGGGGAAAAGTAGTTATAACCTGAGCTGTCTGCCAGAACCTCCTGGGGAGCTCCGAAAATCCCACCGCCCATGCCACACACCAGACCAACCAGGTCCAAATCTCTAGGGGTAAGACTTTGGCATCAGTAGTTTTTTTTTTTTTTTTAAACTCTCTAGGTGGTTCCGATGGGCAGCCAGGGTTGAGAACCACTGAATTTGGAGGCCTTATCTGGGCAGCTTCCTATTTTAGTTGTGGCTGAAGCATGTGAACTCCGAAACAGAAGAAAAGTTCAACAGTAAGTATCTGTCCACAGGGTCACAGAGGGACATGGCTGAACACCCCATTACCTGCTTCTCTTTGAAGAGTCTAAAAAGAAAGCGGCCTGGATCATCAGAGGTGGTAGATCCAGTGTAGAGGTTAGGGGGCAGATTCCAATCCTGGCAGACCTGAGTTCAAATCCTGATTTGGGAATCTGGCCTGGGTGATCACGGGCAAGCTTCCTAAGAGCCCGTGGGAAGGACGAGGTCACCGTAAGGGCTGACCCACATGAGACGGTTGTGCCCGATAACTTAGCTCTAACTCCTATTTGTCATCATTAGCCTATGAATCAGCAGCCCTGGGGCCCAGCTCCACGCTGGCTATCACAACCCAGGAAACCACAGCTGACTGAGCCTGTTGGAATAAAAGCTCCGAATTACCAAAAACATTCTCTCCTCGAATAAAGGCGGAGAATCACAGACAGTGACTGCTCTGGAGAGTCGCCAATTTTAGCTGGAGTCAGCTTGCTTCCAGGGCTCCGACAGGCAAGGACCATATTCATTCCCTTCAGAGTTATATGAATGGTAAAATGGGAAAAGACTTTCTTTCCAGCGAGGTGAGGGAATCAAACAGAAGCAAAAAACCCTCTCACAGCCATTTCTCACAAATCTGCTCCACGAGAATTCTCTCCCAGCTGGGGCTCTGCGGTCAGCGAGGCATTTCCTGCAAGGACTGCTCAGTTGCACTGGGCAGAGCAGGGTGGCCAAAGTGGGTTTTAGTGGCCCTTGCTGCTCGTGAGGACGGAGGGCTGTGCGGCTCACTATTCCTAAGAGCAAGAAATAAAACCCTGCGGGGGAAACCAACTCAATGGCTGTGGGAGCTTGGATGAGCAAGAGCTCCAGGAGCTGCTAAGAAACTCTTCAGAGAAGCCGAGCCCCCTCCTTGTCGCTCTGCCACACCCACCCTTGTCTCCGCAGGCCAGGCAGTGGTCCTTCAACCGTCCTCTTACACTCCTCCAGCCACAATCACATTGTTACTAAATTCCAGAGACTTATGGGTTACTGACAGCCACAGAAGGCCTTTTAAAAACAATGTTTCTACAGGGAATTTTATCCCAAGTTCTAAATAACTAATTTAAGGTTGGAGTAAAAACCCAATCTGTTTAGAGTTTGGAAGTTGTCATATCCACACATGGTGAATAAATAGTGAAAGCTCTGCTTCCTAGAATATTAGGGAAGGATGGGGTTTGCAGGAGGAATTCCCGAGAGCATGGAGGGTTTAACCCTTTAGTGCCCAGCATACTGGGTCCATTCAAATCTTGGTTAAGGCTTCATCAGCATTCCTGTACAATTTATACGTCTTCTCCGGCATCACTGACATCTGTACTCTAGCCTACCTATGGGCAGCAACGTAGGACTGATTCCACAGCCTCTAGCCCAGCACCATAGACAGCTAAGCATTTAAAACACTGTTTGCTGACAACAGTGTGTGTTTGTCACTTACCACGTGTGAGCTCTGGGCAGTTTCTCAGGACTCCCCCATTGCTCTATTGTAAACAGCTGAGGACCATTGGAACCTGGACAAAAAAGAAAAATTAACGCTCCGAGTTCTCAGGGCGGGAGACCAAAGCTAAGGTGTGACTTAAGAAAAGGGAAGGAGGTGGGCAGGGCACACCTCGAGCTGAGCCCTGAGACACCCTCTTCAAGTGCTACGTGACCATTTAAGTCAGCTGAACCCTGGAAGTTGAAATTTAAAACTACTTTTGGGCAAAAAAAAAGAAACGTGACCCTTCATATACAGAGCAGAAAGAGTGATGTCTTTAATCTACAGCAAGCACTGCGTAATTGTGCCTCCTGCAGATGAATATTTAAATGTTCAGTTTATAACCATACAGGTGATTCTGCAAAATCTAGTTTTTAGACACATACCAAAAAAACAAAACAAAACAGAGAAAAAAGAGAAGACCAACCTTATGGCTCTCTGTACAAAAACATCCCCCCATGTCCCTCGTAAAGGTGAGTCCACGCACAGCCTGGGTAGCCGCACATCCCCTTTCTCTACACGAGGGACGCCCACGGGGCTCTGTACAGTGCCCTCGTGCAGAGGCCTGGTAGGCAGCCTTCTCGGGACACAGCTGACGCCTGGCTAGAAGCTCCCAGGAGAACTGAATCTAAGGGTGTCCTGCTCACCATAAAGTTCGGCAAATCCATTCATCGGTACTCGCGACGTCCCAGTGACAAACTGCAGTAACCGGATGCGCTTCTCAGCGTCCATCAGCAGCACAGCCTACGAACAGAGGCAGAAGGTCATCATGCCCCCCACGTGACAGGCAGCACATGCTGCTGTAACGCAGACGGGAAAAACTTAATCTTATTTATATTGCAATGTAAGACCTAGACAGTTGACTCTGAAAGCTTGAGTCTTCTTCTTTTTTTTTTTTTTACGGCCACCCCAATATTGGCCTCTCTCATCTTAGAGAGCAAGAGATGTCAATGTCTCTTTCTTCTTCTGTCAATAGATCAAAATAAATGATATAAAAAGCAAAACGTTCACTGGCACAAAGCTCGTGTTTCTGTGTGCGAGGCTGCCGGCCCCAAGCCCGTTATAAACATACAGTGCTGGAGAAATGTCAAGACCAGGGGCCCGGGGAAATGAGGTGGGATTTCCAATTGCAGACAAGTTCTCTAAAGACAACATTTCATGAATAGAAAGAAAAACTAGAACTAAGGATAGGCCTCTAAAATAATCTGTGTATCTTACATATCTGAATTCTTACAAATACTGAGTTGGCTTTACTGGGAGTGTTACTTGACCTATTGTATAAAAAAAAAAAAAAGAAAAAAAAAGAAAAAAAAGAAATCCAAAATCAAAGCTGGGCGAGACTTGGACCAGGATTCGATGATTCTGTTTTTTTCTTTCTCTCTCTCTATACTTCTGCTGACACTTGGAATATTATTAATAATGGACATTTAGAAATTTAAAAAATGTATATGATTTCTTATTTCTGTAAGTAAACAATCAGCTTTTTTTCCTGTAATTGTTCTTTCATAGTCAGTTTGCCACTGCTCCCTTGGACCCACTCAATCATATTTCACTTTTCTCTCCTAAGCTAAACAGAAAATACTGAATCAAATGTTATTTGCATCTATCTTTGACTGAAAGATATAGAGATGAAAATGTTTATTGGAATTAACAAAACAAAAATTGGGAAAATGATTTTTTAACCAAAAATGGCAGCTTGGAAAAGTCAGCCCCAAAGCATGATTTCGCCCTGAAAAGCCTGCCGCTCTTACTAACACTTTGGAGGACTAGTTCCAACTCTTGATTCCAACTGCCTCCTTTTCAGAATCATCCTACGGAAGGGGTTCCTCGAACAAAAGCCACTGTCATCAGGTGGTCAAGGAAGGGCAGCGTGCTGGGGAAAGGGGGAGCCTTAGTCAAGGGCAGTTGCCCAGTTGAGTTACAGAAAACAGCAGGAAGGGCTGCTTCTAGCTCAGTTTGCCTCTTCTCTCCCCCAGCAGCCCAAGTACGAACAGAGCCCCAACCTGCCGCAGCCAGCCTAAAGCAGGACACAGGACGGGCAGGACAGAGCCCTCGGGCCTGGCCCGGGTGGAGGAAACAGGGACTGAGCCCCGGGAGCCCTGGCCTTACCTTCCAGAACCATTGAATCACAGGGTGGTTTGGGCAGTAGCCGTTCTTGTAAATAGAATGCTGTCTCCAGTCATTGACGTCCACATCACCAAGGCCGCACATCAGCAACTAGGAAGGAGATGAACCAGATGTAAACAGGGCACGATGGCCTTCTCTCAATGCCAGCACCTTGTCACGAGCAAACACATGAAGGGGAGTGTGTGTTCCACATTTCACCTGCCACCGCACACCAATCACAGAGACAGTGCAGATCACAAGGGGAACCTGATTCTGACACCTGTACAGGCCACAACACTTCACACTGGAAATTACAACTCCACAGCAATCATCCTCTCGAGCTCTCTAACCCGAGCACAGTGCTCACAGAGCTTCTACACTCCACTTACATCTGCTCGTTGCCCTGGCCGATTCCCCTTCTGGGAGGTCATTTGTCTCAATATTTGAAAATACCTTCCCACCCACAAGAGAATTCGTGCGTTATGACAGCAAGAACTCATCTCCCCCAGATCCATCAACCCAGGCAAGGGCAAATCACCCCATCCGTCCACAGGCCCGTGGATGCAGACCTGCACTGACGAAATAACTGGCTCTCTGACTTACCAGTTAGTCTTAGGTCTACTTTTCTTATTACCTAATCCTCCAACAGGGAAGGTTTCCTATGGACAAAGGAATGATATTCTGGCAGAGGTAGCAGAGTAAAATGGAGGGAAAACTAAACCAGAGCCTGAAAACTGGACTCCCAGGCCTAACCGTGCCAAAGCCTCGTGGGATAAACCTGTGAGGTCACTAACTTCTCCCTTCCTCAGTTGCCCACCTGTCAAAGGCAAGGCTTCCACTATATGTTTTCTATGCCATCATCTACCTTGAATTTTCCATTTTAAGATAAAAGAAGAGAAAGCCAGTCTATGGGAAATGCTTCACTGGATGTGACTTGGACAAACGGATAACTGAGTCCCAGCAACAGCTTCTCAAAAGACGCAGCGTTCCTCCTGCTGCTTCTCTCAACACAAGAAAGAGGGAGAGATTCCTCTGCTTTTTAAACTGCTAGTTTTCCCCTATGTCAACACAAAGCTGAAATAATCTAATCTTAAACTAGCTCCTGCTTGGCCACATCCAGTTCACTGGGACAACTGTTCCACCGTCCCCTGGAGACCCTTAACTCATCCCCTGGCCAAGTCCTCGTCCGCTGTCACGGGGGGCGTGGAGAGCAGGTGCAGGACACTCAGCCAGCCCCACCCTGTGATCAGGGTGCTGTCACCCCACTGGCCACCACAGTCCTGGCTCTACTGGGAGCAGGAGTTTTCCTCCCCTGGTGTGCAGACCGTGAACCCCCCTCAGCCCAGGGGACCCCTACTCGTCTGCGGGGTCCCAGCACCGCCCCTCCTGGACGAGGAATTGAAGGTGACCACTTTGCTATTCCCCATTCCCAGACTGACATATGAGCCCCTTCAGAGATAGGTAGTAGAATTCAGTTAAGCTTACTCCCTTGGACATTAAGGATCAGAAAATACTAAAATATCATTTGTGAAGTAATGAGACTCTTTGAAAAAATCTATTTTACACAAGATGTTTGCAATACTAACCTCTAGCTCATTTTCATCAAAAATTTTAATCAAATCAATAGGAAGCAGTTCTGTGAATCCCTGAAAGAAAGAAAAAAAAAACCCTAAACACCTTTTTCCTTGTAAGAGGCACATTTTACAGGAGAAACAAATTTTTTTTCGTTATCCAGGAAAAATAAGTTCTTTACTGATGATTTATATATCAGTGACAGTATCCGGTAATTGTAGTTCCAATAAAAACAGCATAGTCATAATATAAAGATTCTGAAAACCAGTAGAATCTAGAAGGTGCAGGTACCTGAGTAATTTTTGAAACCCTAAGAAAACACGGGTTACTGTGGGCAGGCAGATTCCAAAAGCCATTTATGACACACTACTGTGAGTCAGTGTGTCCTAAAACGTACAGGCCACAGACGTGCGAGAGGATGCATTTAAAAAGAAGGCACATAGATGAAACACAAAGGAGGCAGTGTGATCCAGCAGAGGAGAGACTGGGAGGTACCCTGCTCTAGTTCCCAGGTTACCATCACCTAGTGGAGTCATCTAGGACGAGACTCTGCCGCTGGGCCTGGCATGTGGCTGGGTCTCTGAAAGTGTGCTCGTCTGGGGCGGGGCCCAGATCTGCTTCCTGGGTTTCTTAAGTAAATAAAGTACGAAGCTTGCTGTTCTCAAGTGTGTCCTAACTTACTTTCTGCCCCGAGTCCCTGAATTGTTTTGAGTGTTCTGTTTGGGCAAGGGCTTACACACCACGTGGAAGTGACAAGGTGGGGTAAGCTACGAGAGCATTGCCCAATAGGAACTCTGCATCAGTTCAGTGGAAATTTATAATGTGCACTTGGGGCTGGGGTTCCTGTGTTCTCTTTCAAGTAACTAATAGACATTATCAAGATTTAAAAAGGAATTTCAGTTTTGGTCAAAGTGAACCATTTATTAAAATGATGAATCCCCTCACCTTCTGTTAGGGGACTCTCATGGGGAACCTGGGAGCACCACTGACATTAAATACTTGGATCTGAGAAGCACCTGCTCCACCCTTTAAGAGGGTGAAAGTTGGCACAAGGTGGCTTGGTATAGCATAAAAACCCAGCTTAAGCAGGTGTGTTTTACCTGCACGTGCACAGGAGAGAAGTCTGTGAGGAACTACTCAGAGCCAGAGGGAAGGGCAGGACAGAAGGGGAAGGCGTCGTTACTAGGGAGGGACGGCATGACTGGAACGGCCTTTTATACTGTTCACCCCCAGTCTTCACATTTCCTAGAACCTGTCACTGCAGCAAAAGGCAGAGATGCGCCTCCCAGCCTCCCCTTGGGTACCGCCGGGCAGTGCAAGACAGCGGGTCCAGCCTCTGCGGGGGAACCTGCCCCTCCGGATCAAGTCTGTCCCAAGTTCTCTTACAGTCATGGCAAATCAAAACGTAAGAAGCAAAGTAAGAGAACACTGGACAAAATAAAACAAAGAACAGGAGGGTGGCAATGCAGCGGCAGACACTCCTGTCTTGGACACTGGTCAGCGGTGTGAGCTGTGCCGCCCTGTCCCCCATGCCCATGCCATCTCTCGGTGTGTGATCACTTGCCCTCCTCCGAGGACGAAGGCCACCCTCTCAGCCTGTCACTAAGGGCGCAGGCAGAGCATCTCAGTGAGCACAGCTTACCTCCAAGAAGGCGTTCATTTGCTTCTGGACCCTGTTCACAAACCTCCACTGGATGACTAAGCTGCGGGAGAAGATGCAACAGCATTTAGCCACTTTCATCACTAGCCCTCGTTCCTTCACAGCCGCGAGGACTTCCCACTCAGCAGGGGAAAGAAGAGAAACCTCGCACTGGCAAAGGAAGAGGAGAGGCTGGGGCCGCGGGGCACACGGTATCCATTCGTTCTTTCAAGAGTAGCCAGAATCTATGTGAAAATCCTAAAACCTCACTGAGGATTTCAGTTGATTTCTTCTTTTCCCCCAGATCAAGCCTTAGTTTATTAAAGTTGCTTTATAAATATGACTACATAGAAAAAACGGAAAAGGTCATACAATATGAACACATATGTCTATGTGCATAACATGTGCACACACATGAACTTATATACATGTATACATATGTAGACATATTTTTGAAGGGAGTACCCAGAAGAATATATTTTGTCAAATTTCCTTCTAGCATCCAACATATCGATTTTCAACAATGACATATAATTTATCAGCAAAATGATTTACTTTAATACCCAACTTTGGAGGATTAATGGTAAGACTTCTTTAAGTAAAAGAAATCCACAGGAACTATTTTCCCTGTGACAATGTTTAGTGTATAGCAGAATTTATTGCTGGGCAAATCCACTTTGGATTCCGTCTGAGGCGTTGTGCCGTGAAACAGCACAAGGATCTTGTCATAAAGGGCTCTCACCCACGAGGTGGCAACCATGGCAACGGCCCTTGGGGACGAGCCGCCCCACACAGCCGCTGCCCGGCCGTGTCAGGCTTTATTGTGCTGTACTGTAGTCAGTAGCCTCCTTCTTGTACCCGGGGAACACGTGTGCCAGGGAGCAGCTGGGATGTCAATCACCCTTTTCTCAGCGAAGCTAGCTGAAACTGTGCCTGACCCCACTTCCCACCAAATATGAAACCTAAAAGAATTAACTGCTAAGAATGATGTGCAACACGTATCACGATGTCCAAACCCTCAGACTTCTGACCCTAGTCACCCTGGGGTGCACTGTTTGTAAAATCTATTCAAAGTCTGCACTTTCCGAATGAAGACGATGGTGTGTGCCAGGGTGTTGTCTTGCTTGTTGAGACTGTCAGAGTTCAGAACGAGTGTGCCGATTAACGTGGACAGGTAAGAACTATGGCATCTTACTTTTGTTTTCTATTAGGTGTAGCAGCTTTTAGAGGAGAAGTCTGCTATGCAATAGTCCATGCTTTGTCAGGGGCTTTAAGTAGAGGCTCCAACATTCTCCATTTCTTCCTAATTAAAAAGGACAGTAGGTTTTCTTTGCAGATCACACTAAAAGATGTCAAGACCCTTGGCCAAGTCTCCAAAGAGAGGAGGGAACTCAGCTCGTTGAAATGGGGCGTTAAATGTAAACATGGAGCTCAGGCCACTGCTGTCATCCGCAAGATGAGCAGAAAACCAGGACCCAGGAACCAAACACTGCTGCACTGACCTCATTCCTGGGCCAGGGCTGGCGAGGGCAACCTGGCAGTCCTTGGAAGAGCCCAGAACTGTGTCTTTGAAGCATATATATATACATATATATATATATATATATATACACACACACACATATATATATATATATATATACATACACACACACACACTCTAAAGAGAAAAATGTAATGTGATCAAGAGAGAAAGACCTTCTGCCTAGTAGAAATGCCCTAGGATTACTTAACAGATGGACTTCCAAAGGACTAAATATTTTGTTCCACCAACTGAGGCTGAGATTAGGTTAAGAAAATTACAAATATCAGAAATAATTTATTATGTTTGCATGTGCTGAATCTTCCTATCCATTTAAACTGTTTCTTACATTTTCACTATGGAAACGAACTCAAGAGAGAGATACACTGTGTTCCATTGCTGCAATTCTCAATTTTAGACCAGATACCCACATACTCTAAGAGTATTTGCAGATTACTCAGTAATGCACACTTTTTTCTCCTTTCGCTGTTCCTTTATATAGAACCTCACTGATGTCATGATACAAGTCAAACTTTCCATCCCATATTTCAACTTTCTATTAGCCAGAAAGGAACTCACATGGTTGAAAGTACATCCATCATATACAAGAGCTGTTTTGATAAGGAACTTCAACCAAATATGCTGTTCGATTTAATAAAAGAAACAGTTGTAAACATGTGTATACGTACTCGATATACTCCCTTTTGTTTTCATTTGTTACCATTATTTCTGACCCATTGGGCTTCAGGTCCACTTGATATGTCTGTAATTACAAAGATAAAACAACAATCACCATTGTGAAGTTATTTTGCATATGATTACTGAGTAATAATGTCTTACCATAAAAGGAAGATAAGCAAAATTTATTCAGAATTATTTCCCAGCAATAGGGCTCAGAGTACAAGAGAAGGTCTAAGGAGGCCTTTAAATTATTAAGATCCTACACATTTAAAGATGTTATCATTAAAGGCAAATTATTCTATGGTTATTTAGGAGTTTTAACTATTCTTCATACATTAGGAACAATAGAGAAGAACAACATTTTTTCATCTGCCAACTAATTCATTTACCAAGAAATTAATTATATTTAACAGAAAAGGCAGGGTACCTCCATCAAGACTACAGAGATCCAAATTCTAATATTTTGTTCTTGAAAATTAGATTTTATAGGCATTAAAAAAAAAGATGTGTGGAATTTCTTCCAGAGACAAAACACAGGGACTTAAAAAACAGAAAGCAGCATAAGAAGTGAGGCTGCAGGGAGGGTTCACCTGCCGTCCTGAGAAGCCCAGCCTTTCCTGTGCATCCACCACCGGCTCGTCGCCCACAGCCCCCTCCCACCCAGAACCGTAAAGAGCAAAGCGCCCGAGATCAAGGCCTGGCCTCCTCCAAAGCTCTGCGCCAGCCCTGGCTTAACATCAGAGCGTACAAAGCAATGACTAGCAGAAGGAAAGGGAGGGAGACGCCGATGGTCTTAGAAATAAAACGCTTATTCTCATAGAGATTTTGGAAAAAAAAAAAAAAAAAGGAAAAAAATACCACTCACAACTCCCCTATTTGAAGATAGCCACTCAATATTTTGGTAGGATTCCTTTCAATCTTTTTTTCTGCACACACTTGGCTATATTTGAGAGTAAGCCAAGCCTGAGGGAGAGGGTTTTCCAGACTAAGTTTCCAGGTTACATCCATCAAGAGGGTTACAGACTCAAATCTGTAATGAAATCTCTTGGCTTGGCAGAGGTCCACGTCAGTGATCCTCCACCAGCCCTGCCACACACCCAGAACAGCCTGAGCCCCTCTGACCTGAACACCTACATCTGGGTGATCTGTAAATGTTCTCTCTGATCATGCCCTTGATTACTGTTCCCATTCACGTGGAGGCGACGTTCTCAATCAAAACACACTGATCAGGGGCTGGCCCCGTGGCCGAGTGGTTAAGTTTGCACGCTCCGCTGCAGGCGGCCCAGTGTTTCGTTGGTTCGAATCCTGGCGCGGACATGGCACTGCTCATCAGACCATGCTGAGGCAGCGTCCCACATGCCACAACTAGAAGAACCCACAACGAAGAATACACAACTATGTACCGGGGGGCGTTGGGGAGAAAAAGGAAAAAAATAAAAAAATCTTAAAAAAAAAAAATACAAGCAAACGAGCAAACAAGAAATCTCTTTATTAAAAAAAAACAAAACAAAAAAAAACCACACTGATCATCTCTCTGGTCCCTAGACATTTTCTTCTTTATTCGGGAAGGGATCCAGTTTTTCCACCACGTAATCGAACTCCATTTCCTACAGTGTCAATTCAACTCTTTACTGTCCCCAATAGGGGTTTTCATTGTTACCGTATCTTCAGTTTTCTTCACATCTTTCCTTATGTCTGCGTTCCCCTTTTCCACTGCTGTCTTTCCAGCTCTTCCAGTTTTGCCCTGTGGTCATCTGCTCCTATCCTGTACAGGCCATGGCCATTCTTGAGGATGTTAAATAGTTTCGCTTAGGGAGTGGGATGGATGGGGAGGTTTCTTATAGTAAAACATTTTCAGTTCATGGAGAGTTATTTGGAGCACTGTGGACCGTATTGATTTATACTTTCGTAGTATTTAATGAACCCATGATGGTTTTTCTTTTTTTCCCCATATATTCTTCCTCAAAGATTGTCTCGCTGTTCCCTTCGGTAATGGAGTTTTCCTATCAGATCCACACCAAACGAAAGGTTAATAAACCCAAGCCCAGTTCTTGGTACTGAGATGCCCTCAGTAAAGGTACAGCTATATTAAGAGTATTTTCTGGGAGTTGCAACTTCCAGAGAGCTACCGAATGAGAGGGCCAACCACAGATGAGACAGGGTGGGGAGGGGAGGGAGAAAAACACCTCTCATGCCTCCAGAAGCAGCACCTGGTGACGAAAATGAGTAAACTCAGCCAGCATGACTCAGGGCAGAGGAACCATTCTCACCCACCCTGCTGGGGGGAGTCAAGTGGGTTCAACCTTTCTGGATGCTAACTTGGCAACAGGAATCAAAATCTTAATACTCATTTTCCTTTCCATAAGATTTTTTTTAAGAATTTATACCAAGGGGAAAAAAACTGGTGAAGTGTACAAAATGTCTATTCTAGGATAACAATCATTGTACTGTTTAGACAGTGAACTCCTGAAATAGCCTAGATGCCAAGCAACAGAGCACAGTTAAAAAACGTACGGTCTATGAAATGGAATTCAGTGTAGCCGTTACAATGGCAGACATCGATATTCCCTGACACGGGAAGGTATCTAGGATATATTACATTGTACATTTCCATTGTACGCATTGTACAACTCCATTTCTGTAAAAAAAAAAATCCTGTATGCTTCTGTTTACAGAAAATAATTCTGGAAGACATAAATCAAAATTTTAATGGTGATTTTTCTTCTCTAGGTGGTAGGAACTATGGGGGATTTTTATATATTTTTATTGTACTGGTTTTATTTTTATTACAAAGATTAGTATTTTGTAATCAGGCAAATTAATAAAATTGTTTTTTCTTTTTTGACGAAGATTAGCCCTGAGCTAACATCTGCTGCCAATCCTCCTCTTTTTACTGAGGAAGGCTGGCCCTGAGCTAACATCCGTGCCCATCTTCCCTTACTTTCTATGTGGGACGCCTACCACAGCATGGCTTGTCAAGCGGTGCCATGTCCTCACTTGGGATCCGAACCGGCAAACCCTGGGCCGCTGAAGTGGAATGTGTGAATTTAACCGCTGTGCCACCGGGCCAGCCCTAAAATTGTTTTTGACAGAAAAAAAAGGGACCATACTAGTCACGCTAAGTAAGGAGGTCAAGCAGGCAGTCAGTCTGTGGGCATCTGTCCTATCAGTTCTATCATTGATTGTGACTGAGGGTTTCTCTGGGAGGCAGTGACAGACGGCTCAATGGGCGCAAGGACAGGCAGAGAAGAGTGGTTTTCAGGTCCACTCCCCAATCCCCTGGGGACTAGGGGCCTCTCAGTCCACGCTTTCGGTGGTGGTGAACCTCCATCCTGCGTGGGCCCTCAGACACCACTTCAGTGGGCAGTGACGGCTGATGTTCCAATCCCGCTTGTTAAACTGGCTGCCAGGGGCTGGACTGCAGACTGCGTCCTGTGGTCCAGGCGCCGTGTTAGGCTCGGCACAGGGAAATCACTCAACTGTCCCTGCTGAGGATCTGTCTTCTCCCCGAGAGGGAGGTTCAGCAGGACGGAGAGAGCCGAGGTCACTCTTACAATGGATTAACTTGACTCCTTGCACACAAATTTCTCCGGCGACCCTCCATCTCTGCCCATACACGTCTATCTACAGCCTTGCTGTGTTTGTGTTTTTCCCCACACTTCACACTTTCTAATTTCAGACCTCACTGCCCCAGGAGGGGAAGGATCAAATGTGCTTACACTGCGCTACAGGCGCCACTGAGGCATAGGAGGTTGGCAGCCCGGCCAGGGTAGTCCACTCGGGAGTGCAAGTCAAAGAGAGTCCTAACCCTCCACTCCCACTCGTGATGTAATGAGATGGGATGGGGCTATGCTCCGGCATCAGCAGCACCACAGAGGAAGAGGCCGAGGCCCGGGGGGGGTGGCCCGCTCTGACAGAGGATACCCAGGAACCCAGAAGTGGAGCCAGGGCTAGACCCCATGTGCTGCTCCCTGGGGCGAATCCTTCCTCACCTCCTCTCTGGGTGGCTTCCTGCCCCTCCCATCCATTTTCCCACAACACGATATACATTCCCATCCTAACACCGGTTTCCCGGGCCAGCATCATCGCTGTCTCGCGTCTGAACTCCTTAAGGACCCAACACGAACACTAACACAGTGCGTGGCACACAGGCGGGGCTCAATAAGTGCCCGTGGAAAAAACTTTCCATTTCTTTAAGTCTACTGGCCTGAGTATGAACGTCCTTCTCTTCTTCATAAAGACCATAAAGAGCAGAGGAGCCTCTGGGAGATGCGTGCTCTCAGCAGTAGAACCTCTTCCCTGGCAAGTGACAACTCTGGATTCGCACACACCCCTCGCTCCTCCAAAGACGCCTACGGCAAATGTCTGAGAAGTTTGCTGAGAAACGTCTGGATCATATCGAGTATTCCTGACTCAGCAGAGTAGGGCTGATGCTTCTTACCCCATTCTTGGGTGCTGAGCACTGTGGACAGACACCTGCCCGCGGACAGGACAGGCGCGACACAAGCCCTGTGGGACGACCCTCCTCGTCCTACCTGCCTCTAGCGATCATATGGAGAGTCCTGAGGCATCTGAGTCAACCGCCTCTCCACCTTCCTGTGTCCTGCAGTTCCCGTCTGTCGATCGCTTTGACCTGGTCTTCGAGGAGTGAGGGCCCCCACCTTTCCCAGAGCTGCCCCCCCAATTCGGCTCGGGTCTGGTTCTTTCCAGCTTCCGCAGGACCTCACTCTGCCCCTCACCCCTCTCCAAGGGTCACAAGCCATTGTAACGGTTGAGATATTTTTGTTCCCCATGAACCAATTTTTGCCCCATGGGCGCCATCACCCTGGTAGAGAGCATTGCCTTCACCTAACTCAAGCCTGGTCCTGAAGAATTTTCCAGCATGGCTGCTGCCCATACTCTGCCCCTCAGCACACTTCCAGCACCTCTTCAAACTAGCCAAGTCAGATGCTGCTTCGCTGAACTTGCCATAAAGAATTCCCACTTATCATAGCTCTGAAAGGGCGCTCCTCCCGGCAGGGTGCGTGTGCACGAGTGGATGGGCATGCAGTTTCTTGTTTCCACTTGGCATATTACAACTGTCCGAACGTTGAAATTGTGTAGTTGAAGCATTCACGGTAGGCTCCAGATTCTCATCAACCAGAAAGAAAAGAAATCGCAAAATAATCCAACAGCTGCAGTTTCATTACCTGAAGAGAGCTGCCGCCCAGCTTCAGGGTCTGTTAGCTCTCACTGTGGAATGAAACAAAAAAAGCAGCTCCAAGCAGCGAGGACGGCTGACAGCATGCACACCTCACTCCTACGGTCACTTCACTCCACTGAGGAAACGAATGTATCTTTAAGGGAGACGTGGGCTTCCTCCGGGATTAGAATTAACGGCAGTGCACAGTCCACAGCTCTGCAGAGGGCTGAGGTGAGAGGCTTGCCCAGGCATCTGGTTGATGCCCACATTTTTGGTTTGACAGCTCTATTCTGAGTGCCTACACTGTACCAGGCTCTGTGCCAGGTGGAAAGTACACAACCATGAGCCAAGGAGACTAAGCCTGGTGGGAGAGACAGATGCTCAACACACAAATAAATGCGAAGTCATCCATGGTACATGCCACAGCGAGACATGGGAGATCCTCTGAAGTACGACTGTCTGTGGTCAGGGCCAGCCTCCTTGAGGAAGGGGCATCTGAACTGAGGGTAGGAGAAAGTGTTTCTAACAGAAGGAACAGCATGAACAAAGGTCCTGAGGTGGGAAGGAGCTTGGTGTGTTCAAGTCTAGTGGCATGAGACCCAGAAAGCAGGAGTGGCACCTCTGTGATGCAAAACGCATCTGGAAATGGAGCAAGCGGGACCAGGCTGTGCAGGACCCTCACGGGGCAAATTAAGGATTTGGGTCTTTATCTTGAGGCAGTGGGAAGAGGAATGACACGGTCATTTTTACATTCTGAACAGATCACTGTGCCATTATATGAGGCCAAGGTAGATACGGAGAGACCAGCTGGGAGTCTACCAGAGAAGACGGCAGCTTAGACTTGGGTGTTGGTGGTGAACAGAGAGGTTTGAGAAATATTTGGGAGTTAAAATGAACAGGGTTTGGTGATGGATGGGCTACGGGAGATGAGATCATCAATATGTGGCTGCTTAATTCACTCCCAATCTCTTCCTGGAGTGGAAAATACATACATTAGTTCCCTGTGAATGAGGTTAGCTCTCTACAAAGGAAGGCAGTGATCTAACAAACAGGGCACCTAATCATCATCTCACTCATCTTGTGGGTCTGATCTGATTACTCCATTCCTCTACCTGATGCGATCCAAATGTCACAACGATCCACAGTGCCAAATGAGGCAGCTTGGGAACTGTTTTAAAGGAATAATCGACAAGAACTGTAACGTAATCAGAATCTTTATTAGAAGTCTACTTAAAAATCCAAACACAAGATGTTTGGATTAGTTAGGTGGCAATAGTTACATTTAACTGTAACTAAGGAAGATTTCCAAGATCATCTGCTTCTAACTTTGGCACTGCTAATGTCTTCCGAACTGTGTTAAGTTAGTCATATGGTTTTCTACAAGTGGATACAGAAAGAGATCCTTTTTTTGGCATTTGACACACAAGATTGATTTGAAGTCTTCCTTGGTTCTTTATTTCGACTTCTTCCTCCATGTGTTAAAAATGAAAGGGAGACAGTTCCAGGATGATTATCCATGTGTTACCCGTTGAAAACTGGCAGTTAAGACCCTTACACAGGTTCATTCAGCTTAAAAAGATAAGTCATTACAATTCAAATTATTTTGTTTTCTCACACTTGGAGCTTCTATTCCTTATAACATTACTGACATTTAAAAAAACTAGGTTAGCAATTCATTCATTTGCTTAGTAAGCATTTATGCTGGGAGGATCTCAAAGGGCTTAGAGGAGCCAGTCAGTCAGTCAATGATGAGGGACAGTGGGCGAAGATGCTGTGGGAGAGACAAGAGAACGTGCGTCTTTGGAGAGGGCACTCGCAGCCAGTAACCATGCATCGACATTGGGGACATTGTTACAGGCACGCTATGGCTGTGAAGGTGACAGGAAGAGGGTGTCAAAAGATAAGGCTAATGGTGGGCAGTGCTGGGTCATAAGCCATGCTACAAAGGTTTAACTGACACTGAAGGTTGTTATAAGAAGGCCAATACAGAATTTCTGTTTAAGCAGAGAATTGTATGTTTAAGTTTGCTTTTCAGAACTATGACATATGCAGCATCCATGTAGGGGCATCAGAGAATGGACTGGAGGGAGGGGCACAATAGGAACCAGAGAGACCCTTAAGACAACACAGCCAAAAACCAGGAAAGCCCGAACACGGGCAGGGTGCAGATGAGGAAATAATGAGGAGACTGAGTCAATAGGATATGGTGACCAGCTGGACACGGGGAGACTAGACATCATGAGAAAGAGGGAAGACTCAAAGATGACTCCCAAGTTTCAGGCTGGAAGGCACAGTGGTGCCACTGAAAGACCAGGGCAGATGTGACGGCTGGGGAGGAGGAAATGGCTTTAGTTCAGGGACCCATGGGTCTTTCAATGAAGTGGTTGACGGGACGGTCAGTCCAGGGGACATGTGGAGACTGGGAGAAAGGTATGGACAGGAGAGAAGAGGCTGGCCATGAGGAACACGAAGACGGGTGTAGTTGGAGCCACAGAGGTGGATGAGGCCATCCAGCTTGTGTGGGCGGGATGAGAGGAGAAGCAGACAGCGGATGGCTGGCTGAGGGACATGCGCCTTGTGGGGCCAGCAGAAACAGCAGTCCTTCAAAGGGACGGGAAACACAGTGCCAAGAGCAGTGGAAGGAATGACGAGCGAAGGACGTTCTCACTCCCAGGCATTTCAGGGGGAGAGTGAGCAGTACAGGAAGGAAGCAGACAAGGAATGGAAACATCTGCTGCATTTAGTCCTGGGGAGGTGACAGGGAATTGGGGGTGGGGGCGGGGTGCTGCCCTGGGGGGAGGGGCTACAGAAAAGACGTCCCTCCCCCACCTCATGACAAGACTCCCACAGGGGACAATGTCTGTGAGGATTCTTAGGCATGAAGCACAACAGGGAGCAAAGAAAAAAATGGGAAAGGGGCAAAATGAGATTTTTTAGTAGACTCACCGATCATTTACATTAAGTCACAAAGTCTCTCCTCTCCAGTGCCTGAAGTTCTTTCTGTGACTTTTTTTTTTTTTGATGAAGATTAGCCCTGAGCTAACATCCGTGCCCATCTTCCTCTACTTTCTATGTGGGACGCCTACCACAGCATGGCGTGCCAAGTGGTGCTATGTCCACACCCGGGATCCGAACCAGTGAACCTTGGGCAGCCGAGAAGTGGAACGTGTGAACTTAACCACCGCGCCACTGGGCCAGCCCCCTGAAGTTCTATGACTCTTACACCCAACCAACTAGGAAGGAAAACAGAGATTCCCCGAGTCCCACCCACTCCCAGGATTCACACTGGTGACTGTTTCCCGGCTTAAGCACATGTAACAAGTAATTTTGATATCTATGCATTTTCTTGTCCAACAATTTTTGTCCCCAGTTGTCATTAACTCCTTTATATCTAGTGGCATCAGCTTCTTCAGATCATACTTTGAGAAGACCTCCTAATAAGCATTGCTGTCACCAGGGGACAAATAAATTGAAGTCTCAGGTTTAAGACAAACACACCCTACAGAACTTTAGGAAGAAGACGAAAATTCCAAGCAGGCAATTTTATCTTTGAAATTGGCCTTTACGATTAATCCAGCCTTAATGACAGCGTGGGTGCAAAGCAAGAAGGAATGTTAGAAAAACCTCAAGACTAATTTCATCACAACCACAAAACCATTTAGCAGAGGGGAAAAACCCAAGGTCCCCCAAACATCACGTACTCCTGGTCCTGTATCTTCACCGCCAAGTAAACACGCTATTTTTTGAAGTATCTAAATTCTAAAACCAAGGCACAAACACTCATGTGAAGATTTGCTTTAGATTAAAATGAGTGTTATTTCACTCCCCAGAGGCCTTAGAATTTCTGTAACTTTGCTCTAACTGGGACTTAGCTTCCTGGCATGACAATAAAGTGCTGATGCACGGAGATGATAATTGACATCTCAAGATCCTGGTGGTGGTGAATGGTCCAGGAAAGTTGTGTTAACAACTCTTTGGCAGTTAAACAAGAGCTCGTGGGGTTACCCACACATACCTGTCCGAAGTTTTCTTCATCGATACAGAACATGAGGTCCAGTTCAGTAGGATCATTTTCTAAGATCCATTTCAAAGAGTTGTAATATTCACTATCCTGCAGAAATGACGAAAGTTAAAATTAAGCAATTTTTTCCAAAAGATAAACTCGTTTGACTTCCTTAAATAATTAAGTCCTTCTAATGTCATGCCATTCAGACTGCTCAAGAATTACATTAGTCATTCATAGAATGCTTCCGGCTCTACTCAAATCTACTCTTCCCCTTTAATTTAAAATACAGACCAAAAAAAGGTTTTGGTAGCAACACGGGTATGTAGTTGAATCCTGTCCTCTGTGAGGTACAGGGGAAGCGACCTGCTCTGGAGGGTAATTATGAAACTATAAAACTGAACATGTAAAGATTAATATACTTTCCATCTTTTGAGACTGAAAATTTGAGAGGAAAATAAAAAGGATGGAGAATGCTCTCCTTAAATACCAAGGGTTTTAAGTACACCCTTTCCTGCGCTTTTCAGCTCTCTGCACGTCCCCGTAAGAAGACAGGAAGGAGCCACAGGGCCTGGGCCACTCCTTCAGGGTTAGCCCAGGGGTTCTAATGCTGGGGGATTGACGGGCTCCGAGGAGGCGAAACAGAATGAGTGCACCAGCTGTCCTTAAGAGAAATTTTCACGTCCCTAGCTTCCTCATTATGTAATAATACAAGCATAAAACCTAAGTTAAAGGTGAAAGCTGAAAAGAAATTTGAGACTGGTACCATGGATCTGCAGAGCAGTCCACCCATGGAAAAACCAGCTGAGTGGATTCGAGCACACTGCTCGTGTCCTCCTCTCCTTTTACACAAGGACGATGAGGAGAACCAGTGAGCAATGCTGGTAAACAATGAGAATCTGGCCTAGCTGGCCAACCGCACAAGAGACACGGTCACCAAGGGTATGCAGACACTTTCTGACCCAAGTGACAGAACGTGAAAGCAGAGCTGCAAATACCCCAAATGGACAAGGACGCCTCCCACTGGCCCCAGGGTGCGAGCATGCTGGCACTTGGGCAAACACCCGCACACTAGGAGATGAATGGTGGGGGTGTAGGTCAATTAAAAGAAAAACAGAAGCAAAAAGCATACTATGAAAAGAGTATCAATTTTTCTTTTTACAGAAAATCCTTTCAACTCTAAAAGGGTCAGCCTGGATAAAATGAGTAAGTTAAACGCAACGTGAAAACCCAAATCATTTTTCAGAGAACCTCCCACAGCATTCTTTTTCTAACTTGTTTCAGTCCTCTCCTACATTGTCGTGGTCACTTACTGTCCCATGTTAATACTCCTCCCTTTATCTACTGTTTTGGCCTGTGCCCCTGCCTTTTTCTGAGGTCAGAAAATAGATGGACAGCAGACGCAATCTCTAAACACTCAGCATTTGCCGTTTGGAAAACAAGAACTGCAATGGGGTCTCCAGATGAGCTTGGATTTAACTTGGTCAAGAGTCCTGGGTACGCAGAGGGCACTGAGATTTGAGTGTATCCATCCCAAGTAGCAGGATTCTAGGACACGTGAACAATGATTTGCTCATTAGAAAAGATCAGAGAGCTCAATTAACTTCTAGAACAATTAAATGTTCTCTGTTGTTCATACTGAATTATGACACCCATAAAAATCGCTGTGATTACAGCATGGTGTCAGCGACCTTTCTGTAAGATGCCCATGGCAGTGATCTGCGTTTACTCACCACTGACTCCATGTCATTCAGAGTTATCTGCTTTCCCAGCATCATTTTGTAAAATGGTCTAATGAAGAAACCTAAAATATGGTGAAAACTGGGTTAGTTTCAAATCTTTTGATACTTCTGTGCATCAGAAATAAAATAAAAGATTAACCTGCCTTCAACTGTGTGAGAGACCAGGACAGAACAATCAAAGACCTTCGATAATAATCCAGGACGGAGTGGCCGAGGGCCTGGTTTGGGGGAAGGGGTTAGTGAAAATTCCACCTGCACTTCATTATCACTGCTTGGGCAGTGATGGGGAGAAAAAACAGGAAAGGACAAGATGGAAAGGAGGGAGACCACTCAGAAGGCTGTGCAATCTTCCAGGGAGGGTGATGCAGGCCTGAGTGAGGCCATGGCAGTGAGGACGACTCCACCACCAAAGTGTCCCGCAGGCAAGTCCAAAGGCAAGTTTTCATCGCGTGCCTCCTCACTGGGCACTGGAAGCTCAGGCTCAGCCCCTCTCCTCCTCCACTCTCACCCCCACCGGGATCTGACCAGTCCCCAATCCTCTGCAGCGTATTGCCACTCCCACTGGCCCAGTGTGGCCCTAAGGCCGCAGGCTCAAATACCTTCCCGTGTCTAGGCAGGCGAAAAGGATGGAGCCAATAAAAGTGGGCCGATGTGTAGAGTGTGTCTGCTGTGCCTCCAGGAGCATTCACATTTTTAAGAAACTGAAGACACTGCGGACCACACACATCTGTGGGCATTTGGTAGCTAATTCTTGATGTGCACTGATAGCACCTTTGCAGCAGTCTCCTAGACTCCCCCATTTGTTCCTGCTTCTCTCCATTACTCTCTCCAGGGAGCCTTGGCTTGGCCAGTCCTTGCTCTTCTGAAATGACCCCAGTTTCTAAATGCTCAAATCCTGCCCCACCCTCGAGGTGGAGGTGCGGCTAAGCCTGGTAAAACACACCCCGACCCTCCAGCCAACTGTTTCTCCCGAGTACTCATGTGCTCCCTTCTGCTTGGACTCCATCATCGTGATTCTTCTGTTTTTTGTCCCACTGGAACATAATTTCATTGAGGTCAGGGTCATATCTTATACTTCTCTGTATTTACCCACAGCAACTACAAATGTCTTCTCATGCGGCAGGAGGTAAATAAACTGGCCTTCTAAGGAGGTTGAATTGAATTTAAACAGCCTGAAATACTCCATGAGTCCAAAGACTCCAAGCATGACTCCTATGTTGCAAATCAAAATACATTCACACTATATACACATAAAGAAAGAGTGAGTGCAGTTTCCTTCTGATCAGAAAAAGTGTTTACTTCCCCCACCAAAAATAAAATATTGAAATTAGAGGATCAAAGTCAGCTAGCAATTACCAGTAAAAATACATTAAAGGAAAAAGTACAGAGGGCACATCAATTATTTATTGGACTAGCTAAGGTTCCACAAATGCAATTAACATAATTCCCCTGGAAATCTCTCTCTACAGTAACTGACACGTCAGCCTCAAATCTGACTCACTCTCTTCCATCCTTATCTGTTTCACCCCCAAATTCTTCAAAAACATTTCTGATTCTCTTTCCTCCCTGATGGTTTCCGTAGTGTTCTAAGGGCACTACTTTTGAAATGACCAAACCCATGAGAAATCTCTATTACAAGGCTATAGATACAGGGAGGAAGGGGGTTTGACTTCTAACTTCCAAGGTACCTTGAAATTCTTCCATGACTTCTATGCTCTAAATAATAATGCGATTATTTTGTGCCATCTGTTTCAGCAGTGATCCCAGGGTCAAGGTCTTAGCTGTGTTACAACACTGCTTTGAAATTATTTACAACTCTTGACATTAAAAAAAATACTAATTTGGGGACAAATGGAACAATGGCAGGATACTGGATGGATTAGACCATTTAATTAACTTTTCAATTAGCTTTTCCATCTGTCACCAAATCTAGTTCTCGCTAAAGAAAGGTTATTCTGGAAAACATAGAAAAATGCACAAATACAGAATGCTCTGTGTTTCACACTTAAGTTTCTTAAAAAAAATTTTAAACTGTGTGTAGAGCCTGTATCTTTAGTGCTCAGATTAAGATGATACCAGGGAAAAGTACCTCCATTATGGGCAAAACATAAACATTTATTGAATTACAGAGAACTAGTGAAGCGTCTGCTTAAAATCTTGATGTTAAAGATAAGACACCTAAGAAGGAACCACAATAACACTGCCCTATTTTCAGTACTTCAAGACTTTTTAATAACTTACCATCTAAAAGTTTCCCATGAAATACTGCCAGACCAGCAACTCTTCCAATAAAAGTGAAATAGGACAAATGATCTTCATTACAGAGGCCTGAATTGGGATTGATCTGAAGTGTGTAGTTGTCCCTTTTGGGGAGGAAGAAAGAAAAAGCCCAATTAGACTTTTAAATAAGAAATGCAAGAATCTAAGTTTTCCTTTGCCAGTGGTCATCAAACTTTTACAGCGCCCTTGCGAACATACTGTACCTGACAGGAAAAGGCGTAAGCCAGACAATGTGGCCTACTGTTTAGTTGGCCCCTTTGTGACCAACAACTGAGGTCTAACAGCGCTGGTGCATAGGCTCTTTGTAAGTTAAACCGTAAGAAATTCTCGATATTTGACTATTTTTGATCTACAAAAATGTCAGCTTCATATGGTTCAGCCAAATATCTTGGGAAGATGAGAAATCCCACATAACGGAGGGATGGAGCATGGATTCCCAATGACATGAGGACTTCAGGTTGCCCCTGTGAGGGAGAGGGGTTAATGCATTTGAGAGGTATTTGGTTTGGGGGCTAAAATTTCTCCTATGGGCCCAACCCTTGGTCTGACCACTACTTTGCCCTAAAAGGCCCCAAGAGCACTGGTAGCAGGATATGGCTCTCTCAACAACGCGAACCTCAAAATGTTTACATGTACTGAATCATCCTTCTGTGGTCTCAAAATCTTGAGAATCAGTGGTTTTCAAATTGGGCCCCATAGACAGATTCCTCTGGGGTTGCTGAGAGGCAAGGCCCTGGCCTCCCCACCCTGCCCTCCACTGTAATGGTTGTATCAATCTTACCCAGCAGCCTTTCCCATGGGACTTGGTAATGAGGACGACAAAACAAAACAGGAAATTCTTTCTTGGCTAGAGCAACCGAGAAGGATCCTGAAGCCGCCTTTCAACGGACCCCCCAGGAGACCAGCACCAGGTAGGAGATGTGAGAACCCACGTCCCCTTAGAGCACAGGTGCCTTTCAGCAAGGTCAACAACTATTCTACTGGGGGCGCAGGTCCAGCCTGATCCTTTTGAGACCCCACAGCCTGGAAGAGGAATGGTTGGCCTTGTAAGTAGCCAATGTTTGACTCCCGAGAAAGCAATGGAATCTGCCTCAGTTTCCTGGCTTGGCAATAATGAAATCCTAATGCAAGGCGGAATCTGCTTCTTCCCTTACAGGACCAGGGCATGGTCCTTCGGATCCTGAAGAACGGATCCAAAGTCCTCATAATTTCCCTCAGGTGGTGTAATTTCAGAAACCATTCTTGTTCCTAAGACGATGACGACTTTCCGAATTCTAACATTGACAAGTTCTCCTAAAGTAACATAATGTTATCAATGAAAACTGCCTCTTGTTTCTTACCATAAGTACCAACACATTTTCAATTTCAATTACATGAACCCAAAACACAAGAGAAGAATCATTTTTAGGTGTTGACAGAGTGCAGAGTCTGTTCCAGACTTACGGGTGGGAGGTATGGACTAAAATCAGCAGTGATAATTCATCTCCAATGGGTGAGACGCTTACTCCTTCATTAACTTTAAATTCATTAAGAATAAAACTGTTTCAGTGGGGGAACACGTTCTGAATGCACTCCATTTACTCACGTTGCAGAGTACTCGAACAGACCATAGTAGGGGTTGAACATCTCTTTGGACAGTAAGAAGAACCATTCTCTGGCCACACCTCCATAGTCAAGACCTTTCTCTGATTCAAATTCAATCCACAGTCTAGCTTTTAGGACATCTGGTCTTTTCACAGACATGATTCTCCGATAGGACTCTTCAAAAATGTTATTTCTGTGAAGTTTCATTTCAAACCTATTTGGAATATCAGCCTACACAAAAGAAAAAAAAGCACATAATCATACAGTAAATGTACACCTTAATCACTAAAATAAATAACAACAAAGAGTAGAAATGATGGCAATCTTCAAATAAACAAGCAGTGACAAATGGTTGCAATGGAGATTCTCTCCTTCAGGGATTTGTCTTCATGCAGACAGAAAGCCTCACGTCAGGATGACACCCACAGAGCACCACCAGCGGCTGTCAGACTGAGCCAGTGACATATGCTGAAGATACCCTGCTGAGGAGAAGACAGTCATCTTCTCCTCCTTTACTAAAGAACTGTGGGGCACTTACCACCCACTGGCAACTGAAATATGGTCAACTCTATTATTGTTTCTGTCCAAAAAAAGGACTTCAGAGACCAGGTAATCAAATCTCATCCATAATTCCCAACCTGGCCGGGTTGGGAGCATTCTCAACTCTGGTAGGGACTCTAGCTGGCAGATGTGACCCATGATGCCTACAAGCTACTTGTGTTGCTATGGGGAGTGGGACCCTGACAACCATACCAAGTTGTGGGAAAGTATCCCAAAGGCCACAGTTAATAAACATGAAAATAAAAATGCACTTGACTGAAGTTGTAAATAACTACTTCCTGGAAAAATGAGGCCGGGGCAGCCTTGCTATGAAAATGGATTTGCAGAGTCAGTTTCCAGGCAGAAGATACCCCAGCGAAAGGGCCTCCGAGTGAGACAGGCTGATATCCACAAAGCCATCACCTATTTCTGGGGGAAATACAGTGACTCACAAGGAAACACTGTGGAATTTTGTGTGTTCAAATTTGAGTCATTTCAAAAGTAGTTAGCCAAGAGCTACTTGAATCAGGCTGTTGGGAGAGAGAACAGAACCCCTAAATGGGAGCTCCCCAAGGCAGAGACTATGTCTGACACATCTTTGGATCCCCAGGACCCCAATGATAGCAGATACCCAGAAAATGAGGCGGTGATTGAGGGAATGGAGTGGGAGAGACGGCGATGGAGCACAGGCAAACTGGGACGATCTGAGTTGTGGCCAATATTCTTTTTCCCAATGAGAAGGAGCCAAGACATGGTGACAAGTGCAATGACAATGAATGCGCAAACTGAGGAGAAAACCAGTAAAACCTACACCAGAGAGGTGAATCAGAAAGTAAAACAGAACACATAACACTGAAGAACGTAGGAAAATGTGTCAGTAGGAAATATAACATTGTAATTTTAAAACACTGCCTGTAAAAAACCTTTTGGGTTTCTCAGTTTTGTAAAAATCTTACAGGGTTTCCCAATGAGAATTTTAATCTGAAAATTACACTTGGTCTTAGTATACCAAATATTATAAATTATATTTATAACTATTATAATTAAAACTATACTTTTGAATTTAAAGAGAACAACTTGAACATTTTTCCAACTAGTATCTAGGTTTCATTAAATATGATAACCATAAGCAACTGCATAGGCTTCTCCAGATTTTTTTTTACTAGGTCCTGAATTAGTTTATATCCCATAAAAATCGTTTCTATCTTTTTATGTATTACATAAGAAATTACCCTTCAGGTGATTTGATATGTAATGCTAAGTCATCTTCACTTACCATTTCTGCTAAAAAGAAAATTCAGATTGAAGATCCAGGTGGATCACAGTGCAGTGGGAAAGGAAGGTAACATTTGAATAGACACATAAAAGGAACAAACCATCTGTTCCCGCAGAAGTAACTTTGGTAACTTACAAACGACTAAAATAGCATTTTTGGAAGACACGTTACTCACAGGTTTCTTTAATTTCTTCCTAAAGTAGTCATATTTCTGCTTAAATTCTCTGGAGTAAGGAACAGCCTAGAAGATAAATTTATAAATACAGATAATGTAACCAATATACTTGAAATTTTATGTTTACTAAGCCAACATTCAGAGAATTTCACAAATCATACATCTTAAAATTCTCATTCTCCATATTATCATTGAAATTTACACGTCTACATAGCACATGGGAAAGTTCTAGAAATGATTAAGGTTAATTACCATTGAATAGGGCTTTCACCCCTGAAAACAACTCTACTGATACTCAAGCAATCATTTAGGGATATGCTCCATAAACTAGATACGCTTTCCAAGTGACTTTTGTCTGAACACGAGTCAGGGTGTAATCTTTTTTTGCTGTAGTTTAGATAAGATTATTGGCTATGATACTTATCACACAACCCAAAATGATCTATACTATGATTTTGAAAAGACTAATCATGCTTTAAAAATCTTTGGGAGGAAAAATAATGAGCAGAAAGGCAAGTGAACGGATACTCTTGTCAAGGAATATAAACTCAGGCAGACGGCAAACTGGAAGTCTCCCATGTGGGAGTCACATGGTTACTCCTTACCATCTAGTGGTCTTGGGCAGGGATTTCTTTAAATCTGGAACGCCTTATCTACGAAGCAGACTGAGGTACCAAAGGAGTGGGCTCAGTAACGGAGCTATCGTTATTCAAAAGTTTTGGAATCTCTTCAGGTAAAGTGGTAACACTTTAATAGACTCATTTAAATGCTCTTTACTTGCTGTGTTGTAAAGTAACTTAGAACATCCGAGCGCTACAGCCCTGAAACAGGCATTTTTAAAGGTTTACAATCTTTTTATGAAACAGAAAGGAGGGGCTTTTGCATATACGTGGACTTAAAGGTGACAACTTCATACTCAGAACAACTCATTGCTTTTTAAGGAATAGTGTGAATTTGGGCAATAGTTCTGCTGATACCATTTTGGGTTAAGTTAATAAAATATATTGATCCTTAGTAAAGTGTTTCCAGATTCTAAACCTTACACTTTCCCCATGCTTATTTCCTGACCAGGAAGAGGAGAAATCAAGAAGAAAAGCTTCTCTCCCTCATACTGTTTTAAGACAATCACCGGAATAATACTCAACGCCAAAACAAAAACAACCAGTCTTACAGAAAACAGTAATTGTGTCAGTGTTCTGCTTTGCAATTCAAGAGCACCAACAACATCAAATTGCTCTCTCTTAAGAAGATTCTAAAGACAATTCATACTATCTACGGTCTGTTCTTACTTTTTAAGCCAGTCTTTATTTGATTTTCCACCGAACACTAGATTTGACCACATGTCTTTTTATTTTGGGCAGTGTTGAGTTTGACGAAATAATGTATGAATTCTGATTTCAGAAAACGTAGAAATTTTGTCAATATCTAGACAATCACCAAAATAGGGAAAAAGGATACAAAGCTGTGACATAAGCAATAAAGACATGCTCAGGCCCTTTTGCTCTACCAACAGTGTTTTCCATAACAGAGATTTTCCAGCTGGTCTATTTCTTGATTCTTTGGTGGTTCATATGCTGATTCATTCAACAGACACTTCTTGAGCACCTACTCCGTGTCAGGCATTTTAGGTGCTAGAGAAATAATGGTACATCAACCGAAGATTTCTTTTCCTGTTCCCGCTGGAGCTTGCAAGCTACTGTGAGTAACAGGCAATAAAGAACAAATGAATACATCGTGGTAATGCTACAAGGAAAGATGAGGGCGAGTTCCGGAGAGGCTATGTTACATCAGTGGTCGGGGAGGCAGCTCCGAGAAAGGAAATCTGAGCAGAAACCAGAGTGACAGGAGGAACAAACGATGACAGGAACAGTGGGGGCCAAGTCTCGAGAAGGTAAGAGTTTGGCTGATGTTCTTAGCTATGATAAACTGTGACAGAGGGAAGAGAAGCCGGAAAAAAATCATTTCCTTTCATTATCTCATGCCAGCTTTAGAAGACTTGACTTCGAGGGTAGACCCTGTTGCCAGCTTGCTCTGTGACCTAATTTCTCCCTATGGAATCTCTTCACGGTTATGCGGAAGGATTTAACTAGACGAACTTTAACCCTCTCCCATTTCCAAAAACCTGTGATTCCCAGCAATTATTTTTTGTTTTTGTTTCCCTCCAAAAACGTTGAAAAAAGGCTTAAACACTCATCATTGTGAAGGCAAGTTCAATAGTCTTCAATGACAAATTTCCCAAGAAATATATTTCAAAACGCCACCCCCAGCCTGAGACATCGATTCCCTAGTCTGACTTGTAAGCTTGTAGGCGCTGACTATGTGTGGGTGGGAAGCAGATGGTCAGATACCTCTGGTCCTTCCTCTTCTGGGGAGTGACGCATGAAAGCTGAAAAATCACTATCCTCCTGCAATATTTCTCTTTTTTTCTCTAGAAGTCGTTCTTATGATGGACTAAGAAGGGTAGGTTTTTACGTCTCCTCCTGAAAAGTTTCTAACAATGTACAAAGACAGCCATACAGTGCAGCTTCTGCAGAGAAGTATGCGTGTAGTATATTTTTTGTACTGGACAGGACAAATTATTTATTCTCTCTTGAAAATCTGTCATCTTATTTTCTCACGTACAATTTAACTTGTAAAATAAGCCTATTTAAAAAATTAACATGTCTTTTGATTAAAGCCCTTCTGCTCTGTGTTAAGTATGCTTTTCTTTTTGAACCACATGAAAACCTGACTTACTGTGTAAGTTGGTTCTAAATGTTTTGTCATTATTGTCCAGCTGAGACTGGAGCTTCCCGCAGGGGAGGGCACACGTCTGCCATGGAGCACAGGTGAGGCCAGCACACGTGGGGCTCCAGGCCTGATTCTGACATTTGCTGGAACTTCTGGCAACATAATTAGCTTTCTGAGCTTCTGACAAATTGGGAATAACAACGTCTTCCCTACCTTCCTGAGGGGATCGCTATGAGTTTCAAAGCAGCTGATTATAAAGTTCTCAGAAAAGCACAAAGCGTCACTCAAGCATGAGAGAGGACTCCCAGGAGCAGAAAGCATGGAGAGCACTTCATCGACGCTTTTAGTAGTGACGTCTGTTACACAGAGAGCAGACTACGGACAGTAACGCTGTGCTGACCTGCCGCAGAAAGGGTCCCGTTCTCCCTAACGTGCAGATATTTTTAAAACTTGGGGAAAAGAGAGAGGAACTCTAGGTACCAGATAGGCAGAAAGATTCAAAATTAGAGAAGTGGACACAGGTGCCTGGGCTTGGGTTTTATTCCTCCCTTGGGAACACAGAACTTAGGCTACAGTCTATATGACCCAGGGAGACCTACAGACCTACATCTGAAAGGGGACAAGGAAACTCTACCCATCGGTTCAGGAAAGTCGTAAGGAAGCTTACTTACCTTCTGTTCACGACCGTAAATGGGAGAAAAACATAAAGAAACAGACCTGTAATAAATACTCCAGGCCTACACCAAGAAGGGTATGATGAGGTCTGTAGTTATAATAACTGGGGGTGCATGAACCAAGGTAAGAAGGTAACAGTAAATACAGGTCAGGACTTATAAAAACCCCATAGAGGGGCCAGCCTGGTGGCATTGTGGTTAAGCTTGCACACGCGGCCTTAGCGGCCCAGGATTTGCTGGTTTGGATCCCAGGTGCAGACCTACACACTGCTCATCAGGCCATGCTGTGGAGGCATCCCACGTACAAAATAGAGGAAGACTGGCAACAGATGTTAGCTCAACAACAATCTCCTTCAAGCAAAAAGAGGAAGATTGGCTATAGATGTTAGCTCAGGGCCAATCTTCCTCACCAAAACCAACAACAAAAAAACCCATAGGGAAAAAATATGAAGATGAACACATACAAACAAATTACAAACTGAACTAGGCAATAAACTACATTGAGGAGAATCTACAGACATAACAAGTGGGAGATTTAATGCCCCTAGAATCAGAGATGATAGAACAATCTGAAACAGGCTATGGAATAGGTATTTTAAGTGATTAAAGAGCTGCAAGTATGAATAAAAAAAATAAAAGGAAAGAACAGGACAGAATAACAATAACTAAAAAGACGAAGCAAATTAAAAAAGACCAAATCAAACTCTGAGAAATTAAACATGGTTGCTGAAACAACAGACACAATGCACTGAGAAAGAGTAGATTATAAAAAGCTTAAAAAGAACTAACTGGAAGAGCTGAGCCTGCAATACAGTAAAAAGAAAGAGATGGGAATAGGAAAGCCAAGAGGTAAGACAGAATGTGAAAGTGAATCAAGTACCCTGATACGGATGATCAGAAAGAATGGGAAAGCTGGAATATGTGAAGAAATAACTGCTAAGAATTTTCCAGAATGGAGGAAAGACATGGTCCCCAGAGTGAAGAATCATGAGTCCATAGCAGAATAAATAGAAGGAAATCCACACGTAGATTCATGATAGTAAAATGGTAGAACATCAGAGACACAGAGGAAAAATCAAAATCACCAGAGAAAAGATATTTACCCACCAAAAAATGACAGACTGATGACAAACTTCTCATCATCAGTTATGGAGGCCAGAAGACACAAAAGAATATCTCCAAAGTACTGAAGGAAAATAATTGTTAACCAAGAATTTTATAATCAGCTAACCTACCATTTCACAGAGAGGTCAAATAAGCCCCCTCTCTCAGACTAAGAGAGTTGACACCACTCTCAGACCCTCACAGAAACGGCTCCTGGAGCGGAGGTGCTCATACTTGAGGGGCTATCAGAATCCCCGGGAGGGGTGGTTAAAACACAAAGTGCTGGGCCCACCCCTAAAGCTGCCGGTTTTCAGTAGGTCTGGGTTGGGACTCCAAAATTTGCATTTCTAACAAGTTTCTGGATGATTCTGATGTTGCTTATCTGTAGACAACTCTTTGAGAACCATTAACTAGAGGTTATCCTAAAGAAGAAAACGTAACTTGGAAAAAAGTAGATACAAGAACCAATGGTGGACAAAGACATTTGTTTACACATAAGTAAATTAAAGAAGCATTGACTGCTGGAAAAAAAAGACAAAATATTAACATCTAATTGGAAAGTTTAAAGACAAGGTAGTTTTAAAATTCCACTGAACAATGGAAAGTGGGAGTGGTAAGAATGGCATTCAAGTTCCCTAAAATCCTGTATCATCCAGGAAGGCAATACAGAGTCATTAGTTTTGATGTTAAGTATGCTGGTTAAAAATTTTAAGGTGAGCACGAAAAGAAAAAAGAACAGAAAGAGAAAATACAACTTTCAAGAAAGTATAGAAAAAGAAAGAAAGGAAAGACTACTCTATCAATCTAATAGAAGGGGCAAGAAGAGAGGAAAAACCCCAGCTAGTTAAGCAATAGAAAAAGATATAGTGGGCAAACATTAATGAAGAGAAAGTGAATGTAACCACTGACAAAGCCACAAGCACCATGGGGGATTCTGACACAACTGTGGTGGTTGGATAGAACAGGCAGGAAAAAGGAGCGATGGAAACGGCTAATTCGAACACCACAGGCTTGATCTAATGGACATAGAAAGAACTCTATACCCAACAAAGACAGAATACACATTCTTTTCAGAGGCAAAAAGAACATTTACAAAAAATGGCCAAACCTCCAAGGAAGTTTCAAATATCTCATTATCAATATTCCACAGACAATATTCTCTGACCAAAATGCAATAAAATTAGAAATCAGTAAGAAATGATAGGCAAAAACCCTTCCACACTCTTAGAAACTATAGAGTACATTCTAAGTCAGTCATAAGGAGAGAAATAAATCATTATGGAAATTACCAAACATTTATAACTGAGTGACAATAAAGGCCAGGTGTCTACACTAAGTTGGTAATTACCTAAATACATACACTCTTACTGAAAGAAATGGCACTACTAATGATAAAAGTGGAAACGAGGCTCTTTTATAAATAGAAAAGGGAGATCTATCTTTGTGGCAAATCTACCTGGATTTATGATGCTAAACCATTTTCAACAGTAATTAATAAGAACTAACAGTGTTTCAGTGAAGGCAGAAGATCAATAAGTCACAGAAATATTTGAAAAGACTTCAGAATGATCACGTCCAAAGTCCTCTGCTATTTGAATATTCTAACAAATTCTTGAATTTGTTCCTTATGATGTAGAACAGAAAATACTATTCTAACAACTTACTGTGACTGAATATATCCAAGGGTAGCTATGGTGGTAAGGCAGCTGTTTGTTAAGTTACATAAAAAGTAGCTGGCTGACTGCTTTAGCCCAAGTATTATTGGGCACTTTGCATTAAACAGCACCAAAGGAGCCGAATGAATCCAACAACCAACCAAAGGGATGTCAGGTATCAAGGTGCGTTTGCATTGTGTTATCTTTAAATACATGCACTTACCTTTATAATTCAATGTAATTTGAATTGAATCAGGTTAAAGCCATGAAATTAGTATTTTAAATATATCTACTGGCCTTAGTTCAGCACTCGATATAACAAACTTTACTTCCTTTTGCTCCTCCAGTTTTTGAGACAGTCCTAAATTTGCAGTGTTCTGCTGATCCCAGTACATTTCCTGTAATTCCAAATTCCACCTTTGCACTCATATGATCAGCAATAAAAGACGCCGATGAGTGTGGCCCCATGCTACAGACTCCTCACAGGGGTTTGCACCAACTGTCCGCTACTGTGGAATGACAGCAGGATCCTCATTCTTCCTTATGAACAGTGTGCGGATATGTTTTAAGAGGGCACTACATCTAAGGCAGAACTGATTCTTTTCCCATCTGGCATAGACGAGGGAACCATGAGAAAGTTAGTGGGTCAGCAGAGGTAAAGATTCTTAACCTGCTAGCTCCATAAGTTAGCTAGAACCTCACCCAAACTTTCATGTATTTTTAGAGCAGGAAGAGATTCAGAATGCAGTTTAAATTTGTTAGCATGCATTTATTACCCTTGGCCTAAAGAAGTGACAAAATTCTACAAATACAGGGCTTAGTTTGCATCATATAAAAAGCACGAGAAGACATTTTGATTGTTAGACTCTCAACCCATCCTTTTATAAAGGAGAAAAGAAAACTTTCAGTTTTGCTACTATTAGCAAACCATTTTCTTTTATTTTCTAGCGAAACCCTATGAAAAGGCAAATGCAGCTGTCCCTTGCCTGGAAGTTTCAGTAAGGAGGAGATGGGAGTGATCTTAACGCACTCAATTACACCAGGCCCTCGGCACCAAGGTAAGCAGTAATATACAAGAAATGTGTGTTTAGATGGAACCAAAATATTACACCAAAGAGTGAGAACGTGAGAATACTGACCGGACCAGTAATAGCTGGGTTCTGCAGTCTTGGATCTTCCCACTGAGTGATTTTGCTATCTGAAAATAAATGTTTAAAAAAAAAAAAAAATCAGGATATTAGTTCAAATCTATTCTCTGTCAAAAATGTTTTAGAATTATTTCTGGATTCTTCAAAAGCTGTCCAGTCCCCCACCCTGGCCCCAAAGATAACAACTTAGTATTTCAGGGTTAGAATTATTTTCTATATGGCAAACCCTCCACATACTGTTTAGTTAAAAACACTCAATCGAAAATGCACCACTAAAGTAAAACCATCTATTCACACTGTTTTAGGCAAGCAATCTGCCGAAATTTCAATTATAAACCCGTTCTTTCAAGGGTTTATAAGTTGATCTTGATTTTCATTTAATTGACAAGAGGCATAAAAAGTCTTAGTCCCCCCCCAAAAGTTAACCACACATGATTTTTCTCATTTCAAATATTTTTTTCTTTGCTTACGGAGTTGAAAAACTTCTTTCAAGAATCCTACATGTGTCATTCATAGGCATACAAAAATCAAAGCAGCTAAGGCAGTCCAGAAAATAACAACCAGATTTAGCAGAGGAAGATTCCAGAGAAAGGTTTTCCTTTTGGCCAAGTTGGCAAAGAGTGGTTTTCTTTCCTCCAAATGAGTCAATCCCAATAAGACTGATGGATGCCACCTCTAACCACTACTTCAGTGGTTTAGGTGACCACACACAACAGCTGCCCTGAATCACTTGGGAGTTGTGACTGTGCATTATTAAAAAGACCTTATGGATTTGTGTGTGTGTGTCTGTGTGGTGGGGGGGATGGATTCATGGAAGATAAGGGGTGGGCAGACTGGGGGAGGATGGGTTCTCTGGAGTTTTAGGAAATCTAAGTTGGTAAAAAGAAAAAAGAAAAAAGAAAGAAAGAAAGAAAATTACTTGTTTAAGAACATTGATTCTGTTTATTTCCTGCATACTCTCTAAAGCGGACTGATAAGAGTAACTAATAAATTCAGTTTTAGTGACCATAACCAGGAAATTTTCCAAGTCTGGTATTATAATCATTTTCATGAAAGCAGAGGTAAAGTCTTAAAATAAAGCTACCAAAGCACATGAGGATTCTAGATTCATGCTGGCAGAAAACTTACATGAAAAGTTCCAACTGTTTTAGAGAACCTTGATGAGAGAGCAAAGGCATTTTTGGGGTCCCTTACCTTGAAAACAGAAGACTTTGGAAAGTAAAAGTTGCTAGTGTGATGGAGAACAAGAGAAAAGAAAGCCAAATAAAAGAGACAGAATACAACTTAGTAAAAACTGCCTTGGACTATAATTGTACCAAAGAAGAAAATAAATTAATTACTACCCACACACAAGGATTCCCAAATCTTCAGTCCAGATCTGAACTTCGAGCCCCATCCTTGACACCTGCGCCTGGATCTCCCACAGTGACCTCAAACCCAACTCTACCAAAAACGAACCCACTATCTTCCAACACCCCAAACTGTCCATCCATCCTATTCCCAATGGACAGTATCACAATCCAGTCACGAGTCAGATCCGGAACCTGGCCACACCCTCCATCACCATTCACCTCTGGTGGTCACCAAACTGTCCCCACCTCTCACCAATAAGGCTACGTCTGGAGCACTCGTCTTTGCCCCAGACTACTGCCTGGGTTTCCCTGGCCTCGGTCTCACTCACTCCTGTTCAAAACTTCCTTTACAGCTCTGCCAAAAGGATCTTTCTAAAGAACAACTTTGACCACTGTCACTCCCCTCTGGAAAGTCCCTCAGGAGCCCCTCCTGCCTGCAGAAGGACCCAAGCACCGACATCCGGCAGACTCCCTTTGACCTGATCGTGTGTCATGCTGGCCTCCTCTGCACACTGGCCATTTGCAACCCCACCACATTTCTCTGAATGCGACACAATCTGCACAGTTTGATCCACCTGCACAAGTCTTCACCATCCTGGGATCGCGCCTCACTGGCCATGCCTGGCTGAATGTTACTCATCATTTGGGATCCACCTGAAAAGTAACCCATTCTGCAAGGCCCTCTCACAGCCTGCTCCCACCCCTGGCACCCAACCACTTAGCAAGAAAGTGGCAGTCTTGGCCTCTGCTGCTTCTATGTAACAACCGGTGCATTCCCCTAACACAACACTAAAGATACCTCCCGGTACTGCCTACCAGAAGGCCGCCCCCCCCCCCTCCCCGAGGGCAGGGACTGTATGTTATTCATCTCTGCAGCCCCCTACACCACTTAGCACAGCTCCCACAGCATATAATAGGAGCCTAATGAAGCTGATGGTGAAAACAAAGTCCCTTTGAAAGTCTGAGCTATCAGAACCACACAAATTTCTGTGTGGTTACAATAAAGATCAATTTTGCAGCTAATTATTGTCAATATATGAATGTATGGTAGCCAATTATCCATTTTTTCCCTAGAACTTTTGAATCTAAACTTGCTTTTTGCCTTTGAGACACTATATTTCAAAGAAAGGGACAAGAACAAAGCAGAAGAAAGACAAATTAAGTCAATTTAGCTGCTACTAACAGGTTTGGTAAATCTGTTGGCAGGAAAGACTAAAACAGGATTTTACAGCCTCACTAGAATTTTATTTTCTCTTCTGGCTTTGGATATAAGATGCCTGTGGCCAAGTACTCAGCTGCTGGGTAGATCTGGTCTCTAAGAAGAGTCACGTGATTCCTGAGAGAGGCAGAGGTTCAGTTCAAGGGCTTCCCTTAACCTTTTACACAAGGCTTGAGCCCGAGGAGCTGTCGATCAACGTCAACGAAACGAATCGAGGAGTCCAAAGAGGAGATCAGTATCCGGCAGTCAATTCTTCAGAAATTCAATCTTTAAGATGGTGGAATGTTTTTAATCTTGAAAGTGTCTAACTTCTCAAGAATTTATAAAGCAGAAAATAACCTAATAATTATTTAAAAGACACGTGCACTGCTGTCTTTGTCATTCAGTGCGCAGTCACGTATCCCCACGATGCTGGAAGACCGGGTGACTCTGAATAACTTACAAGATGATTGCTTTCATAGTGAAAAGGCCTATGTAGGGATGACCTGGTTTCTGTCCCGTAGGCAGCAAAACGAGATGCTGCATTTTGCTAGAACATCAGATGTGGGAAAACTCTTTAGAAGGAGAGGCTTGTTCGGAAGGTAAGGAAATTCTTAAGTGTTATCAGATAATTAAAGCCATTTTGGAGTGCACCTGTCAGCCCGGTAAAGCCTCTTAGAGGTGTTTGGTTCTTTTCACAGACTGGATTTTGGTGAAAAGGCATATGAATTGAACTCTGCTTCATTGATATGTGTGCCTTTATCACCTTCCATTGAGTAAATCTTGACAAATTAGGGAGAAATGGCAGAAATGTTGCACTGACAGCTAATGAGGTTCTCCTGAACGGATCTTTTCCTTACATAGGTTTTGGTCATCTAATGTACACTCTATTTGGTTAAGAGAACCTTTCAGGATGGTTGAGCAAAGGCAATTATTAATCTCCACATAAATGATCACAAACAGCACATGTTAGAGCTCAGGTCCACCAGGCTCTGCACGTGGTCTACACCATATCATCTGATTCCCAGGAGCGAACAGGAGCCTCCCACATGCTGTCCTGGCCAGAGGAATGGGCAACGGCTGACAGGAGTGCTTGGAGGGACAGTGGACTGATGAGGAACAAGGAACCGCCCAGGCATTTAGCAAGTAACTACCCTCTCCCACTGCCCAGCAAACAGGAGCTGGGCACGCCCGAGGCGGGACGCACCACCGCTGCTTCTCACCACAAGTTCTCCCCACTTTCTGACCGAGGACATCAACTTCCTAACCCCTTCACCACTGACCCGCCGTGAATCGACTTCAAGCGTCCGCTATGTATTTTACTACATCTCTGCACACCACTGGAAAACCAGTCTATGATTTTTATTATTTTTAACGTACACTAGGATGGCCCTTTGCAATAGTGTTTTTCTTGTTCTGGGGTCTTTGTGGCACATTAAGAGCATTCACAAAGGTCTCTTCAGGTTGGCCCAAACATGAGATCACCGGCCAGAACAGGGCTACAATGTTGTGTGAAACAGGGAAACGTTCTCTGTGTGTAGCAGACCGAGGTTGCATTACTGGTTAAGATCTTGTTTTAACAAAATGATTATTATTCATATCTTATCTTTGAAAACTGAAATTGTAATGTATAAGAAAACTGCAAAAGAAACTTTTTTGTTTTTAATGGGGAAAAGGGGTGAGACCCCCCTCCTATTTTAACAAACGATGCTAACAGTAAAATTATAAATAAATAGTATATTAAGGAAAAAAGTGGGGGTATACACATATTTTAAAGCATTTATGGCAGCAATTTTAGGTTCCCTGTAAAATTCTGGAAAGCAGGCAAATCAGTATTTTTGCTAGTCAAAGACAAAAACTAGGCCTACGAACCCTGAACTATCTAATTTAAACCAAAGGGTAGCTCACCCCTACTAAGACTTCTACTTGTGGTTTAATTCTGAACTGCTGGGCTTCCTGCTCAATTTACTTTTGAACGAGCCCTCAAGCTCCCACGACCAAGAGCGAAGGTGGGTCCATAATACAGAGTGACAAGCCCTCTCTGAATGAGGATTCCTCGTAGCCAACCTTCCGGGCAACTGGCTCCTGAGTGCACTTTTGATTAGTTAAAACGATGTGAGGCTGGCGAACCTGAGTGTAGACTTACTGTTCAGGAACCAAATGAAAACAAAGATCAAAATACTACCCAAGCTGCACGCATGAGCTGAACTTTAACTCTATTTGACGATTTCTTTTTAATATACATTTTTAGAAGTTTTAAGGGATACATCAATATGATCCCATGGAGAACACATCATCTCAAAAAAACCAAAAAAAAAAACCACTGGCTAAAAGCAAACCTTTATTAGTTTAACTTTTAGTTGAAATGAGAAACCACACATTTACTCATAGGTGCTGGAGCAAATATACTACAGTTTCAAGAAAAGAGCTACATATATATTAGTGTGTTGGGTGCAAGGAGACATGCTATGAATAGAAAATAAGTCAGAACGGGCATCTGCCACAAGACCTTGGAAGGCCGTGTTTACCAAACTGACATGCCGCTTCACGCACTACTCGCACATTGATTTTTGACTCAGTCATCACTTCTAATCTTATTTTCTATTACCAGAGTGTATTTATTAAAAGCACAAAAGTCAAGGGGTCATCAACCAAAAGAGATTTTTGTAATTAAAAAAATAAGTTAATAGGTCACAAGATGGAACTGGGTGAAAGCTCAATGGGCTACTTAAAGCAGATTTGGGGTGAGTGCACAGTACCGTATGAGGGCACTGACTCTCTGGTATCATTCTCTCCACATAACACCTGGCTGCCTAGATAAAGAGTAAAACGACAAAGCTTTCACTCTAATATTTGAATTCCCCTCCCCTCCCTTTACCTGCAGCACCAGTGTGTCCACAACAGTGCCTACTTACTATGATCAATGTAAAACGTTCGGCCATCCAAGTGAATTCTTTCTTCCCAACCAGGCTAGTATCAGAGGGAAAAGAGAGAGAGAATACAAACATTAGCTGGCAATTCCAAAATCAAAGGCAAAATTAAACTCTAGGACACCTTCTGACTCTTCTCTCCTAGGCTACATTTTTACATTAAGAAGAAACTACAAACATTTCAAGTTAACTCTTGCCAACATCTAGCAACACACTTGATCACAGGTTCAACAGTCTCAGATGCTTTCACTGTCTGAGGAACAGGAAACGGGCTGCTATTTCAAAAACTTCAAAGGGAAACTTCAGCATCTGTGGAACAGCTGAGTCTGGGGTTGACTAGCTCATTTAATTAAATAAATATTTACTGAGTACTAAAGCGGGGAGGAAGGTTAATATAAAAACGTTAGGAGGGGCCGCCCCTGTGGTGTAGTGGTTAAGTTCAGCATGTTCTGCTTCAGTGGCCAGGGTTCACAGGTTCGGATCCCAGGCACGGACCTACACTGCTGTGAGCCATGCTGTCATGGTGACCCACATATAAAGCGGAGGAGGATTGGCACACATGTCAGCTCATGGCTAATCTTCCTCAGCAAAAAAGAAAGTTAAGAGATAGGTGCTTTACGCACGCCATCAGGTAGTTGAACAGTCTAATACTGATATTCTCTGTTATGACCTCTCACTATCAGAGCCAGGAACTAAGAGATCTGGATAATGTTTCCAAGATAAGGCTGGTATTCCCTCATTATCTGTACTGTGCCTACTTACCATCTGAAATTCAGGAATCCAATAGATCTAGAAAACACACACACTTTCACTTTCTAAACTCAATCTCCAGACACTCTCTGGGCTCTTTCCATCTAAACCCAGGAACCAAACAGATTTGGAGAGTGAGGGATATTTGCATAACCTGATGAATGAAGACTGGACCCTAACCTTTCTAGCTTCAAATTTAGCCAAAATATACCATATGCCAGGCAACAGAAAGGTTCTTACACTTGGACAAAAACCATAAACCCCCCAGCACACTTCCATTCTAAAATAGTCTTAGAGCCCCCCCACATGCCTGCTCCTGTAAGGCTTTTTTATTGGGGGGTGGGTCGAGGAGGATGCAAGGTGAAAGTTTCATTCAAAATCCCATTTGGAGTAAACAGCTCAACTCCCACTCAGGCCCCAAAAGAGAACAAACTGATAAAAAGTTAGATTTATAAGTGGTCGTCAACGAGGGAGGAAAACTTAAAATATCTGTAGACTAAGTGACTTACAGGAACCTTCTGTGATTATTTATTCCTTTTTCTCCCACTATTTTTAATATTTTTGCTCCAATGACCAAATGAGCTATATGGATGGAACTGTGTGGTTGCCGAGTTACAGAATAAATATATGCTGCTTAAACTGTCACAGGTTGAGAATGCCTCCTACACCCTAGTTACAAGGTCTGCCTTCCACTAGCAGCTAGCAATTCAGAAAGCTCTTGCACAAGTACTAGGTGTTGTATGAACTGTATGTACTACCAGAATTCAGTCATACACCCAATTCTATTAAGAAATTGCAGACCAATGGGACCCAAAAAGCCTAACGAAAGAGAAGGCCCACAGGGCTTCTCCATCAACATGGGGCAGATGAATGAATAAACATTTTCAGATTGTCCATATGTCTCCAGTGTACTCACAGGAAGAGGGCCAAGGTCATTGGGGTTTAAAGATGCCTTTGATCGCATGTGTACTGGAAATTTCAGGCGTGGATCTTCCTGTAAGAAAAATGTAAAAGGCAAAAGATGTTAAAAGTGACTCTCTGTGTGCAGTTACTGGCTCCTCCCCTTCTGGAATTGTGTGTTGTAGGAGAATAAGAATATTTAAGTAAAAGATTAACCATTTCCCTAAGACTCTGAGCAGGTGAAGAGGAAGAGGGACCCAGCAGTGATGTTACTATGGAAACCAGAATGGAGGGTGCCGGCGAAGACCAGGCTCTGCTCCATGGAGAGGGAGTGTGGACAGCGGTCTGTAAACCTCCCTCTGGATCCTGAGTTCTGGGTGAGGGCAGCGAGCCCTGCCCTCAGCACTGGAGCTTCCTGCTGCTCCCGTCCACTCTTTCTTGACCTAGAGCAGAGAATCTAAATCTGGTCTGACTGTCAAGTCATGTCCTGCCCCACAGTCAGCCAGCTTTATCATATAAAGTCATATCCCTACTATGGAACTTTTCTTACCGAGGTTCTTGACCAAGTTGTGCAGATTAGATTCTCATTTATGTCTTAATACTTAAAAGTCTGTAAAAGATTTCTCTTAAGCGATATGGTTCATAAGATACCAGAGAGAACCGACAAAAGAGAAATATGTACTCTGACATCTTGGGTCATGCTTTATAATTTACAAAGAACAGTTAGACATACGATCTTGCAAGTCCCCTGTTAGGAGGCTGGGCACATGATTTCTGCTTCTTTGGATGAGGAAGCTGAGTTTCAGAGTGAACGAGAACTTGCCCATAGGTTCTGACCCAGAGTCTGGGAGCTGCCTTTCTCTCATATAGACCCAATTAAAATGCAACTTAGAAAATTCATATTTTAAACTCCGATGATTAGGAAGCAAATGATAAAACTTACAGTAACACACTGTCAGCTAAATAAGCCTAGGATTAGGAAAAAACTCTAAAAAAAAAACCCTTTAGAATTAACCTTAAAAAACCCCACTCTTTATTCCAATTATATTAAAACCTTTGTTGCTGTAAAATTGGTACAAACCTTGGAAAATAATAAAAATTCACTTTGTGAGTTTTGGGTATGGGGTTTCCTTTGGGGGTGATGAAAATGTTCTAAAGTTGATTAATGTGATGGTTGCACATCTTTGTTCAACAGTATAAAAATTATTCAATTGTATATTTTAAATGACTAAACTGTATGACATGAATTTTATCTCAATAGAGCTGCTAGAAAAAAATTTCCCAAGTCAACAGTATAAACTTAGTATTACTGGATTATAACAAAGTGACAGATTTTTGGAACTGGGAAGAATAAAAAAAAAAAACATCAAAAAATTAACTCAACCTTTGCTTTCTGTTAACTATAGCAAACTTTTAATTGAAGAAATAAATCACACTAGCAGTTTATGATGGGTATTGACCTTGAACCTCACTAATACATTTTTTAAAGGGTAATCAGAAGCATAAAATCAGTCTAGTATTCTGTATTATAGTGGAACACATACAGTGTACACAGATATACTAAGTAGATTTCAGATTTGCAAGGTCCCAGAAGCTGATAATCTGGTAAACATCTGTGATAGGTTAATTCTGGACAGAGGTACAATTTAGAACACCAAACTCCACAAAAGCTACCCTCCCAATGCCAACTCTGAGCTGGACCAGGTAATGCCACAGCCAAGGGGGTCCCTGGGCCCCCACAGCCACTGGCCACGCTAGGATTAGAGAAAGCCCAAGACTGCTGTGACACGGAAGAGGACAGGGGCTTCCAGACGCTCCAGGCGAGGGTAGCCATGTCTTGGAATCACACACACAGGCCACTGTGAAAAGATAAGCAGCTCTCTTGGTAAAAAGCTGGTGATTAAAAAAAAAAAACAAAAAAAAACGAAGCAGCTGAAATTAAAGAAAAGTGCCAAGGGGGTGGGGGCTGGGGGTGGGGGGCATGAAGTATAAAGTAAACTCAGTTTCACAGGTCTGCTAAAATGGCCTTGCATGGAAACCCAGAATTCATAGAATGTGAAGGCTGGAGGCCCTTACGGGTCATATTACTTTATTATACAAATCAAAATCAAAATAATGGTAGCAGCTGCCATGAATCAAGCTCTGAGGGCTAAGTCTAGTGGGCACTTCTGAACCCACCCTCCCAATGGATCCCCTGAACAACTGAGGAGGCAGGCCCCCCCAAGCTGATGGAGCAGACAGAGGGCAGCCACAGCCCAGCATGAGTCATGATAACTTTAGGGCTGACAGGAAGTTGGAATACCATGAAGTCTCAAATGATATGAATATAAATGAATAAAATATGCAAAACACAGCTGGTTGTTTTCTCCCTATTCTCAGCATAGTAAGAGCATTCTTTTTCACTATTTCACAATTATTTCAGTATTTCACAATTGCTTCCCCTCAATACAGTTGACACGGTTTTTAAACAGAAGGCAAAGATCAACATCATAAAAAAAGAAGGCTTCCTAGCAGAATCATTTAAAAATATAGAAAATATGGGAACGCTGGCTTGTGCTTTTCCCATCCTGGAAGACATCAACAACTGTGCCTGGGCTGCACTGAGTTTTATTAGTTTGGACCTGAGTAGAAAACAAACCTGAAACTTAATTAAGGTATAATCCTTCTTGCTACAAAAATAAGCCCATGCTTTGTTCTATAAAAGACATGAATATACTCTTTACACACATGCTTTGAGCTGCTGGCTTAGCAGAAGGAACGGGCAAGCTGAAGGCCTCTTGTAATCTCTCCTCAGTCACCTGGTGGCCTCCAGCACGCATCCATGGCCTGCCTGACCCAGGTGGGAACAACGTGACACTCACTGGATGTGGTCAGACTTAATTCCAGATAGACTGCTGGCATACTGCCTCCATTCTTTGTGTGTGTGAAAGGCTGTGTTTTATAAATAGACTTCAAAGAGAATTTTCCTCTGTTAATGTATACATGGGAAATGCTGGCCTGAATCTTTTCATGCTCCTAGTTAGTGCAGGAATCAAGAGTATATAGGGTGATGGGGAAAAGAAGACTATTTTCATTATGCTTAACCTGTCCTACCAGTTTTTCTTCCTTTTTCTATTATACTGCTCAAACCTAAGAATAGCTACGCTGTTCTCTCCCTCTGTTAAAAAACAAACAAAGCAAACCCCAAACCAACGCAAAACAGATTTTAAGGTGAAAATTATCTTTATAGTTCCCTCCGCCCCTCCATCTTTTGTCAAAACAAACAGGCAATTTGGAGGGTGCCTTCCAGGGGGAGGATTCTGCGGAGGCCTCTGTTTGGCAGGGAGAACGCAGCTGTGTCAGCACATCTGAGTTTAGTGAAGAAGGGTAGTAACTTGTGGAATTTCCAGTTGTTACCTTAAGGATTTTCGACAGCAGCAGCAGCAACAAAATGTTGTCTTAACAAATTAAAATTTTAAACTAGTAAATGAGTCAAGAAGAAGTATCTGTAGAAAGGGACAACTGGAAATTCAAACTGCGTTTCATTCAGCAACGATGCAGGCAATAAATAAAGCTGGTGCTATTTAAAATAAAATTTGCCCAGCTGCAATTACACTGCAGTTGTGGCGTGAAAGGCTGCGAAAAGGTTAGGGGATTTGATTACTAAGCTAGTTCAAATTACTAAAATCATAGCTTATGTTGGCAAGCCACAGTGGCTCCATACACTAATCCATCTACTTTTATAATATTTACCCCCTATTTCTGGAGCTCCCATTTCTGGCTGAAGATCTGAAATCACAGCAATGCTGTAATAAGTAGAAATGCGGACACTAGCAAGGCAGCCACAGGTTCTATGTCAAGGCGCAAAAAGGACCTAAAAACCAATCTCTATTACTCCATTTTCCAAAGAGCTGTCTATCTCTTACTCTCAACTTGCCCACAAACCTGTAATATTATCTTCAGACTAAAAGGTAAGTCAAACAAAGACCTCAGAAGAGGTTAAGAGTTTACCAAATGTGTGTCACTGGATCTAAATGATAAATTCTCTTAGCAGGCTATTCCTTTACTTCAACACAGGAATAACTTGTAGAATGTCCCTCACTAAGGTGTTTGGAAATGTGGGGGGCATTTCTGGTTATCACTGTGATGGGGGTGGGGGGAGGAATGGTGCCTATTAGCATTCAGTGGCAGGAGCTAAGGATGTTAAATGTCCTACAATAAAAGGCACAGTCCTGCAGAGAATGTCCTTGTGGAAACATGTTGCACCATGATCCACAGGTGTTTGGAGAGAGAGCCCTCTAAGCCACCTAGTCCAATTCTTAAGAGACTGAATTGACATGACACCATGGGCAAAGCGTAAATGACAGTCTTGGTCACTTTGGTCCAAGCCTCCTCCTTAACACAATACTGCTGTTCTATCAACTGGACACACTTGGTGTCTTCACTAGAAATGGGAATTTAAAGCATGTGTTCACTGCTGGTCCAAACCAAAGAGCTAGGACCAATGACAATCGCCAAAAGTCAATGAGCTTTCACAGAGTATCAGTGCTAAGCAAGCAGCACAGCTGCTGAAAGGACTGAGTGAAACTCTGTACCCAGACAATTGGATGGGGGATATAAGGGACAGGAAGAAAGACCTTCTGCAGTATCCGAAATAGAAACAAGAGAACCAATTTCAGTTTAATCATAGGTCTAGAGATCACAGAGTAGAAAAATACCACTGACTTTTAAAAGAACTATACACTGTGTTATATAAGCCACCGCTGATTCAGCTCAAGAAATGAAGAACCAACAGAGGAACATAAAGATAAGCATATGCACCTCTGACTAACCTCATCTCGCCCAAGTTAATGCAACACACAGGTTCCTTTTCATGTATGATTCAGGGGCACACAGAAGAGTGGCATGATAAGAAAAACCAATTTTGACAAAATGTTCACAAAAAAGAGCTATCAAATTTACAACTAAAGTCTTTCAGTATATCTCCTAACCCACAATTAAAGATATGAAATGTAGCACAGAAGTGTGTAAAATGCTAATCTGATGAGAATACTAAAAACTAAAAGGACAAATCAAATAAAAAGGGGTAATGTCAATAAAAACGCAAAAAGAAACTGAAAAAAATTCTTCGGAAAAAAAGATGAAAATTCCTAATAAAATGACAGCACCATGAGATGTGAAGCAGTAACACGAAATCCTAGCAACATGGAGAACCACCTTTTTTCCAAATATGGTAAATTGTCAAAACCAGAGCTTGCCAGGAGTGCTATGAAGAAAACGCATCCCCTCGGCGCCAATACCAGATGGCCATAAGCCTGTACCTATAAGTCACCCAGTGCCACCAGCCCATACATGCAGAGTCTAGATGTGGGCTGAGGAGACCCTCTGGGGACACATGTCCGCGTCAGAAATTTCTCTACAAGAACAATGAATACTGAGGAAGGAAATAAGGAATTAATGCCAGACCTCATGATGAAAACGGAGCCAAATAAAAGCAGCAACCTTACCCATGTTGTAGTCTTTGTATTATGGTCAATGAAGAAGGGCCGGCCGTTTGGCGCTATCCTCATTTCCCAGCCGGGTGGCAGGAAGCTCTGAGTGACTTTGTGTTGTGGTTTGGGGGAGTTGTAAGGTGATGGCTGTGGGGACTGTGGATTGGAAAGGGTGTCTTTCACAGCCCGACGGATGGGTGAGTCCTTGGCACCCTAAGGAATAATAATGAGCATTAGAACTCTTACCATGTGCTATACCAGATGTGTCAAAATGTACCTGGGTTATCAGGCAATGCTCCTCCTTTGGAGAGGGACAAGGGGGAAGTGCCTAAAACACCTGTTTCTGTCATTCTTTTACTTCTAAATCAATCTAGTTTTAAAGTTTTTCTGTTGGTTAAGGAAACAACATTAAGTACTTATAATCACCATCCTTTGATAGCTACTCAGTACATACCAAAAATATTCTTTTATCGTGAGCATCATGGATGGAGATTTTACAGAGGGTGGAGAAATACATGCCCCTGCTCTGAATGAGCTCACAGTCTAATGAAGAATAGATTGGCAATTTTTAGAGCACACAAAGAAATACCTTATCAACGGAGACAAGCACCTGGAATTGCATAGCTGTTACCCATGACATTTATATCACAGCCAGGAAGAGATACTATCCATTCCCACTTCTAGCATCTGAAACCCAGGGCATGGGGAAACCCACAGCTATCTCTAAGACACAGTCACATTTAGAACTTCAGACATTTACTCTCTGGCTTCTCTAACTCTCTGACATTTATAACGTTAAGGGATGGCACTAAAGCCACACACACACGAGAGAGCACAAGCAAATGCCCAGCAATGATTTAGAGATGCAGATACGCATCAGAAACACGTATGCTCATACAATGAAAGACCCTACAGTCAAAAGGAAAAAAATGATCAAAGCAACAGCTATGTTTTAAAACTCAATATAAGCATTGGTATTTGAAGGAGTTATTATGCAAGCCTAATGAGGTAGCAGGCAATAAGGAGCAAAACACAACAAGAATGGAGAAAGTTCTGAAAAGAGATGCCCATGTCCAGCACAAGTCACCATGGCCTCAGCCAAATGAGAATGAGAATCAGGTGAGAGAGTCCAGGGATGTGAACTGGGCGGAACAGAGAAGCACGCAGTAAGTCTGCACAAGAACACCCTTCACCACGAACACACGACTGATCAGAGAGAGCAAGGTGGCGGCAAGACTGAAGTCCAAGTTAAGAGAGAAGAGAGAATGAGAAGTCACAGGATAGATGTGACCCCAGTTAGATGAGGTAGCCTTCTCACCTCCAGAGGGGCAGATAAAGTTACAGTTGGCGAACTGAGGCTACGAGGCCGGCGGATCTGAGGCTCGATTAGATGGTTGTTACTGTTTGTGGCGGATCCAGATGCACCATCTTCTGCAAGCTATTTTGGAGGCAAAAACAAGTTAGCTTCATATGAGGATCTCCTTGTGTGTGTGTGATTAGGAGTGTGGACCCAAACAACAACACAGCCAGCAATAATAAGAGGTCTGGCCTATTTAAAGCATGGAGGAAATGATTAAACATAATAATGGGGGCAAGGATGGGGAAATGCATTCAAAGGAAATAAAAATGAATCACTAGCCTGGCATAAAAACCAGCCTCAGAAAAAAGAGGGGGTTGGCAGAGAAGCTACTGTAACAGGCTCTTAATTCGGAAATATCTTTCATGTCACATTTTAAAAATGTACCTAGGGATAGACTGATTTGGGGATCAAATTCTTCCTTAGGCAAATATAATACCTAAAGTAACGCATTTTCTTTGTGAGAAAAACTTTCTTTAACATGAGTTCTTCAGAACAATATGTAAACATCAGAAAACGAGGCTCATGTGCATTTCAGCTTCTAGTGCCTGTGATTTTAAGCTGTATGGCGATCTGCGTACCTGCATGATAGGTCGAGTCCAAGTTGTGGTTCGATTGTTATGATTGACATAGTATGTACGTCCCTTAGCATCTTTTCTTTCTTCCCAGCCTGAAGGTAGGCCCGGCGTGGTATGTACATAGGCCACTGACGGCTGTTTGCGTAAGAAATCATCATTATTTAATATCTTGCATTTGTTTACTGATCAGTTTAATAAAGTAATGTACACCCAGAGAATTATTTGTTCTAGACAAAGTTAGTTAATTTTATTTGTACCAAAAACATTAGTGTCTGGAAAACAGCAACAGATTTCCAATAGCTTCAAATCTACTATGAAATAAACCCTGCACAGCTATGGGGTCCAAAGTCTTACAGAAGTCAGTTCTAAAGCCCTGAAGGCTTAAACACAAAGGGTTTTGGCTAACGTGATCGTAAGGAAAGAGAAAAATATGTAAAATTTAGTAACTAAAATAGATACTAAGTTTTACTATCAAACCACATAGAAAAAGTTATTTCAAACTGTCAAATGTTACCATCTATAAGAGGAAGGCTCTGAATATTTTTTCCCTCAATATGGCTGCCACAGGGATGCTCTTCTAGCTTATTCTTAAATTCTTTATCAGCTTATGGCCTGTGCATTACAGCTTTCAGGGGGGAAAAAACCCCAGTCTTTTCTCTAGAAGACCTGCATTCATACCAGTAGCACATAATCAAGAGGACAGACCAGGACATCTCAACTGCCCCAGCTCAGGAAGTCGCCTGGCAATCTGAGGTCAGAATTCCCAAAGACCCTGATAACTGAGGCTGTATTTACCCCGTCCACACATAGGAACTTTGTCTCTTTAAAGGATGAATGAAGCACAGGCAGTTTCTGGGTTTGGAGACACGTCCAGTATAGAGTGACTATACTTGGCTGGTCCAAATCAGAGCACAAAAGGATTCCTGAGACACTTCTGCTTGTAAGCAGCAGTCTGGGTGGAGTAGCAAGGATGTTTCAATGACTCATGCAGGCAGGAGATGGACGTTTGAGGTCAGTGCTATCCTCCGAAGTTCTGGAGGTACGGATGCTGCATGTAAGACTTGTAACTGGGAAAAGGGTGCTACTCTAAGAGTGGGGGACTCCGAAACAAGAAGCCAAACATCAGGAACAATCTCTTACATGAGGTTACAAAAGGAAGCACTTCTTTTTGGATACCCGTCTTCCCTAATTAGGATCTTCTGAACCTCCAGATGTTTGACCAGGTATAGTTGTCTCGTTATTAGGCTGAGGATGTAAATGTCTCAGCCAAACTTCCCTGGGCTCATGCCATCTTTCTTGGTCACTACCAACAACGTGCCTTGGCAAAGAGTGTCACAGGTGGAGGGTCCGCCAGTTCCCTGTAGAACCCTGATTTGGAAAGCATGACCAAGGATGCTGCCACGTAAAATTTGGGGGACTTCAGTTGACAAGGCTCAATATTCTACTTCATGAGCTCAACAGCACATTCCAGAGGAAAACTAATTGAGGTCATGCAGGAACTGCCTCAATGGTTATTTCTAAAACATGGTTACCAGGCAAGATTATGTGTAAAAGAACCTTTCTGTGAAAACTGCAGCAACTATTTCCTTGATATTTTTCCAGATAAAGTCCCAAAGGTCCCATATTGGTAATTCTAAGACTCTGATTGTATCGTGTCCTGGATTTAGGTGTGGGGGTACAACAAGAGCGGAAGAAACACCAAGATGCAGACTTGATTTTTCAGCGAGCATCAAAGACAGATGAACCTGTCTACAGCTGGAAGCTCCTTCCTTCCTCGGTCTCGAGCTGCGGCACCAACACAAAGGAGCTATTTCCAGGCTACTTTTCACCCGGGCCCTAGAAAAATGGACTCTGCTGAACTAAGTTAGAACCCAAGTTGTAACCTAAATTACTGGTCAAGCCCTGTTTTTGGCAAAGTATGTGCTATCAAGCTTTGACCTACTGTTGTTTATATGATGACCATTGATGTTTTGGCTAAATGGAATTTGCTGCTGCTTCTCCTCCCTGTTGAGTTTTCTGGGAGAGGTAATTAGATTTGCCCTCAGAAAACTCCGTTCTAGAAACCTTAAGGATAGTTTTACAGTTAGAGCATGTTTGGAAAGGAAATTTATGAGAAGACTGATAAACTAGAATAACTTAGAAATGTCATGGATAATCTCAGAATTGAATTCGAAATCTGCATGGCTTCCAGCAACCAGGTTACCTTCATAGATCCACATTAATAGGACTGATCAGTTTATGGAAAACTAGGAGTGTGGTAGAGAACACTGAATTTGATTAAAATGTTCATTCTACCTTCTATTAAGAATTGAGTTGGCAACCTATAATCTAGTTGCATTTATGTGAGATGGTGTTATTAAAATGTTTCTTCATAGATTTCTTTCCAAATGACCGTGGAGAACAACCTGTGCTGATGATTGCATTCGTGACTCAAAACACTGCCTCCCACCACGCACGGCTGGGGAGGAGGCAGCACCAGGCTTCCAGAGACAGACCACAGAAGTGGCCCAGCTCTGGAGCCAAACGCAGATTCTACTGTGTGTGCATGTGTGTGTGTGTTCGTGCACATGTACGTTGAACACTACCCTCAAACAAGTTAATTAATCAAAAGATAAGCTAAAAACTGCTAGTCAACTTAACATTTCACAGCTTTTCATCTGAATATGCTACTGCATTTCACAATGCCAAATAGCCATTTAACTTCACAGTGGCTCCATCTATTTCATTAAATGAACTCAATTATCTTTAAACTGTAAAAGTTTCAGTATGCTTTTTTTTGAAGGTTTTTTTTTTAAATTAAGATTATGATAGATTACAACCTTGTGAGATTTCAGTTGTACATTATTGTTAGTCATGTTGTGGGTACACCACTTCCCCCTTTGTGCCCTCAATATGCTTTTAAAGATGATAAACAGTTTGGCACTATCATAGATTCTCCAAGAATCGCTTAAACCCTGCCACACTGTTACCTCAGCATATTTTTAGGCAATATACAGCAAAGACCAAAGGACTGTGCTGTGCCGTCCCTCTCATTTTATCTGACAGAGAGGGCTCTTGCTTAGCCAGCTGGAAAGTGACACCAGCATGTATGTATCTGTTGTAAATCAAAGGGCTGTGGCTCCGCAGGCGGGAATTGGTGCTTGTTCGTTATACTACACAAATAAAAGCACTACCATGGAAAGAGAGCTATCTGAGGATGCGGGGGAGAGGGAGGTTGAATGCTCATCAATGTGGGCAAGTTATATAAATTGTGGTGCATTCATATCACTGAATATTACATAATTATTAACATGTCCCAGAGGAATGACTGTGAGTGAAAAAGATCAAGGTGTACGTAATAAGTATGTCAGATCCCACTTTCCTATGAGTGTGTGTATGTGCACACACACATGTGTTCGTGAAAGCACAGAGGAAGGAGTGAGACGATGTATCCCAGGGTTGCTCCAGGACGAGATGGTGGACTTCAGTGTGGGGTGGACATGGAGAGGGGCATGAGAGTGTGTAGAGGAGGAGAAAAAACATGGTAGGAGACGGAACTGGAAAAGAGAGAATAAAGGGCACTCATGACAAGGGGTGGTGAGGGTGGAAAAGAAACACATGCGACACTTTCAAACCTACCTATATGTCCATCGCAGCCATAAAACAAGTTGGCTTATTGTAGGTTGAAAGATTACCAGGTACATAGAAAGCATGAGAGGAGGTAAAACACTTAAGAACCACCATTACTCAGTCTTTAAAAATAAAAAATAAAACCAAACTCCTCTATCTTTAATTCATTGGTAGGGGACGGGAGAGTACTGGCAAGAAGGAAAGGGCAGTGGCGAGGTCCACAGGGGTCTCACTCAGATGGATCATTTTGTCCTGCCAGGTCACTCTCACCACAGAACCCGTACTACCCTAATTCCATTTATCCCGTCATTTCATATCACAGCCATCACAACACTCCAATACTAACAGCAGGTCCCAAGGCCAATAAATGCAAAAATGGACGACAGAGGATACTCATACAGAGGATACTTATAGCACTGAATTCTACTAAAATTATTTCATGAAATGACTGTGCCTCCCTCCCTCACAGCCCTTCTCCCATAGAAATTTCTAGTGCACAGTAGGAAACATGCTAGTTTATTTGGAATTTTTTGAATTCTACTGGAGGCTGAACCTAGCCCACCCAACACCCGACTTTCACAGGAATTGCTGCAGCTCAATATCTTAAACTAGGCTGATTTTCGCTAATTGCCAATTTGATGTTCCTGTGTACAATGCTGAGCATTAAATTCTAACTATAACTAAATTGTTCCTTTAAATTATCAACATCCTGCAGAAAATCAGCAATCGGATATGTATTTAAAGGTATTCTCAAGTAATAAGCAGTTATAACATACATAACAAAGCTGAAACAATAAGGAATAGTCTTGAAATAGCTATAGCAGCTCAAAGCAGAACCTATAAGCTGGCCCGGTTTAGGGATCAAGTAAAAAACAGGCAATTAAGATACACAGTCAAACCCAAGTTACCCACAAACACGAGTACTAGAAATTGTTTAAAGTAATGAATAATAACATATACTTGGCTTAGAGAAACACCATTTTTTCTAGACCTTTTCAACTTCTTAAATATGTTCCCCCCTTTTTCCCCTTGAAGTCTATGAAGACTTGATCATTCCTGTGAGTAGAGGCCCTGGTAGCAGAGCAAGGTCACTGATTCGTGCTCATGACAGAGAAAATATAACCCAGTGTTTAAAATGTGGTACAGGAAACGCACGAGCGAGGCTGGCCCTGTGCACAACTCAGAATCCACATGCACAACTGCATGCAATTCCTGGGCCTTCCCTGATTCTCTTCCAACCAAATTAATTTACCCAAGTATTGTCTCAAATAGGAAAAGCTTATCAGAAGTACAAATACTAAAAGGCAAAAATACATTCTAATTGGTCAAATTGAATGTACTTAACCAAAGCTTGACAGTATTCCTAATAAAACTATGAGACTGAAAGTGCTCAGTTTTCATCAGTACGTTTGAACAATCAGTTTAAAATAAGAAACATATGCAATATTTAAACCAATTCACGGTTTTGCCATTAATGTCTGATCAAGAGTTTCATTACCGTTGGCTCCTCACCACCCGAGACAGTTGATGAACGTGCTCTCCTAGCTGGGGCACTGGGCTGTTAAATAATAATTTACATCAGTGAAATGCACTTGGGGTGGCCACCCACTGCTTACTGATTCAGGGATCATTGCTGTTGCAGCCAGCAAGGCAGGTGACATGAATCAGAATCCTTGAAATCCACCCTGTCCAAATAAAGCTGAGCAACCACTGACGACCAGAAGAAAAAGAGGCATGTGATTACCCTCCCACCCGGGATTTTGGTAAACAATGAATTCACAACTTCAATAATGTGAGATGTCTTATCCAAAAAAAAAACTTGAAAATCACTACGGTTTCACCCCTGCTGTTAAATAATTAGCAGATTCTTATATCTGCCAAACTAAAAAATCAAGTAAGAGGCCACTGGTGATCAGTGAGTTGACCGCTTCATAGAATATAAGAGGGAGGAATCATCAGTTTCCAGGAAAGCGAGCTCTTTGGCAAATAAAATTGAAACTGATTTTGAAAAGGAGAGAAAGTGCCATTAAGTCATCAAGCAAAATTACAGAATCATTAGATTGAGGAGGATCCCACCACACAGCTGATTGTTCTGTTTTTTGGGGGGAGGCCCGTACTGAAACCATCTCAGAAAGGACACTCTTGTCAAGCCTCTTATCAACTAGCCCATTCGAAGTAAGCCACAACTGAATCTATTATTTTGATTGCTCAGTTGACTACTGTACTTCATTAATTCATCTAAACACAGAGAAAAGGCTAGGCAAAAAATATCCTTTCAACCGAGCAAAAATGTACATCATAGGCAAGACTCTGTGATTTCAAAAACTGTAAGTATAGCTTTTTTTCCTTACATGTCACACGTAATAAAGTATTAGTGCTAAAAATGATCAAAGATTTGTAGTACTAAAACAAGTGGTCAAGGTTCAACATCAAATTGAACATCTAAAAACCACATAATATTTTCTTCTCCAAAGAGGAAACAAATTTACATAAAGTTTCTTATTTTCAATGCGTACACCAAACTTCTCCCAAGGCATTTCTGGTCTGCCTTCCAATTTGAAGGTTCATTTTTATATATGTCCTATATTATTAAACACCTCTCACACTTCCATATTTGTTGCTAGTTATGAAAACTGTGAGAGTGGGAACAAATTATAGCTAATTCCTTAGTCAGGAGAGCTGCCTTTAAGAGAAGGTACAGAGACTTTGTGGGTTAAGAGTTTAAACCATCAGTAATGGAAAGGAATACACACTGACAACCCAGAAGAGTTCTTCCTGTTTAAAGGGATTCAATATGTTCTTAAGATACAAGTCACCAGAGCACAGCTTTAGCGACTAAATGAAGCTAAAAAAAAAAAAATGGCATTATTAACGTATGCTTTTAGTGAAGTAGTTAAACTCAAGTAAGCACATCAGAATTGGTATTAATTTGGGTGGACAACCAAAGCGATAAAGTTTTTAGCATTTCAGAGACTTTGGTGGCAATAACTCTTTATATTGGAAGTCCACTTTCCTTGGGCTAATTTTTAGGAAATTTTAAGTCTCATTTACACGGTGAATGGATTTGCACAGGAAAAACTCTTCCTCAGTAGCCCAGATGATTTTTCACAAAAGCCAAAAGAGCGAAGTGATGACCGGAAATGAACGTGGGTTACCGGGGGGAGATGAGCCTGCTCCGCAACCGCGTCAGTGACACTGCACGACCTCAACCTCGAGGAGGGCTCTCTTTGCTGAAGGAGAGGAAAGGACATGAAGCATCAAGAAAACGTATTCTTAGAAACAAGCTTCACTGGCTCCAAAAATGTATCACTCAAACCTATTCACCACCCTTTGATATTACAAGTTAATTAAATGAAACACCATCTTTTCAGAGTAGAGAGAGAATAATCCTTTAAGGAGGCAAGAAATCTTCCATTTTCACTCTTTACTGTTTTAAGCAGACTGGGATTCTGATTGGTCCTTAGTTAGAAATAACAGCAAAAATAAGAGGAGGCGGCCAAAACAGGAAGGGAGACTCAACACGCCACTGAAACACTCCAGTGCTGCTCTAAGAACGGAAATAAGCCTGAAGTCTCGTGGTCTGCTTTGAGATGCAAACTCTGGGTAAATCTAGTGCGATGTGAAGAGAGGAAGAAATACTGACATATGGTTATTACACATTATTGAATATTATTACCATTGACAAAGAGTCAGTTGGATTCTATGCCCAGAGGAACTCAAACATAATTTTGTGCTACTTCTGAAGGGTCAGGTATTTATAATTTTTGCTTCTGAATGGAGTTGAAGTCATACAAAAGAGGAATGAGGGCAAATAATGAGGCTAATCTAAAGAAATCTAGTGTGGAATGTATAATGTTCCTCTCACTTGTTTGTTATTAATCTATATGGTTTTACATAAAAGCTTAACAGATCCACTCAGAGAACAGGAGCAGGTCACACGCACAAAAGCCAGGGGTCTAATCAGTCCCTATGGGACAAGTTTATAGCATTTACTCATTGTTAATATTGTGCAATGATAAGTAAAACAGGATACGGTCAAAGAAAGACTCTGTAGTGGCGATGGGGTGCTATTCATGTCTTTCCACAATGGTCAGCACACAGGATTCATTCTTGAGTAAAAGTTCATGATACTGTCCTTGACTACAGAGTGACCCTGACAAGCAAAACTGGAGACGAGTCCCCTGTTCTTCTCTTTCTTAGGCACTCTTATTTAATAGTTCAACCAGATTCAAAACGGTATTAAAATAATACTGACACTTGCACTTATATCAAAGATATTTTATGTGCCTTGACTAATTAAATGCAGGAGCTCCCATTACAAATAACCAGGGATGCTAGCTTAATATTAATGCTGAAGAAAATCATGATTTTTCACCCGGTAGACTAAAGGTGTACAACTGTCACGGTTCTTGCAGTATTTACTTCCTTTTATAGGTTTTAAATATATGGCTTCATTGCTTATGTTGCTTCTATAGCAATAGTTTACCAATTCAAATACCCCATAATATGCAGACTCTTTTCCTGCCCCTTTAGTACTAAATTTTCATCTCAGTGGTATTTCTCTTTCTGAAAAACATTTGCAGAATTTTAACATAAAATCACATTAACTGAGTATTGTATGAGTAACTGCAACTCATACAATCTGGGTCAATGGTGTCTTTTTAAATAAAAACACCATTAACTGAAGGAGTAACAGTTTTGTGAGTACTTACCTGCTTTTACATTTTATGCAGTCCTCCTATCCATTTTCATTTGATAGGGTTTTAATAATGACTATTTTTCTAGAGTGCCATTTCCAGTGGAGTGAGTACCATCATTTACTATATTACATCAAGTTCGAATTCTCAAGCAACACTGAAACTGCATTTGTTCTCAAATTTATACACAAGCAGGAACTTTCTATGGGCTTTTTCTGCATAGTTTTGTATTGTCAAACATGGAGGTCTTCATGGCTGATTCTGCTGCTTCTCATCGGGGCTTAGGCCCATCTGAAGCTTCTAGAAAGAGCTTTCCTGACGGTTGAGAACCCAAATTCAAATGTTACCCTGAGGTCAGTGTCATAATTTCACAACTTTCTCAAGGATTCGTCATCTGGGACTTAGTAGGTGTCGTCTATCTCCCATTCCACCCTTGTCTTGGATGGGTCCCTTAAACATCCTGCCTTCACCTGTGAGATGAGAACGATAAGGCATGCAGACTATGACTTAAGAGGACTGATTAGGAGGCCCAGCGTCTCCTAGGCCCCAGTGTAAAGTACCACCTTTGTGATGATGGCACTATTTATGAGGCTTTGGCTGGGAAAAGAAATCCTACAAGGTTAAAGCTGATAATTATAGAAGTCAAGGACTCTTATTCTTTTGAGTTCTTTATAAATCAAGAAAAGATTCTCACCTGCTTCGGCTAATTTTGCTACAGTCATGCTTCTCCTAGGGAAGGAGGAACTTTGGAAAATGGCAGACTTATCTGGCAGCTGGAAGACCCTTGGTCATTATTTACATACAAGTTTCACTTAAAGCAACAAAAAATGATAAGATATTTGCTCAACTACTCATTCCAACAAGACTATTACTTACAATCAAAGAGCCGAACTGCTCCCCGTTGGAATCTGGAGTGATCTGAAGCCTTCTGCTCAGTTCCTCAGACAGCTCCTGAGGGCTGGTCCGAGACACTGGGGAGGCTGGCGGTGGGGGCAGTGACAGACTGAGGGAGTCTCCAGTGATATTCACTTCTTCTGAAATGGTCTCCCAAGGCTGTCAAGGAACGAGATGCTGCAGTAAACACTAGGAACGAGGGATCCTCTCTTGCCCTCTCCAACAACAATAACCATTAGGGTAACTGCAACTGACCTCTACTGAGCACTCAGGAGGCACACAGTCTTCTCAATAACCACGAGGAAGATGTGCCTACTACCCTAATTAACACAGGAGGAAACTGAGGCACAGACAGTAACCTGCCCAAGGTAACAGAGCTAAGAAGTGGCAGGGCTAGGACTTGAACCAAGGAAGCCTGGTCCAGAAGCTGTGCTTTTAGCACTTCAGAATACCACCTCTCTGAGCAGTGACTGACTTACAGCACTTGTTACTACATGCATGGGTTAAAAAATATTCTCAGGAACTCATTCATGATTTTCATGGATTTTTTCACTCTAAGTGCTGAGGACTCATAATGAAAACAGCAGAGATGCTATAAGCTGTAATTAAACAGTGGTATAAAGTAACTTTTACTGAATTTCTTAGGGAATCATTAATTCTGCTTTTCCAATTTTGATTACTGGAACATTTTGGGACTAATCCTCCCTCTAACAGAATGTCTAAAAATAATGGATTTCTACTGAGTAAACAGAGTTCTTAAGGCAGCATGGAAGTTATGGTAATTGCTAATTTTCCCCCCAGTAATTTACCATTAACATTTGTATTTTCTTGGTAATAAATCTCTTTCATGATGTCAAAACTACTCAGTAAAACACTTGCATTTGGAACCCAAACAAGTTATAGGGCTCATTCAATTGCTCAAATATGATAACCATGTTGCCATTTAGTAAGGCACAGTCAGACTCTGGGGAAAAATAAATTATGAAGTGAAAATAGTTTAAAATTTCCATACTAAAAATAATGTCATTCTCTTTTGTAATGATATAGATATATGCATTCATTAAACATGGCATTTATAAGCACTTTCTAAATTAATTAATATCCCAATGATCATCAATTAGCTGTGAGACCATGATCTTTACTTTTCAGACAGCATTTATCGAGAAAAGAAATCACAACATAGAGTCAACCTGGAGAACACGGCAAAAAGGAGCTGCGCAGAGTTTGGAGGCAGCGCGGGGACATCCTACCTCAGGGCCGTCCCCACCCTCGGTGGGCTCTGGCTCCAGGTCCTCGCTGATGTGTCTACGCGAGCGGAAGCGCCGGTGGGCTGCCTCCTGGTTGATCTGCCTGATGTTACTGTCCGACTCGGAGGACACATCCCTGACAGCGAGGGGAGGAGAGACAGGAGAACAGGTATTGATCACTCGCATTGACAACAGTCCAATGCTCACCAAGGACCCTACACCTACTAAAACATCAGTGCTCTCATGCTAAACACTGGTAGATAGTTGGCCATTAAATATGAGAATTTTTCCACCATATCTTGGCTGAAGTCTAGTTCTAGGTTCATTCCAATCAAATAAATAGTTTTTCAATGCAGTCACAATATTTTGAACATCTGTCAGGCATCAACTGCAAAATGTACTGTAGTAGTTGAGAGAGAAGAGAAGTCAAAGTCCTCCATCCATTTGCTCCAGTGACAATTCAGGCCTCTTGAAGGAGAGGTGACGTGTAGGCTCACACTCGCGGCCAGTCAGTGGTGACCCTTCTAGAAGTCCAGCAATGACAAAGCAGCAACTTTTGGTTATTAACAGTTAACCAAAGAGTATGTGGGGGACCAGAATGTGCTGCCCCAAAATCTCTCTCTTTGGCTTGACTTTTTTTTTTTTTTTAAAAAGATTGGCACCTGAGCTAATCTCTGTTGCCAATCTTTTTTTTTTTTTTCCTCCTCCTTCTTCTCCCCAAAGTCCTCCAGGACAGTTGTATACTCTAGCTGCAGGTCCCTCTGGTTGAGCTATCTGGGCCGCTGGCACAGCATGGCTTGATGAGCAGTGCCATATTCCGTGCCCAGGATCTGAACTGGCGAAACCCAGGGTGTGTTCCACTTCGGCCCCAAGCCTTGACTATTTTTCAGAACAAAGACTCAGAAAGAAAGTTTGACCTTCCCCAGTAACTGGCCTGGAAGAACCTAAGACAGAAGGCCTGTCCCAGGAAGGAGCTATCACCACAGGTATCTCTAGATGTGGTAGACAGGAAGGCACCTAGCAAAGCCCATTTTATCAAAGTTCTCTCTTGGGTCCCCTTGTTTGTAGATGGCCCAGCAAACATCTGTTTACCAAACATTTGCTTTTCCATCTCTGTGTGAATTGCCTTCCTCCCCCTTAAAGTCCCAAACCACTACACCCAACATCCTTCTTTGTCTTTAGCTAAAGATGATATTTAAGCCGGTGACTTTGGCCATTTTGGAGAGTTATTCAGTTTTCCTGGGTTTCTCTCATGTATACGTTATTAAACTTTCTTTGATTTTCTCCTGTCATTCTGTCTCATGTCAATTTAATTCTTAGACCCATCAGAAGAACCCAGAGGGTAAAGGAATAGCTCTTCCTCCTCTACAAGATCAAATAGTACAAACTCAAAGCTAGGATCTGGAGGGGCGCGCTTGTGACCCAACGTGAATTTTTTTCACCTGCTTTGGCTCTCATTTTGACAGAATCTTAGAATCACGATGCTGCATTTTCCCCCATTAAACTACTTTAAAAATTTTACACAAACATCAGGCGGTAACCTCCCAAATCAACTGGGATCTGAAGAACATTCCGACTTCATACTCTATTTTTTGGTCGTATAACTCTCTTAACTCAGGATCTGAAAGCATCCATTCAATCTTGAAAACTTTTGCAGTAAATTATAGGCAATCATCCTTTGGAAGAAATGCCACTCGTAGGCTTTCAGAGTAGGATTGTAAATGACAAAATGTTTTTCAGAAAAAACTCTTATAGACTCTTTCAATAAGACAGTATATTCAGTTAACAAAGATGATGTTGCAAGTTAATATTGGAAATATTTGAAAATACTATTTCAGGCTAATTGAAATACAGTATTAATCAAGGGGCCTGATCATAGATTCTTCCTGAAACATAGGTTTTAAAATCTTCTAATATAGCCTTCAAACTAACTTATACTATAACTCAATAAACAGCCCGCTGGGCTCTGCAATAGTAAATAGTTTGCAATTAGCAGCACTGTTTGCAAATAAATAGGTGTCTCCTTAATGCCAGTTTCCGAGATAGTTGAAATATTTCCATCAAAAATCTTTACATTACTCACTTTACTGCTAAAGGGAGTAGTATGACGGTTGGCTTCCACTTAACCCACAGTAAAAGGACAGTTCCTTATTATTAAACTCTTTATTAATGAAGTTTCACTGTAGCTACACACCCAATGAACAAACTTTTGAATTCTAACAGAAACATACATTCTGCATATTTTATAGTTACATTAAACTATAACAAGGCTAAAAGAGGTACCTTTAGAAAAACTGACATATTATGGCCACAGAAAAAAATCATTAAAATCAAGGAACAAACAAGTATACTGATAAAATTTCTGAAACCAACAAAATAGAATAAAAATGACACTGTTGGATGTTAGAAAATGTAATATTGTCTTTATGATTTTATGTTGCTGCAGTCACTTTATGATGCTCAATTCTTAAGCACACATTGATTATAAAAAAGCAATTGAAAACAAACTTACAAGGAAAATGATCAGAATACCTTCATGAAATATGTAAAATATTCCAGTAGTGTCTAAGAAGGCAAATGAAGCTTTAATCCACCCTCTTTCCCTTTTTCTTAAGGATGCAAGCAATTTCACTTTATAATGACTGGCTTTACTTAAAAATATCTTACATCTGAGAGTTTCAACAAAATTTTAAATCTTCACTTGAAATGTCAGTCAAGAACAAGTGACTAACGTTTGGGGCTGACTATGTGTCAGGCCCTAACACATATTTCGATTGTTACAGGGACTTGCGAGAGGTTGAGAAAGATTTTGGTATTACTATGTCTGCATCTTGTATCTCTCAGAAGTACATACAATTCCATCATTCTGGAAGGACTGATTTTAAAAAAAGAGGCATTTAAAATCAATTATGCCAATCTTCCTTATCCAACATGCTCAAATAATCAGTAAACAGCGCAAACTAGAAACAACTAAATGGCATAAAGCAGCAAGATACCTCTGATTTTCAAATTCCAACCAGGGGCTTTTATGGTCTTTAGTGATAAAATGAAAATGTTCACATGAGGGAGGCCTTTTGCATTTAATTAAGCAATCGAATGAGAGTGTTGTTGAAACTGACTAGAAGTTTAAATGGTCACTAGTGGGAAGATGAACATTTGAAAATATTTGAGCTAACAAATTAAAACAGAAAAATGGGGGCTAGCCCGGTGGTGTAGTGGTTGGATTCACATGCTCTGCTTTGGTGGCCCAGGGTTTGCGGTTTGGATCCTGGGCACAGACGTACACACTGCTCATCAAGTCATGCTGTGGCAGCATCCCACAGAGAAGAACCAGAAGGACTTACAACTAGGATATACAACTACTTCCTGGGGCTTTGGGGAGGAAAAAAAGGAAGATTGGCAACAGCTGTTAGCCCAGGGCCAATCTTCCTCACCAAAAAACAAAAAAACAACAAAAAGACACAACGAGGAATTGCAAAGAAATGCTATCTTTTTTAAAAAACAGAAAAACGATTTTATTGCAGGCAAGGAAAAAATTGGAGAAATGGCTATTTTAACTTTCTTCAGTCATTAATTTCACACATACATATATTTCATTTGACTGTCATGGGAAATATACAAACAAATAAAGAAAAACCATAAATTCATCAAATCCAGTGCCAACTAAGCTCAGTGTGTCAGATTATTTACACTCACATACATTAGCAACCCTAATGATGACCTGAGTTATCTAGGTAAGATTAAATTGTTGCTAAAATCGGAGAAGATCTAAAAAGTGTTTTAGAAAGAGAGGTAATAAAAAGGGTTAAAATAAGTGAGTTTAACAAGTTCATCTTCATTTACAGTCTTAATACAATTCCTTCACCATGTTTTAAAAATTGTAGTTTTTACAATAGAAACTTTAGTTTACATTAAAATAGGATAAAGACAAATCTAAAATTAAGGTGTTTTACCAACAACCCAATCAAAAAACGGGCAGAGGAGATAGACATTTTTCCAAAGAAGATATACAGATGGCCGATAAACACATGAAAAGATGTTCAACATCACTAATCATCAGAGAAACGCAAAGCAAAACTACACTAAGATACCACCTTACGCCTGTTAAAATGGCTATGATCTCTAAGACTAAAAAGAACAAATGTTGGAGAGGGTGTGGAGAGAAGGGAACCCTCATACACTGCTGGTGGGAATGCAAACTGGTGCAGCCTCTATGGAAAACAGTATGGAGACTCCTCAAAAAGCCAAAAATAGAACTACCATATGACCCAGCCATCCCACTACTGGGCATCTGCCCAAACAATGTGAAATCAACAATCCAAAGTAACATATGCACCCCTACATTCATTGCAGCACTATTCACAATAGCCAAGACATGGAAACAATCCAAGTGCCCGTCACCCAATGACTGGATAAAGAAGATATAGTGTGTGTATACACATACACACACACACACACAATGGAATGCTACTCAGCCAGAAAAAGAAGACAAATTCATCCCATTTGCAATAACATGGAAGGACCTAGAGGGAATTATGCTAAGCGAAATAAGCCAGTCTGAGAAAGACAAACACCAGATGATTTCACTCATATGTGGAATAAACAAATACATGGACAAAGAAAACAGTTCAGTGGTTACCAGAGGAAGGGGGAAGGGGTGGGCACAGGGGGTGAAAGGGAGCAGTTATGTGGCGACAGTCAAGAAATAATGTACAACTGAAATCCCACATTGATGCAAACTATTACGAACTCAATAAAAAAAAATAAATCAAATAAAATCAAGGTGTTCTAAAAGCTATTCCTCAGACTTGAGAGGGCTGATGCATCTTCAATGGTGACTTTCACAAGTTCTAAAGCTCTGCATCCAGGCCTATGTCTGGCCTTGACAGTCCACTAAACCATGTGCCTATAACCATTTTCAGAAGTGATTCATCTGCAATCACTCAGTTAAAAGGCATTTTGCTGAGCTCCTACCAGGCACTAGGGGTAGATCTGTGAATAAGAAGGCACAGTTCCTGCTCAAAGAGGCAACTAGAATATCGTGTGCTCTATGCCATGACGAGAGAGGTACACACTTTTCAGGGAGACCTGGACAGAAGAAGTGCGGTTCCCCAGAGGAAGGTAGACTAGGCTGAGACCCAAAGGCAGCCAGGGGTGGTGGTACATTCTAGTTTTGTTTTGGGGGCTGGAGGGGTCTAGTCAACAAAGGAGAGAAGATAATCAGAGAGCAGCTGTGCATGGTCAGTCACGGATCGCACTATACATTTTTGAGTGGGCGACAAATCCGGGAGGGAGACAAGGTTGAGAAGGACCTTGTAGGAAAAGCCTGAGGGCAAGCCAATGTCAACGAAGATTTTTCAGGGCGTTGAAGTCTGGGGCACAAGTCTGTAGTAACTTGGGTAAGAAATGCGAGTCACCAGGAGAGTCGTATTTCTTCGCTTAGCCCATTGTAATCATTTCACTATCTGATTTCCTCAGATACAGCCTTTTAATAAAGACACTTATTATCAACTGTCCACCAAAGAATGCTGCAGTATTCTGTGAAAACTGAATTATGAAAAAAATTATTCTTGAATTAAAACAATTCTTTAAAATAGTTCTGGAAGGCTGGAAGACTTCTGCCCAGCCAAATAAAGTTAAGGATAAAGAACCACAAATTCTCAAACAGTACAGATAGGTTGAAGAGGTTACTGGGGAAACAACTCTTTTTCCTTTCCTAGTTTTTCTCTTGCTTTCTAGAAGTCACACCCACTGGAAAGGAGGCACTCCTTGAGTTCCACCCAGAGCTCTGCTGACATCCTTCCTGGCTGACCACTTCACTGATGGGGATAGTCATGCCATTGATTTCTCCCTAAACTACATGTGAACTTGAACTTGGATTAAAAACCGCATTTTTCCTATGTTGCTTCTGGACCACTGATGAGCCAGCATTGCATAAGTTATATCTTTTGCTTTTGGTTACTTCTTTGGGACACTGCCACCAAAGGTGGTAGGTGTAAAAAAACATATGATGTATTTTCTCAGGAATTCCCTCATTAGTTTCACAACTCTGTGAGGTAGAGAAAGTAGCAATTATCCCCTTATATGGATCTATCCCCTCAAAAGAGACTTCAATCTGCATGATAATTATTAATGAAGATGAACAATTTTTCATATATGTTTCGGCCATCAGTATTTCTTTCTTTGTGGGCTGCCAGCAGTCACGTTTCTACAGAGGTCACATGACACTCTGGTCCCGAGAGAGTGCTATGTTATCAGGTACTCCTTTCTTAGGATGTGTAACATAAGGCAGGTAATGGGTGCTTTTTAGGGTATTGCTACCAAGATTCTGATCACCACATGTAACCAAGTCCAAGGTGGGTCCCAATTTTTTTTTTTTTTACTACAAATAACTAGAGTAGTTAAAATGGCTTACAATAGTTTTAACAGCTATGGTCATTCATCAAAAGGAAACAGTAAAAAACAAATTAATTAAAAGAATCAACTAAGCCATTTCCTTTCCTATTTCCATGGGAAAAAAAAATTACAACAAAGAAGAGTTCAACATCATCAGCATGTTTGGATATTCATGCTGTCCTGGGAACAATGGGCTGCTGTCCACACTGGGCAGTACAAAGCTGAGCAAGGACAGCTGATATTCATGAGAACCCAGTTGGGGACTTAGGAAGGATTGGCTATTCATTGTTGTAGATTCTGCAAGCTTTCTCTAAATCAAACAAAACCTAGCCCACCTTCCCTACCCAGAGACACATGCAGAATATCTTTGCAATTTCTAAAGATAAAAGGGCTACTGACAACACCATGCATCACACTGCTAGTATCACTCGTTTAAAAACCATCATTAGCAAATTTCTTTCAGAGTCTATAAAAGAGAAAATTATCTCATCTAATATATTTGCTTTCATTCCATATTGAAAATTACACAATTCATTGATAGTTACCTCCTTGTCTTGGCTGCTAGGGAGCCCATGATTTCTAGAATAATTTTTCCTTTTCCATGTTTCAATACTTTGTTTCTGCCTTTTCTTTCATATTAATAATTTTAGGTCTTGCTGTATACTATGATTTAAAAACAAGCTGCTTTGAATCTTCTTTTTGCAGTGGGTGAGATTTAACTAGTGTTTATTTGCTATCATCAAACCAAAAACTGCCGAGTGAACAAAACAGCCATCAATTCACTGCAGCCCTGAGGCTGGTGTGAGATTAGAATGAACAGTGATTAGTGAGTGTGCAATGCTCTCATGTGTTTCTAATTATATCAAGGGGTGCTATATAAATTTTCCAAAAAGGAAAAAAAACGTTTTTGAGAGAGCTTCCAAGTTAAATGATTAAAGGGAATAAAAAAAGTCCTTTTTTAAAATTAAACTTAAAGAAGACCTGAAGAGAAAATTGCACAGCCAATTTGTTTGCTGTTTTTCATTCTAGGTTAGTCAGGGGAGGAAGATGAAGAAAGGGGAAGTATTATAACCACCATACATAAGACAAATCTAGGAAAAATAACCTCTGCTTTCTACTCCATGAATTTATGTAAACAATATATACAAAATAAGTTAGTTCATATTTATAAGAACAGAACGTGATACAAAGACCAGAGCTGCGTTATAACACGCAAACTCCAATGGGCTCCCATGCTCTTTAACTAACTGAAGAAGAATCCTGTTGTACTACACAACCACACGCTTTTATTGATATAAGATGTATTTCTTAATCTTGCCCCAAAGAGCTGCCCCGTTGAGACCTAACCGCAGAGTGCGAGGATGTGTCCCGGGCCATCGCATGGTACTCACATTAAGCTCGGTCGGTGCCACTGAGTGGTCCGGTTGTTGTGGTTGACGTAGTAAGTTCGGCCTAAATTGTCCACTTTTTCTTCCCACCCGGGGGGCAGAGGAGGGGGAGGAAGCTCCTCCTGGTGCTGAGATGCTGAGTCATTGGAGTCAACAACTTCCCACCCATGCTGTGGAATAAAGTCAAATGGCAGAGCATGAGGTTGGCTCTTCAGATGTACGGAAAGGACAAGTGCAGTGTGGTCTGTGTCCTTCTTCCTGGCTCCTTTGCACTTGGCTCTTGCAGTGGTTTCATGTAGCACGTTTGAAGAAATTCCCCAAAAAGGACAAAAAAAACAGTTCTAGAAGAGTCTCAAAAATATTTTGAGCAAAGGCCAATTAATTGTGCTGCCTACTATGATGACTGCATTGTAGGGAGCAACACAGGTTTGGACATATACAGTCTGTTACGTTACTTAAGTCACATTATATACTCTTTTCGTATTTCGTATTTGTTATTTTGACCTGAAGCCTTCTAGAGCTGTACAAAGCCATGCCCATGACATGGGTCATGTCACAGCTGCTGTCTTTTCAACACCTCCATAAGGTAAAAGGGAGCTGGTAAGATGAGCCGTACTGGATGTATGTTCCAACAGAAATCTCAGCATGGGTGACCAGGAGGCCCAGGGCTTTATAGCTCCCCACCAAGGATGGCACCACGGCTCGCTGTGGAGGGAGAGCTCCCACTCTGCATCTAGTACCATCACGGGAGCCAGAAGTCTGGAAGCTACTGCTTTCCACTTAAGCGCTCCCCACTGGCTGCCGCCACATAAACAGGCTTCATGGTACCAGAGTGAGAGTTACATTTTTGCAACACATATTTTAGGCATTAAGTATTCCTTCCTAACATCCCCTAGTAAAGTCACTGGAAAATCAAGTAATTCACTGGTTACTGCAGTTGGAAGGCTAGAAGAGTGTAAAAAATTCCTTGGATTTGAGATAAAAATCTCTTGATGTGCTTATGAAATCTTAACATTCATAACTGCCTACCACCCACTTGACTCCTCCTCACATATACAGAGAGATAAAAGCTCACAAACGAAATACTGCCCGGAAATATGACCTCCCGGTCTGAGAGGTGTGGTTAACTTGCCCATAACATATTATTCATGTATCACGTATATGCAACAGCTGCAAACAGATGTGCAAATAAGCCATAGAGAGGCCTTGTTTAATGGACATTTTCAGAACAATAGGAGAATTTGTCTAACAAAAAAGCACTGTCTGAAGTGTGTGCTGAGAAGGTACAACAGGATCCATGGTACAGGTATGTGACTAGAAAGTCAAAAGGCAGCTATGCCATGAGGAAAAACAAGAAGATTCCTCTGGACAGCTAATTCCAAAACGGCATTTCTAGAAGAGAGCTTCCTCATGCATGCTATCGCCTGTGGGCCAAATGAGCAAGAAACTTGGAAAAGCTTTTCTAAATCGTTTTATCCACTTTGAAGCAATTCCAAATGCTAAGAGGAATTTACAAAGAGCTGGAAGTCCAAAGAAATAAGAGAATTAAATATGCGAGGAGAATTTCACACAGGGGTTGGTGCTATCAATTAAATAGGGGAATAGCATTTTATAAAGAGAACTCTCTTCAATTGTTGGTGTTGTGCTATAAAATGAAGTCCATGTTTTGTACTAAAACAAACATTGGTAGATTATCAAAGACAGATTCGTGGACACACAAGTTTTTTCATATTTAAGCTTCACAAACATTTCCTTAAATTATAAAGTCTTAAGGTAAAATATTAATATGATCTCAGGCAGGGAAAACAGACCAAGGCCTGGGGTCTTACCTCCATGTCATCCCTCTGCTCACTGTTTTCTTCATCCTGACCTCCATTTTTCGGCATGTAGGCCATTTTCAATCGCAAAAATCCCTTAACTCGAGATTTATGACTGCATAATGTAAGAAAATTGGTTATAAAGGATATGACCGGGTTATATCTTATATTATTTATGATGATTTTTTAAAAAGCTGAAATAGGAAAAGAAGTTGAAATCTTCCTCAGAGAAAACCAGTATCCAAAGCATAAAGGACACCTGTACCCCAACGCCTTACCTTCTTGGTCTGAGGAGAAAATCCTTAAATGTATAGGGCCGCTCCATGGTCGGATCTTCTGTCTATAGGAAGAAAACCTAATTAAGTTTCAATCTTCCTGAAAGTTTCGTATTTTAAATACACCAGACTGGATTACAGAGAATACGGTTTCATGTTTTACAATGTGGGAATGCTGACAATGGAGTTGGTTCCACAACCAGTACTTGACAATTAATTAAACATTTTGTAGGTCACAGAACTTTATCTACTCAAGATCCACTAGATGTCACTATCAACATCCGTTTTCAGGAGCCAAGCCCAGCCTTAAACAATGACAAAATTATAGTCGTCATGGCCAAGTGTAATTTCTAACTGCAGGGTGTAGGCCTCAATCTCACACTGCTGATTAAGGCTGGAGAAACAGAGGCCACTGATTCCTTCTTGTCCTATGACTCAAGAAACCTAAAAATGGAACTAACAGGAAAATATTCAAGATCTAATCTGCGAAGGCAATTTACTTTATTTATAACATTAAAATATCATGTCGGCCTAAGATAATTGAAAGATTATCTCCTCCACAGAGATAGTCCTAGGAGGCACCATCAATGGGGCTTTTGCTGGTGCTTATTTCATGAAGCTAGGGATCTAACTGTGATATTTATTCATTTAAAAAGAAATCAGTATTAATTTTATTCTGCAAAACCAGTTCAAAGCAAGCAGGAAATTGGAAAAATAAATGTTACTATTTCATTAATTTTTAAACACTATATTTGGTAAAAGTTCAAATACCTAAACTCTAATTAAACACAATTTAAAATATTTTTTTAGCAAGAGAGACAAACTACAGTACCACAATTTATTATCAGATGGGAGGAGTGTGTGTATATGCATTTATATTTGAAATTATCTGTCATTCCTTGCTTTAAACTCTCAATGGCTTCCTATTCTGCTTATAATAAACTGAAAATTCTTTCCTATGACTTACAAAGTCAAATATGATCTGGCTCCTAACCACCTTTAACCTCACTGTGAACCAGTCTCTCCGTCCACCCCTTACTCCAACCGTCCTGGCCTCACCTCTCCTCTGCACATATGACATCTAATCCTGCCTTAGCAGGTCCTTCTGCTGGACAGCTCTGTCTCCAGATGGCCACGGCTGTCTCCACATTGTCATCCAGGTCTGAGATCCCAGGTCACATCCTCAGAGACTGCATCTTAAAGCACCACCATTACCTCCCCTTGTCACCCTCTATCACAGCATCCTGATGTATCTTCCCCCTTTTCATTGTCTGAAATCATCTTTTTCATTTATTTATTTACTAATTTATCATCCATCACTTTTTTTTTTTTGGAGGAAGATTAGCCCTGAGCTAACTTCTACCACCAATCTTCTTTTTGCTGAGAAAGAGTGGCCCTGAGCTAACATCCATGCCCATCTTCCTCTACTTTACATGTGGGACACCTGCCACAGCATGGCTTGACAAGCGGTGCGTAGGTCCGCACCCGGGATCCGAACCGACAAACTCCAGGCCGCCAAAGCAGAACACACAAACCTAACTGCTGGTGCCACTGAGCTGGCCCCCCAGCCATCACTTCTACAATGTAGGCTCACGAGATCAGGGACTTGGATTTGCTCACTATTGTATTCTTGGGCCAAGAACATAGCCTGACACAAAGTAGGCACTTGTACAAGTAGTTGTACAAGTAATTCATCTCACCTACAGGAAATTATCAAGGCCATGAAAATTCACCATCACTGAAGAAAGCCAGTTATGGGCACACCTCATTTTACTGTGCTTCACAAGTATCGAGTTTTCTACACGACCCTCCACCAGCAAAAAGATTGCAACTCCCTGATGGCTCAGATGATGGTTAGCATTTCTTTTAGCAATAAAGTATTTTTTAATTAAGGTATGTACATTTTTTTCTTTAGACATAATGCTATTGCACACTTAATAGACTACAGTATAGTGTAAACACAATTTTTATATGCACTGGGAAACCAAAAGTCATATGACTTGATTTATTGCGATATTTGCTTTATTGTGGTGCTCTGGAACCAAACCTGCAATATCTCAGAGGTATGCTTGTATATTCTCTAGACTGTTCTCACTAAGGTAGTAAAGGACACTTAGATATTTTGGAAATATTTTCTAAAAAAAAAAAGTTTCCAAATATACATCACTTATAATGGAAAATTTATTAATCAAGTATACTAGTGCTGGTATTTTGTCCTTTTTTCATTTGTTCAACCAACAAATAATTTTAGAATGATACTCATGTGAAAGACATGTGGGTACAACATGGTACCTTCCCTCAGGGTTACAACCATGTAGAAGGGGCCATCATACCAACAAATGACCAGAATCTAAAGCAGAACAAATCCACTGATACGCAGGTTACATTCTGTGAGACCTGGGGAGGAGGGAAGAGACTGATTTTGACTTGAGGATCAAATGGTTTTCAGATGTGTAGTCAGATCTGGAAGAATGGGGAAGTTCTGATAGGTGGGGAATTGGGAGGAAGGGCAGTTCAAGCTGAGGAAATCAACAGCTTGAGCAAAGCTACAGGATCATTAGCAGGCCTGAGGAGTCTGGGAGCAGCAGAGAGCACCTGAGCACCTGCGAGTGAACAGACGACACCAGAGCTGAGAGGGACTCTGAAAATGAAACTGTCCATCCACTACACAGTTCAAATGATCAACACCACACAGATCAAGAGGCAGATCTCCTCGGTCTGTGTCCTGAGTTTGTTACTTACAGAGCCACATGGGCAAAGGCAAGTTCCTGCCCTCTCTGTTCCTCATGTCCTGATCTACAAAATGGAGCAGTAACAGCGTCTTACACACAGGATCGTGACGATTGAACCAACCACTTCAGCTGGTGTACACAAAGTCCTCACAAGAGTGCCTGGGACAGCTGAACAACGACCAGAAGCAGCAACAGCCAATTCTACATTTTCTCATCACTTGTGAGTAGTGCCAACTCAATGCTATGCAGGGCATTACAAAATGAAAATTCACCTGCACGAAAATTCTCTCAACAAGATGGTGATCTTATAGATAACTATAGGGTTCTCCTGGCATTACTGAGGTTCCAATTTGATCATATTCTCTGAAGAAAAGTCCTTGGAGACTGCCAGGATGGCACTGAGCATGTTCCTGGCAGAAAGCCACCTCAAACAGATTGATGCTAACAGTATTATTGGCCAAAATGGATGCTGCTGTCTCCCGACCCACGGCATGAGCATTCAAAAGAAAATCTTTTGGATACACAGTGCTTTCATCTTATAAAGATTCACTGCTTTCAGTAAAACTGAAATCACAATGACATATAGTGAGATAAATAGTTTTTGCAGCCAAATGGAAGAGAATGGCCTTATCAGGACACTAGACTCAAGCTGGATGCAACCACCAAAAGCACCCCAAGCCTTAGGCTAAAGGCCCACCTACCCCAGGCCTTGACCACATCACACATCAGTACTGGGGACCCAAGGTCTGGGTCCAGCACTGCCACCAATCTGCTGAACAATGGTCAAGTCACCTCTCTCTCTAGGCCCAGGTGTCCTCATCTGTAAAATACAGGGAGTGGATAAATGGTCTCTAAAGTTCCTCTAAGCTCTGTGATACTGAAATCTGTACATGCGAGAGGGAACCATTACCAGGTTATCAGCCAAAAATATAAGAGGGGTCTTTATTATCTGAGTTACCTTCAAGCAGAGGGAAGCCACCAAACAATACCACCAGCCTGGAAATGCCTTGCTCTAGGAACACAGATTCTCAAGTTACCCACAGTTGCCTTCAGTAGCACTTAACTAACACAGAAGAAATTCATGTTTTCAAAATAGCTCTCTACCTCAGTGCATCCCCATGAATGCAGAGGTTTTGTAGCTGGGCAGGGGTGAGTGTGCTGGGGGTTCAGTGGGCAGGAGACACGCACCTAACAAAGGAAGAGGGGTAACAGGCAAACACCCATCCGAAATGTCATCCTGTTGTTAACACAAGTCTTGGAGTTATTTTTGTCCCCAAATAATTAGTAAAGACAAGCCATAAAATACTGCATGAACTTTTAGGCAATGACGCACTGAATTTAACAAACACATGTAAACATGACAGTTTAACAAAAAATCAACACCTATAGTAGTTACAGCTGAGTTTACTCTTGGTGCGCCAACATAAAAGAAAAAAGAAGAGCTGTTTCAGCTGTAGCACAGATGTCAGGCTGGCAGGGCAACCACCACCTTTCTAAATGATAGCTGTCTCCTCCACATGCCCCCAGCGCATCATGCTGCCCACATCTCCCAGGTAACATGTATGTCACCAGGGCCGGTGGTGCCTCTGCTCAGTCAAAGCACTAGGATGCTGATTCACAGAGCTGGATGGAAACTCAGTATCATCTATGTGAAGCTGTTTGTCTTACAGGTGAGAAAACACAGGTCCAGAGAGGATTACTAACTTATTAAGGTTACCAAAGCAACTCGCCCATCTCCCAGATCGCAGCCAACAATTCCAGAGAGATCTTTGAAAGCCTGACCTTTAGAGACTTCCGTGAATATAAATATATGTTTTCTTAATTCTTGGACCTGCATAAAGGGTCAGACCACTAACCTTACTCTCCCCTATTCTCTCTTCTTTGACTCATGCCTACTCTCAAAAATAAAAAAAACAAAAGAAACATTAAGCTGAGTGGCAAATTTAGAACAGAAGCAAAGGAAACAGGAGCTTCTACCATTCCAGACTCCTTGTGTCCTATTTTCTATCCTGTCTTTCCCCCCCCACAAAACTGGGAGGACTGAGTCTGAGGGCCAAGAATGAAAGTGAATCACAATTTTAAGCTTATTTTCTTTCATCTGGAAGCATTTGATAAGTATAAAGCACTGAGGAATCCACGATCAAAGGGGGTAAAAGAAGTTTGTTTTCTTTCTCCTTGTCACTCTTTACTCTTTCCTGTTTAGGGGACAAGGACAGAGCTGACACTGGCCTCCTCTGGTCCACTGTGGTGGACAATCAAGGTAGTGACTCTAACATGCAGAGTGCGCCCCAGCTTCACACAACCCTCCCTGCCCCATCCCTCTGCTCCCGGCGGCCTCCTTTGCTTGTCTCCCTGGCGGAGCTCCCACTTGGACTTTCACACAAGACCCAGCAGGGCATGTAATTAATCCAGGGACCCAACATCAGGCAGTGGGCCGAGGAGGACCCGTGTGTGCCAGGTTGAGATGCCGCAGCGGCTGTAACTTTGCAGTGTGCATCCACAGAAGGGTCTGCTCCTAAGCCAGTCCACCAAGACGGAGGGTCACTCTGACCGCCTAGTCTTCCTGGTAGGCTTCCCAGGGTCAGGGAATTTATAGCTGCAAATAAGGACAGCTTAGGAGAGCCATTCCTAAGAATTTAAAAGCAAGGTTTTACATTGCGAACACCAATATCCACTGGCAAGTGCACCAACAGGCCTCTAGAATTTCAGCAAGGGAAGAAGGTTCTTCAACAAACATCAATTACCAGGTCTAAAATATTTCTTTTGCAAAAACACACATGCAAAAAAACCCATAAAATAGGATAAATTATTAAAAATAATTTCCTAACAACCATGAGAGATTGGCAGTGTTTAGTTCTGCTGTCTGGAATCTTCTCCACTAAGCTCCTGATACAGAAATGAACTTCACTGAAATGTTGGCAACTCCTTAGAACAGCATCAAGGCAGGGACGATCCTTTTTTAAAGGAATAAAGGTTCATGGTATCTTGGGGCAAAAAGATAAAGCTTCATTCCTGGCTTAAAATGTCTCATAAAAATAAGTGCATGTAATATGTCAACATAGAGGCACAGCAATTAGGAATTTTGCTAACAGAGATTTAAAAAATAATAATAAATTACTTCTATCTTAATTTCTGTGAGTCAAAATTTCTGAACCTTTTCTTATTACTTAAATTACACATTCTTGGTATATTAGACACATAGAACTAGAGAGAACAGCCTCAGGTAGGGAAAAACAGTTGAATGAAAAATCACCAAGAAAAACTGGTGGGTTTGGGAACCCCTCCCCTGGCAGTTCCCTCCAATGGCCACAATTATTATCCGAGGAAAAGAGCATCCAGAATCATGCATTTTTAAATCTAAGCCAGGGAACTCACATGTACCATTCAATATGATGCCATTTGCCACATGCGGCCTTTTAAATTTAAATTTTATTAAAATAAAATTATAAATTCAGTTCCTTGGTCACATAAGCCACATTTCAAACGCTCAACTAGCACACGTGGCGACTGTGACAGGCGGCACTGCTAAGCCACATGAAGGAGGAACTTGCTTCCCTGGTTTTACCACAGAGATTAGAATCCTTCTTATCAGCAAATATCTGTTGAAGGAATAAATTCTCTATCAGTGAATGGGGCTGCATAAAATTAAGTAATAATCAAACACCCAATCAGATCCCTTAAACCTTGAAAAGCTTTGGGGAGGTTGGCAATGGCAACAGTATTTACCATAGTACTGCTCTCCATTATCTTCTCTCATTACTGAGACTATCTTTCTAATTTACCTAAAATTTGATTTTGACAAATATTGAACCTACAGGTCATATATAACCTGCTGTGACAACGGTCATGTAGTCATCAAGAAAAGAGCGTCCATTACTTACTCCACAAAATACATGCAAATGCTAACATCCATTTTACACAACCACACTGTGTTATCACACAAAATATAATGGCATTGTGGGATTTTCTCACGAGTGTCCTACACATATGACCAAATAAACAGTCATGCACCTCATAATGACATTTTGGTCAATGATGGACTGCATACACGATGGTGGTCCCATAAGATTAGTACTCTATGGCGTAGGTGTGTAGTAGGCTATACACAGGTTTGTGTAAGTACACTCTACAATGTTTGAACAATGACAAAATTGCTGAACAACACGTTTCTCAGAACATATCCCTGTTGTTGAGTGATATGTGACTGTACACATGAAAGCACCTCAAATGCTGGGCCCAAAGGCCCCATCCATTCAGAACATGCTAGTTGGGTTCCACCACCACTTAGAGGATAAAGAATGCACCTTCATCCCTCTCCTTTTTCTTCCTTTGTGGTCCATCTGCCAGACTGTAGTTGGCTCCACAAAGCTAGTCAATTTTACGTACTCCAATGTAAACTAATCTTTAGGCAGATGCGAAACTGGGAGGTCCCATTACTCAACTGGCTCAACTCATGAAAAGTACTCAGTCCTCCCTGGCATTCACTGTTCCACTCTCTTTAAGCGGCTGGTTTCTAATCTAGCCCTGAGCCTTGGCACCACTTCCTTCTTTGCAAGTTCACTCTTGTCTCTATCCAAATCCAAAGGTGAACTATTCCCTCTACTGACTTCGTCTCTGAAGAGGAACATTCTTCTCTTCTCTTGGAGTCCCACCCAACCTCTCAAAACCAATCTGCACTCAATCACTCAAACAAGGGATTGCTGGACCAAGCTGTTTAAACATTTCACTCACACCTCTTAGAGAATATTAGTTCATAATTTGCCTTGACTGAAATGCGGTTTTTATGTTAGTTCTGGAGAAGAGTGGTTGGGGACACCCACCAAGGAATTGGCCAACCAACCAACATTGTCTAAACGCGTGAGGACGTTACAGCTTCAACCTGAGGAGCAAAACGGAAGGCCTACTGATGTAGAAATAAGTGAGGAGTCTTCCCCTGCTAAGGTTGAGATACCCAGATCCTCTCAATGTCACTTTAAAAGAATAATCAGGTTTCTGATAGCTTATAGAAGTAGTCTCATGCACCCTCTGCAAGCAACCTACAGCTTCAGGTTTTCATATAGAAACAAAGATACTTTAATAATATCACTTTTGCTTCCAATCTTTTGGAAGGGAAATGCACTTGAAATCTTCCTTTCTCAAGAGCTCCCATGAGTAAATAAGAATAAATTGCTTGCTATCACATTCCTTCACAACATATCTTCAAAGTCTCCCGGGTAAGACACAGTCTTTCTTGGTATTTAACATACGGTAACAGCCAAACTTTCAATGCAGTGGTAGGCTTACACTAGGTGGTTTAAGTCATTTTAGTTCAGACTACTTATGCTATTTGCTCACACAAAGCATAAAAAAATATGTAACAAAATGCCCTTGGAAGGCAGTATCTCTGACTTCTTCTCTCTTAGGTGCTATTGAAGCCACTTTATGCTGCCCAGGGGAAGAAGGGCCTGGAGGAGGGATGGAACAATCTGGAAAACCCAAGGTGGAATATGAGATGATATAATTTTCACCAAGTACTCCAGGTCTTGTCCCCACATTCTTCTATCTATATTGCCCTGGAGCATGCAGGTGACATTTCTAACCTCAGTTACTAGTCAGCAGCCTCAACTGTTCTGCTTCTCATCTGAGCACAGAGAAATGATAGCAACACCCCACATGCTAGCTCAGTACAATTTTGGAAGGCAGCGTGGGCGTTTCCAGTTGACAGGTTCACTCAGAACCAACAGTATCTTTTCTTTTGTCTCTGTGCTGACTGAGAAAGCCATACACCCAAACCTGGGCAACACCAACTTGGATAGATGCAGCCCAAGAGAAATAGCACATGTGATTCTAGACAAAGGAAACCAATGTTTGTTTAGACCCAAAGGATGAATCTGTAAGGAAAGACATTCCATTGACAAGAAGGAGAGGTTTGACAGAAGAAAGGTAGCTGTTTTGTATGACGTGACAAAGCAAGACTAGCAGAAGAGCAGGAGAGAAAGGAGCTGGCAATGCTGACAGGCATACCTGGGTGATTCAGATACACCTGATTTTTACAATTACGGTATCTCCTTCCTATCCCCTTGAAAGAACCACTTTCTAGAAAGGAACAGGGCCAGACTATACTGTCTTTATTTTAGCCTTCTCCATTATATTGAGAAAATATCGCTCCGAAAATATACCTAACTGCAAACAATCAGAAACCATTGCTCACAGCACGCAAATAAAGCAGGTAACCATCCTTACCGGGAGATGGCTAAGGGGCACGTCCACCTGGCCCAGGAAGTCGTCTCGCGTCTGTTGAGGAGAGAGCAAAGAGTTAATATGTTTCCATCTATTACTGAGTGTCAGCATTCTTAAAAATGTTTCTTTACAGATGGAGACAAGGCTGGAGCCTGACACTGGAGCGCAGTGGGGCTAGGCCCAAGGCAGAAGGCCCAGATGAGGTACAGACACCTGTCACCTCGGAGACAGGTGAGCCCAAGGTCTCATACATCTGGATCTTTAGCTGCTTGAGATACTGTTGGGTGTTTCTACCCAACAGAGCAGAAACAAATCCTATCTTGGGCCTGGGGAGTCTGTGATCAGTAACGGGAGGGACACGGGGGACCAGGGAGAGTTTGGGGGCACAACTAGTCCAGTTTAAATAGAAGGTGGAAAAGAGATGCTGGGAATACTTTAACCAATACTGATCAAGTGCTTACAGAGCTCCCCGAGACCTGAGAGTCTAGGGAAAGAGTATAGAGTCTAGTTATTAATAAATCTTATAAGTTACTTACAAAAAAAATGGCCTCAAACTTTCAATGTAGTATGTACACTGCTTCAGAATCCAAGTTCATGGGTTAATTACTGGTTAATTTTTGGACACGTGCTTCCTCTCTCAATCTACCACACAGCATATATCTTTCTGACTTAAAGAGACTCATTCTGAAATTCTGCTAACAGCTATGAATGGTGGTAACATCTAACAGCTATGGTGGTAATCATCTCGCAATATATAGGTGTATCAAATCAACACATCGCACACCTTAAACTTACACAACATTATATGAGAATTATATCTCAATAAAGCGCGGGGGAGGGGAGGTTTGGGGGAAGTTGGCTCTGAGACAGAAAAAATAAATAAAAAAAAAAAATAAGAGAGACCTAGTTGAAATTCATTTGGAAAAGCTCACAAGTCCCCTTTCAGACTCTGGGAGTTACCCGGGTAGTCATAACTCAGGTTCAGGGGCCACTGGCCTGGACCACAGGGCATCCGACAAGTCATGTCTACACTGTGTCCTGCTGTTAGAGTGTTTGTATCACAGCCTCTGCCATTTAGATGACCTGAGGCGCAAATCGGAACAGGACGACTTCTTTTGCCCTCCTAAAAAAACATGCAGTTGCTTCTACCATATTCAAAATGCCTAAAAGCTGGAAAGCTGTTTAGCTGTAATCAGACTTGTCCCACAGCTAGCTTGAGGAAAAGCCCACAAGACAATCCAGATCGCCTGACTCCAAATACTGGGCTCTTATCTTCACTCTTTGCTGGTTTATCACAAAATTTCCCAATTTATAGAAACTGCTCTTTAAATGTGCTTGAAAAATTTCTTGCATTTAAAAAGCAGCAGCAGGTAAATATCAACGAGATTTATTGAAATGATTTGCTCCAGGCTTAGGATTTCCTTTTAGGCAATTTCAAAAATTTGATTACCTAGAAAGCTCTGTCTCCTCTAAACGATGCATGAAGGATAATGAAAATCAAAGTCACCACTGGTCGGGGGGTGCACAAAGCAACAGACCAGCCCCAGGCCTCATGACAAGGTTCTCCTTTCTTCTATTTTCTCAGCTGTATCTGCTGCAACCTGCCACAGAGACCTCTCATGTAGCACAAGGCTGGACGGTGCCAATAAAGGCCGCATATGTTAACGAAAGCAGCACCTTTGCTGTGCAAGGAGTTAGGGAGCATTCCAGGTCTCAACGTGGCTGATTTAGTTATAAAGCTAGTATAAAGGTCAGTTAATTCTACAATCAAAAAGCAGCAATATGTTGACTACTAACCAGAAATTGTCTGTCTACCTCATGTGAACAGTGTGGTACTGCCACTTGTCTCCTCTCCCCTTGGCTACCGGTGCGCATGCCAGGAAGGACAAGAACACAGGTGCAGCCACGAGGAGGAGAAGGCAATCTTGCTCAAAGTTCTGGGTTTGATAGTGACAAAATGAAGGAGGGTGTGCTGGTATGGCAGAATCCCCACCCTTGGGTCCCAGAGAGACGTTGAAGGCCATCACAACATCGTTAGGTTTTCACTGTCACAGGATGACATCACACCACCATTATAAAAATATATCAATCAATTTTTAATAATTCCCATTACAAAATTATATCCATCAAGCACCACGTTAACTATAAAAGCCTACAAAAACCAAAATAGTTGCAAGTCATACAGTGAACACTGGCATGTCTTGTGCTTATTTTTAAGTTGTAAATGCTGTCAATTTCAATCTCAATTACCTACTGCACCATTCTAGAGGTTGAAAATGTGCAGGTTAGTAACACAGTTATAAATGTTCCCTTCTGACAAGCCATCAAATATTTTTCCAACATAATGACAACGCAAAACAAAGTCCCTGAAATGTGTTTATATCAGGTGAAACACAAATCTATATTTCATTATTGGAAAAGTGAAATAAATACACCAAACACTGTCTCTCTCAGAGCTCACTCTCTAAACAATGAATGATTACATTCAGGACTGCCCCTCCTCCCGTTAAAATAACGATTCACTTTTATATAAGGAAGGGAACAAGTGTGTGCCATGGTCATAGAGGTATGTGCCACCATGTGTGAATGCCACTGGAACCCGAAGCCTGGGGACTATTACAACAGCTCCAGTGAAACCCTATTATAGCCCTTGGGCATTTCCCAAGGCTCCCTGTGTACAGGCTGGGCCACAGCTGCCCCTACTAAAGAGGACACCAGGCTTAATTGTCTTCACAAAATAAGTGAGGGTCAATTTCTCAAAGAACACATGCGTTCAAGAAACCAGACAGACTTTTGCTCTTTAGGTTAGACCTGTACTTGAAAGATGTGATCTGAGTCTTACTACATGCAGATGACCACAGAGGCCGTGGGAAGAACAAGGCTGGGATACTGTGCATTTCACATCAAAGCTGAAATGGAGAGCAGACCGTGCGGGGAGAAAAGCACCGGAAGTAAGGGGTGCTCGCAGGTAAAGTTGGGGTCACCAAGGCTCATTAGGAAAGGAAAACTGAGCCAGCCATGATGTTCTAGTGGCTAAAGTTCAGTGCTCTCACTGCTTCAGGAGCCCAGGTTTGTTTCCCAGTCACGGAACCACACCACCATCTGTCAGTAGCCATGCTGTGGCAGCAGCTCACAGAGAAGAACTAGAAGGGCTTACAACTAGGATATACAACCATGCACTGGGGCTTTGGGGAGGGAAAAATGAAAACAAAGAGGAAGAGTGGCAAGAGATGTCAGCTCAGGGCAAATCCTTCCCTTCCAAAAAAAAAAAAACAAAACACCATAGGTGCCAGCCTGGTGGTGCAGTGGTTAAGTTCACATGTTCCGCTTCAGTGGCCCAGGGTGCGTCGGTTCAGATCTGAGGCATGGACCTATGCACCACTTATCAAACCATGCTGTGGCAGGCATCCTGCATGTGAAATAGAGGAAGACAGACATGGATTATTAGCTCAGGGCCAATCTTCCTCAGCAAAAAGAGCAGAATTGGCAGCAGATGTTAGCTCAGGGCTAATCTTCCACCAAATAAATAAATAAGTAAGTAATAAAAAAAGGAAAGGAATATCAAAAAGGATTGGCAATTCTTAGAAGATAAAACAACCCAAGTGTAACACTGGAGGCTATATAGTAAGGCAGTGTCTTTAAACTGTGAGTTGCAATCCCACTAGTAGTTTTCAAGGAGCATTTTTACAAAATTATATAAAACAGAAAATATTAATGGCTCACATGAAATATAAATACTGTTTCAAGAAACTTGTTTCTGTTACATACATACTATGAATGTGTGCACTAGATTGTGACCTAAAATCAATTTCTTTTTGTGTGCCGCCATCAAAAGTTTCAAAGCCACTCAACCACAGCAAATGAAAACCATTCAGTAATACCAATTACCTAGGGTTTCATCTTAGAAATCATTAAGTAATGACGTCCCAGAAAATTATACTTAGGATTTCTCAAAACAAATTGAAGACAAGTACAGAGGAATTAGAACATGAGCTCAGAAAAAAGAATTTAAGGTAAAGATACAGTATGATTAGATCTTTGTATATTACAAATCAAAGTAAACACTACAATTCTAACACTAAGCCAGAAAAACAACCTTCACTTTCCCGCTAAACCATTAAACAGAACTTCTTCATGTGCTGCTTCCTTTCAAAGCACGTGGCCCATGCTCAGGCACCAGCACTGACTAGACGGGGAAAGACATTCTATTTTTAGAGTGACTTCGGAAGCATGCACTCCAAATTATCTAAATAATGAATGGCTTGAGAAACTTTTACAGAAGCTTTTAGACAAAATGTCACAAATACAGTAACTCGTCAACAGCTTAATGTCTGCAGAGTCACCCGAATGTCAAGACACATTTAATTTTAGGCACCGTCTCATTCTTCATTAAAGCACGAAGTTGGTTTTGTCATCACATACAAAAGCGAGGAGAATATTCTTGTTTCTCGTTCCACCTGTGATACACTCAGCCTCTGTCCTGAGGACAGGACTGCTGGAGCTCAGGAAGAAACCGAGAGCGAGGGTGGCCTCCACCCACACCATGAGTTGCATAACCCAAAGTTTCACCACCTGCGACCTCTGGCTTTAAGGTGAATTGTTTCAAAATATGTTGATACTGAAGTTACTTTAACCAAATAGTCAAGCAGTATTCTACTGAAAATAAAGAAAAAAGTGCAACGATGAAAGCCTCTCTGAACAACATGCACTTACCAAAATTCACTTGAAATGCACCAGAACACAGAAAACATAACTCATACTTTTCCTAAAAACACATACAGGTTTCACAGTTCCAACCCCTCTGCCACTTAAGTGTTTAAAGGTTCGGGACAAGAACTCTCATTCACTAAAACAGAGTAAGGTGTGTCCTGGAGACACTGGCTCTTATTTATAACAACAAACAAGACCTCCATGTCAACAAGATGTCAGAGCAAACTCAGGGGACTTTTATAGGCTCCCGTAAATCATGCTGGGAAGGCAAGCCGAATGAAACCATGCTGGCTGATGCGTGATCATGAAGACCATCTATTTTAAGGGACACTTTGCTTGAAATT